CAAACATCTAGTGAGCGGTTTAACAACTACCGATTTCCTTAAGACTGTGTGGTGCATGCAGGTTGCATGACATATAAAGTAGGTATCATTTCCGGTTCCAGGCTTGAGAATACAAGCATTCCCAATGTTTGGGACTATTCCCGCTAGACTATGTAGGCCAAGTACTTTTAACGCATACACATGACTTTAGAACTTTACGCTTCGTGTCAGGATTCAACACGCTCGTTGCTAAAAGGACTGTTGAGTAGGTACGAACTTTATAGGTTCTCCAACTACAGTACAGTAACTGTAGATACTACGAAAACTGACTGCTACTTAGACATCAGTAGAGTCAATTGTGGAGGAGCTTGGACACTATGATCGGCTATCTGGATATGCATATCATATCTCTCGCTTCCCCGGAATCCCGGAAATGCAGCTGGATAGGCTGTACCTACTCCAATTCATTTGCAGTGCATGAAATTAATTACTAATACATGTACCTCAAGTTTGGTCCTGCACAACTTTTGATATGTACCTATTCTATCCTCACAGCGCCGCACATAATTAGCACCATGGCCACTACAGGTATATAATAATATTTAAGTAAATTAGGTCAGAGCTTTTTTATTTCGTTTCCTGGTCAAGATCATCAACAGTTTGAAATGAATTACTAACAAGCAACAAACAGTATATTAATTCAGAGGAAAACCCCAACTAGATATACCAGTCTCAGCTCGGCTCGCTTCAATAACTACCGAGTAATTTTTAATCTCGGGGATACCCTAAGCCAAGAAATATGTCTTGGCAATCCCCGCAAAGTAACCCACGGCCAGTGTTCTCTGTATGGATTTTTCGATTCGAATTTCCTATACCCGACTCTCTCTCGATTCGAATTCCCCAGATTTTCGCTTTTAAATCACTGCAATTCAAAGCTAATCGGCTAATATTCGGCACGCGATCCGGACTGCTAACTTCTTGCTTTCATTTGACGCGATTGAGTTAAAAGATGACTCCTTCTCTTTCAGAGTACTTTCTTGCTCTCTGATCTGCGACTACTATGGTCTTTATAAAGAAAGCTGAAAGGATAAGAATTCCGTTACTTCGAATGCCTCACATACAGACAAATTTCACAACAACTCTACGAGGCATAGCTGCACCACAAGATGGCGCCAAGAGAAACATCAGAAGAAGATATACCTACACCTCCCCAGGTGAAGGGATGGAGAATCTTCACAATTGCGTTCTTAGCTTGTATGGGAGCTTGTATGTTCGGGTACAACCTGGGAGTCATTGGAGGTGGGCTATACTTTATCCATTGATCTATATCGTTTTGTATCTGACTCACAGGGCTGCTCAGGATGTATCACGCTTCCAAATTTCCATGAAGAATTCCACCTCCCTCCTACAGGGACGGAAGAGTACAACTTTATTGTAGCAAATATTGTTTCTTGCTTTCAGGGAGGAACGTTCTTTGGTGCCCTTATGGGCTATCCATTAACTGAACGCTTTGGCCGCATACCGACCTTACGAGTTGCATCATTGATATTCATTGTTGGCTCAGCCATGCAGGTAAGCAATTACCGGTGCACCTACGACTATTCAATTATTTAAGTACTAACTCTATCATAAGACATGGGCAAATGGGTCATTGGGATTGATGTATGCTGGTCGGTTTATTGCCGGCCTCGGAATTGGTGGAACTTCTTTACTTATCCCCCTCTACCTCTCCGAGATATCACCACCGTCAATTCGCGGACTTTTAGTCGGCATGCACGAGATTCTTAACCAGATTTCATCTTGCGGTGGCTTCTGGGTTAATTATGGAACTCTCCCACTATCGGGATCTAATCAATGGAGAATACCTCTCGCTATTCAGGTCGTGCCTGGAGGCCTATTGTTTTTAGCATGCTTTATTATCCCCGAGTCACCGAGATTTCTCATCAGGAAAGAACGTTTTGAGGAAGCAGGGAAAGTCTTGGGTAGGATTAGAAATCTGCCATTGGAGCATGAGTACTTGAGGAGGGAATTTTTATCGATCAAGAACCAGGCTGCAATGGAGAAGATCGAGGGGACAGAAGCTAATGCTAACGGGAAAGGACTTTCGAGAATATTTGGGCCAGGTGATTTGAAAAGATTGGGGGTTGGAATTTTGATGATGGTTGCACAGCAATGCACCGGTGTTAACGCAATGAACTATTATTCAGTATGTATCGGTCATTCTAGTGTTGATGTATTATTTATTTGGGTAGGAAACTAACAAATGTTTAGCCTTCTATATTTAAAAGCATCGGATTTGGTGGTACAAACGTCACATTGTTTGCAACCGGCATATACGCGATTGTCAAATCGATTGCGACACTTTTATCATTGATGTTCTTTATCGATCGTACCGGTCGGCGTAAGCTCTTATTTATCGGTGCCGGTGGTGCATCCCTGTCTATGTGGTATATTGGAGCTTATATCATCGCTGCCAAAGTGGATCCAGACCATCCACAAAACAGAAATGCAGCGGCGTGGATCGGGATTGTGATGGTCTATATTTATGCGGTGAGTACTGAAATAGAGATGATAATTTCAAGGATGATTATTAATGTCTTTGGGGCTCTAGATGTTTTTCTCCATTGCGTGGAACGCAATTCCTTGGATCTGTAAGTCGCCCAATTCTAAAAATGACGGCTTGCGTGTTTTTAACATGAGTCCCAGACTGCTCCGAGATTTTCCCAGGCCGTATACGTGCTCTCTGCGTTTCGGTTACTACTGCAACTCAATGGCTAGGGTAATTTCCGACTTCATAATTTCTCAGCTTAGCTGTACTCTGCTAATAATTCTACCCATAGGCAATTCGTCATTGCTCGCGCAACTCCCTACATGATATCAAACATAGGTGGCGGGACATATATGTTCTTTGCCTCATGTATGGTGGTTATTATCGGGTGGGTGTACTTCTTTGTTCCAGAAACGAAAGGAAGAACACTGGAGAGTATGGATGAATTGTTTGGAGTGGATAGAACAGTCGCTGCTGTTAGAGCTCAGGCAAAGGTTGATGAAATGAACGAGAAGAAGGAGACGGAGGTTGAGAAGAAAATGGAGGCAATGGAGGTCGTTTGATCCAGATCCTCCCTTCTCTTAACTGGACCATGGAATCGGTGTTGGGGAAAGATTTTTATCATGAGTTTATGATTCTTAACTACTAATTTATGCTTCAGTAATTGAATTTAATGCAATAGATGGGAAAATCAACATGCTTACAGTCTTTATTGCTTATGGGCCAAAGACTTCTGCTGGCCTAAAGATATTAATACGGGTAGATATTTTCGAGATATATGAGCAGATGTCTGTTGTGACACAATTGATCATATCTGGCCATTACCACTTGTGCTGCAAAGATCTGCGCGTGGTGTAGCAGGTCTTCTTGATTATATGTTAGACGAAATATAACATGTGAAAGAGATAGCTCATTCGCGTACGCGTATAAGATCTAGATCATTTTGTAACTTCCATTCATCGGGAATCACTCGGCCATCTTAGTCAGTGGAACCGAAGTGCATGGCTAAGGGAGATTGCATGTATTTTACGTACAAGTATGTAGAATACGCACTCTAACTCTTTGACTTGAATCATTGAATCCCACGATTTAGAGTAGGTACGTGAATATGGCATTCACTCCTGCTCTAGATAGTAGATCCGGATTCGTTTGAGCCAAGAATCCCATGAGTGCACCAACGGCGATCCTCCGTACATGGTGATCCCGCATCGCTGGCGCCATGGCTGCAAGGTGTGAGTTGATACTCTATTTGTTGTCTTGATTTGTTTCAGTATATTAAGGTTGATCAGGACCTCATGACTTTGATAGGTCACTTCGGGGATGATCCTGCACCACTTTGTAGATGTAGGTAGGCATGGGTTACTGTCCGATTGGTGAGGTTCGGCTACATACGCACAGCCGCCCCAAATCTCAACTCATCCATCCCACGATGAGTCTACGAAAGTGTTGATCCCTTATCCATAGAGTACCGGGTGTGCACGTTAAATACCGAGACGCCTTGAAGGATTGGTTGATTTTGTATGAGAACCGCCCATGGTAACCAAAAGCAGCCAATGAATTTTGGCCTTGGCTTCAAAATTTATATGGTGGAAAAAAATACCGAGACGTTTTATCTATCTTCACTTAAAAATTCAAATATTTTCCTAAAAATACAAAAAATAACCACTGAATAGCCCTTGCTCACAGGTTCATCTGAGTACTGATTCGAAGTTATCAAAGAAGTTTTGGTGGGGTTCGAAAAGAACAGGAGTAGAAAAGAACAGGAGTAGAAAAGAACAGGAGTAGAAAAGAACAGGAGTAGAAAAGAGGTTGAGGAGGTTGCGTTGCAAAAGCTACGGGGCAGACTGTCCAAATACCTGCTTGGCTGCCAAGTGTCATTTTAATTATATCAGCCCAATCAGATTCCTTTACAAACCCTCACTTTTTAAAATTCCCCAAAAAGGGGTTCTCAGTACTTACCCTCAACCCCCGGTACATTATCGATCACTTGTATATAGTAAACTTTGGACGCAAAATACATGTACCTAAAGTACATGTATTTTGGATACCCCGGCATCTTTGCAAAAAGAGGAGATACTCACAGGAAGGAGATACATACTTCCAAATATTATGGACCTTTCTTTCTTTTTCTCAAATCCAGCGCCTTCCATCCAATATGATAGCGCCGATCCGTGTGACCATAGTGAAGGACATATGATGCATACTGCACAGCTAGGGCCCACGGTAAGGCTCCAGAATATATATATTTGCCCCACCCCCTTGCAATGTGTCTTTCCTACATTTTAGCAGTAACAGACCGAGTTCTTCATGTGAGTTTCCTCCACTTCCCCCCTGGGCGACCTTTACTAATTTATGGCCGCAGTTTGATACCAAAGCTTCTAGAGGATACACTAGGTATAAATACTAGCATAGACTCCCGCCCTTGACGTTTCCCAAAGCACCTGGGCATCCTGCCTCTAGGAATTAGGCAGAGATGTCGCCAGTGACCTTTGTTCCAATTGTACTTCTAGCATTTCTCCCAATCGTTGCAAGCGACTCAGGCGATGATTTCACCAACAATCTGTTCTCGGACCTTGGGCCTTTACTGGCCCTCTTTGGGGAGCGGTCAGCCCAACAGTTTATGAGCCAGGCGATGGGAGTGGTTGATTGCATAATTTTTGCTATGGCACCATTAGGTCTCATTACTGCTGCTGTGGGTGTTATCCGAATCGGCGGGGCTGGGTGGTTGAAAGCATGTATTGGACGTGCCAGGGAGGCGTACGCTGTTCCAGAGCTCGAACTGCTGTCATCAACATCCTCCGAAGTCTGCGAATTGTGGAATGGATTGACCCTTGTAAGAGTTCTTGGCTCGCCTAAGATAGCTGAGTTGGTTTACTTTTCGAAATCCGACGGTGAAGGTACTGGCCCCGCCGGGAGTCCTGAAAGACACTGTGGAATTGACGCAACAAGCCGAGAGGGCTGTTGGTCTCGAAAATCTACCCTATCAGGGGACTTGTTTGGGTTTTTGACCTGTCGAAATCCATACCTTTTTCGGTTAAAGAATCATTTTTTTTCGAAAGATTCGCAGCAGGAAGTAGACGTGGAGAACCCCACAGGCGCATACGCGTACGACATCAAAAAGCAACCATTTCTTGAAGAAGTGAAGAAAGGTCCAGCTGCCAAGAAAATCGCACCAAACATATCCTTGAACATCACGAAACCCGCTAGTCAGAAGAAATTATGGAGTGTAGCTTGGTTCGGAACCGCGCTACAATTGGCAGTGCTTGTATTTGACGCCTCGATAACCTACAATCCGACTTTGAAGGGGCGTTTTGAGAAAAATGGCTTACCAGTAGTCAAATACGCATTTCCTTTGACAGCTATTGGAACTGTGCTAGTTGTTCTGGGTATGTTTGTTAGTGCGTATGTGATTGAGGATGCAACCAAAGAAGAGGAATTGGAGCATTTGAGAAACGGCAGAGGTGTCGAAATGCGAGTTATGTGGTTACAAAAGTACGAAAATGTTGGGGACCAGAACTTCGAATCATACGCTATCTTTGCCCGTGAGAAGCGCACATCAATCCGCACTTCTCGTCGGCGGGAGCCTCTGTTCATGCGCTCAAGTAAATCAGCAACACCCCCTCAACCCTCCCAATCCTCAGCTCCTACTCGAGTTAGCTTGAGAGAATCGAGTCACCCAGAGACTGGTGATTTTCTTACTAGACTCACTACATTTGCCACAATTGTGACTCTTGTCGGCTTTGTTGCGCAATTTCTAGGCCTACGAGCTATGTCATGGACAGCAACGATTGCACAGTTGATTGCAACTGTGATAATGACTGGCCTAAGATCTTGGTTAACAACTGCTGGTTTGTCGCAGGAGCCAGATACATGCAAATTACCCAAAGAGTACGAACTTGATTGGTTAGCAACACGTATGGGTGACCTTAGAGATGACGGCCTGTATGAAAATCTATCGGAGAAGACAATGGATGTTGGCTTTTGGAGTCCGTATTCGTGGAAGTGGCGTGTAGTAACTGAGCGACACCGAACTGCTGAATCGTGGTCAAAATTGCCGTCAGGTGGGAGGGCCAACCAGGTTGTTGAGGCAAGGAAACGTCTCCAAGATTTGACTGGGTGGACTAGAGAGGGGAGTATGGCGATTGCCACCGCAACTGCCATTGAGGAATTCATGAACAATATCTTCAGTTCGGATTATGCAACTTTGGAAGCCGGCTTCACTGAGCGACTTAAGTTCGAATGGCCAGTTTTCATCGAGTTTGGTGGTGTACAAGAAACATATTACCTACGATTATCACGAGATTCAACTAAGAATAAGTGGAAAGCAGACACTAATTCGATCGAGGCTATCCTTTCCTTGTGGACATACTCACTTCAAGAAAAGGAAGAAGAAGGAAAGAAGGAAAATACTAAAGATTTATGTCCAAGGGGGGGATTGACTGAGAAGGAGAGTTTGGAGGAAATGGAAGAAGCAGATAAACAGGAGGAGTCTGCGGGGGAATTGGGAAATAAATTAAGGTTTCTGGGACCGGGCGATATAGTATCTCAAATGTGCTACAGGTTATGGATCTACAGAGGAACAGATTTCCGGATATTTCGACGCCGAAATGCAAACACTAAATACCAGACCACCGGTTTTCCGATCAACCCTTCTCTCTCAATAAAACGTAAAGCTACGGATAAAGAACTCGACGAGACTCTTTCCGTGCTTACCTCCCTCTCAGTGGAAGCGGTGTGCGCTCAAGACATGTTCTCAAACTTCATGTGGTACATTGCGGACCACATAAGGGCCGTGACTCCCAAGACCACACTCGCAAAAAACTCTGTTGGGTTGAACCAGGAGACATGGCAGCCTCCCTCCCTCAGAAATCCGTTCCTCGAGAATATTCTCAGAAGTGTAGAGGCAACGGGCTTGGGTACGACCGAGGAAATGTGTATGTGCATTATACCGCCATTACATTCATCTGGGATACTTCACGATATGGATCTCAGTTCGCAGGAGCTCATGAGTTATGTTGACGAGAGATCCGACGTATTTGAGTCCCAAGAGGATTGGGAAGAAGCTGGAAAAGCATACGAATGGCTTTACGATACTTGCCTTGGTTATGTGGATACCGAGCCTTCTGCTTTCTGTCGAGCCGCTATTCTGCTGGCTCACTTCTCGGCAAGCATTAACGATGCTGCCGGGAGCTGTGAAAGCTACAATATGTGTCCAGAAGTAAGGCATCAGAAAGAAATTAACTTGTTGATGATATCGTCACAAGCATTGAAAAAGTTGCGATCCGGGCCACGAGGTCAAGAAATCTATCGAGTTCTAAAAGACGCATATCAAGCAGCAGGTGATATTCAAAGACTCCCCGAGATCACAGATGATTTAGATACGAAAGGTTCAATATCTTTGAACACCCCTGTTGTATTTGGTGATTCCACGACCCATGAACAGCCTCTCGAGGACATCGTACGAGATTTGTTATTCATTGGCCCAAATGGTCAAAACTTTTTGTGCTGGACAGAATTACATCTTGCTGCCACAGGAACAAGCCAATATGATCTCAGAAGTCTATCAAGTACCGAAGCTTCGAAACTGAACGCCCGTGACAGAGATGGAAGAACACCTCTACACTGGGCTGTTTTAAAAGGCAAGGTGGAAACTGTTGAGGCACTTCTGGAAGCTGGATGTGATGGGAATATCAAAGACAAGATGGAAACGACACCTCTTCATATTGCGGTTATGGAGGGGAAAAAAGATGTTGTCATGTGCCTTCTCACCAAGATAACAAATCTGGAAACAAGGAACTCAAAGGGTTGGACTTCATTACATTTGGCTGCCTCCGCAGGATTCAAGGATATAATTGAGTTATTACTGAAGAGCGGTGCGAAAATCGAAGCGAGAGATAGCAAGCAAAGGACACCACTTCACCTTGCTGCGTTAGTTGGGAGAGGGCATATTATCACGACTCTCCTAAATCACAACGCGGACAGTGCTGCTGGGGATTTGAACGGTTCAACAGCGCTCCATCTGGCAGCGGAAGGTGGATTTGAGTTTGAAGTTGTCACACTCTTGGACAAAAATGCAAATATCGAAGCCCAAGATGTGATGAAAAGAACGCCTCTTCATGTGGCAGTAATAGCAAGACGAGCGTTCATCATCGATATCCTCCTGAAGGGAGGGGCAAACATTGAGTCAAAGGATATTCAGGAAGCAACAGCACTTCATCTTGCCGCTCAACAGGGATTCAAAAAGGAGGTCGAAGTTCTCATCGACAAAGGCGCAAATATCGAGGCCAAGGATATCGCCGGTGAAACACCTTTAGTAAGAGCATTTGCAGGAAAGAAGAAAGATGTGATTAGAGTGTTGCTAAGAGGTGGTGCAAATGTGAATGCGACCTCAGCGGAGGGTGATTCTGTGCTGCAGGTGGCGGCATACGCGGGCAATTTGGAGGTTGCGAGGTTATTACTAGATCATGGCGCAGATAGAAACTTGCAGCCACGTCATAATCTTGGCGAGGGGTACAGAAAGGTTGTGGATATGTGCGGATCGTGATAAGGAATTGACTGCTGCTTTTTCTTTCTTTTACTTTTACACATTTGAGGTTTGAGCATACGCAATTTTGTCTTCTTTCTTGGTTTGATGTTTGTTTCCTGCATAGGTCTGTATTTAGCATGTTCTTATTTACCTGTATGACGAAGTATTAAACTAATAAATCAATTGGTTACTTTTTTATATAGTGAGACGCTAGTCGAGTGATCGTTCATGATACAGTCCACATATTAAATATTAGTCACTCATAAGTACATAGTATGGAGCCCATTAGAAGAAACCAAACGTAAACATATTGGGAGGTCGGGATTTCAATAAGATATTATAAAATGCATACATGTCAAGTTCACATAAAGTTCTCAGTCTCCTTCAAATCTGGTGGAACAAACCTCACCGCTGCATCTTCACTATGCCACGTTTCTGCCGAATAGTAGCCTTGCCACATATCCTCTAAAGCCAGCTCCCTGTTCTTTGCCAAAAAGCTTTGAAAGTTCATCAAAATCGCCCCTCTAAGATCCCCATCTCCCACATCGCCTGGGTTCACAAGCTTAAACTCTAGGAACCGTTTCAGCACAACCCGAGCCCAAAAGGCCTTCTCTGTGAACCCAAGCTTCCTTTTGAGCTCCTTTCCCCTCAAATCCGCCACCAAAACCTCATTTAACGCATCTCCCATACTTCTGTCCCCCTTTTGAGCGTACCATAGTGCCGAAAATATACTCCACAGAAGCCCCCCGTGAGTATGAGGCGGTCTCCCTACCTCTGCCTCCCGAATCTCACTAATAATCCAAAACTGACATAGCATCACCTCAACATCCGATAAATCATTCTCTCTACCTATAATCCTCGCTTCTAACTCTCTCCTTGCCGCTGCCTCTCGTTCCTTCTCCGTCGGCGGCACTATCACATTCGGCAGCGGCTTCAGTGTCGGAAATACCAGCCCCATTCTAGCTTCGATACTCTCCCATGCCTTTTCGGTATAATAAGTCCTCCAGACCTCTCTTCCCTTAGCGGGTTGTCTTAGAAGCTCCTGGAAAAGTAGCACGAATGAGGAGAATGAGAGAGTAGTAATGTCGATTCCCTTATCTCCGAGGCTGTCGATTGAGGCGTGGAGTATCTGAATCCAGAAGTAGGCTTTGGTCTCAGAATAGGCTTCGAGACTGATACCTTTAGACCGTTGGTGGATGATGTGTTTTTGCAGAGCAGACAGGGAGTCCTTTATGACTTTTCCGCGACGTTGGTTAGTTGCTTTTACGTGTTTGAGGACTGCGAACGCAAATCTTTGCAGTCTTTCAGTCTCGTTTAACTGACTAGCAATGTCCTTCTTGATTTCACTATTACTAGTTGCAGGGCCGATATACGTGGGAAGAGGACTCAAGTCTGGAAGTACCCAGGCTGATTTGGCTGTGGGTGAGAATAAGGTGTCTTTGGTATAATAGGCGGACCAAAGTTGAGGGCTCATCAGGTGAGGGTTTGACAGGAGGAATTTAGGAAAGTCGGTAGATTTTGGGAGATTAGAGGGGTTCTGAGTAGTAAAATCTAAGAGAGAAATATGAATCATGTGCAGATAGAAGGTCGTCATTGTGCTGAACGTATTCACACGTTAGTTGATTCGGTATTCCAATCATTGATATCCCCTTGGGTGCATGGCTTACCGGTGCACAGTATTCCTAAACCTCTTTTCTCTTCCTTCGATTTCGGCTAATTTGGAATCACTGGCCAACATCCTCTCCAGCTTTCCAAGAAAGTCTTCTGCAGCTTCCCAGAGGCCATGTCCCACCCACAAATTTTCAATCAGGACGTAGTAACCTGCTCTAAGATGCGCCCGATGATCCCATTTTTCCAACATACCCGACTCCATCTTCTCGAAAAATCCAGCCGCTGTCAGATTGATATGTGGATCATCCTCATTCTGCTTCTCTATCAGGGCGCGAAGCTGACTTTCGTCAAGCGGGTCCTTCTGCGGCGCCGGCGGCGATGTCATCGGAGGCCTCAAATCAATCTTCTTATCCTCCAATCCTGCCTTTATTCCTTTTAAGAACTCGCGCACTAACCACCCGTTACCCACACCCGCCCCCGTCACAGCCGAAATACCGCCGCCTTCTTCGTTTCGATATATACCCCACCTAGTTCCTTCTTTTCCGCCCCCATAAACCGTTTCCATGGCCGATCTTATACTCTTCTCCAACTCTACGACTCTGGGATCAAGCGCATTCTCCAAACGGTCTTGCTTCCCAAATGCAACACCGAAGAAACCCCCTTCGTTATCTCTGGAAGCTTGGGCTTGAAACACCAGCTCGTCGAGCGTCCATGATAGAATTTCGGGATCCGATATGCACGTGGCTGTGTCGATAAGGAATAATATATTGCCCCCAGGTTGCATGTAGAAGCGAACCAAGGGACGAATCGTTCCGCAGCCGCCAATGTCCCAGAACTGGATTGTGTCGCGGCCGACGGGGATGTCCTCACCTAATTAATACCAAGATATAGTTAATGTTTGCTTTTATTAGAGAAACTAGGCTTATATATAAGTAGAGAGGTGATTGTTACAGTTAAACCCGATGGTAGGAATCGATACGACAAGCTCATCGAGGAGCATGCGGTAGAGGAGCGCGGTTTTGCCCGAGTCGTTGACGCCGAGGAGGAGGCAGCGGTGTAGGGGCTTGGAGTAGAGGCTGCGGAGGAAGGAGGGGAGTTTGGGCATTGCTGGTGAATCAATTTTGAGTATGTATATGGGCCTTTATTGCATGTGCAGTCTAACAAGTACATGTACCTGAGCACTGCAATAGTTGGGATTCCATATACTTAAGTAGTGCTCAAAGAGTGAGTCAGGTAGTCAGAGACCAGATATGCAAGTGCTAATATTTGAGGGGGGATGTGTTGCACAGAGGCTAGGCCCAAAGGGGACGCAAAAGTAACAATTACATAAATCTGTTTGTCTACTATCTAAAACTAAACCACGGGATGGGGGGGTGCGATTAGTAGATTTGTCCGAATCCGGCATATTAGTTGAAACCGGAACTTGCTCGTGCTAGAAAGTAAAACATGTTATATAAAAAAAAAAGTATGAATGTATTATTAAGTCGTGATCTATTAAAACTCCATTAACAGCAACCTGTGGGTATCTAACATGCATCTATGTTTCTACTCGCTACCTCTATTCTATGCTAAAATCCCCCCCAGCTTTCCCCCCCCCCTTTTTTTTTTCCGGTTATTACTCCCCTACTCTACTTTTTTCACCCCGACCCTGCCCAAAAACTCGTCGAAGCCAATGCCCTTCCAGACCTCGAGCTGCTCGTAGTCTCCCAACCAAAGGACCCCCATCATTCCCAGCGAATTGACGCCGACCCCATCGCATTCGCCCCGGGTCCGCGGGATCATGACCATCCACTCGGTGGTCATCAGGAAGTTGTAATGCGGGACCTCCGGATTGCCCAGCGCGCGCTTGGTGGCGGCGAGGAGCGCGCCGAAGAGGTAGTGCAGCTGCTTTCCCGTGGCTTTTGGCGGCGGGTGCGCGATGAAGTGTGTATACGGCACATCCGGGTGCTGCGTCAATCCGCCATCTACCACCACCACCGAGTTAGTGAGCGAGTGAGCGAGTGGGTGGGGCTTAGTTAACAAATTGACAAAAAAAAAAAAAAAAAAAACATACCTTCCCCCCTCTCCACCCTCCCGGGGTACAGCCCGCTGAAGACCGCCTCGCCCAGCGCCACAACCTGCACATGCTTATGCGGCTGCGACGCGCCGCTCTCCTTGCCGCAGTTGTAGAACGCGACCTGTGCCTGTCCGAGCCTGCGCAGGACGCCGGCGACGACGGAGAGCTCGTCGGCGTCGAGCGGCTCGGACTGGAAGCGCGGCGCGATGGAGATGAGCAGGGTTTGGTTCTCGACGGCGCAGAACTTGTTGAGGATGATGCGGAAGTGCGGGGCTGTGGAGGTGGTGATGATGTGCGTGGGGGGGATGGTGCTGAGCGCGGTGCGCGCGTGCGGGGCGGGCGGGCTGGTGGTGATGTCGTTGGGTTTGCGGGTGAAGAGGGGGAGGATCTTGATGTGGTACTGTGGGGGGGGGGGGGGGGTTAGTTTTGGCGGCGGCGAGAGGGGGGTGTGGAGGGGTGTGAAGGGTGGTAGATACGTACGGTGAAGGCGCGCCCGGGATGCTGCGTGGTCTCGGTGGGGGTGTAGCATATTGAGCTGTCTGCGACGGCGGCTTTGAACTTTTCGGAGATCAGTTGGGAGAGGTTTTCGGGGACGGTTGCGGCAGGGGTGGTTGCGAAGCCCATCTTGGGGGGGGAATTGATGGATGTGGGCCTGGGAATTGGTAGATATTGGGGGGGGGGGGGGGGGGGGGGCTACTTGGATGAGGAGGGGGGAAGAGATGAAATTGCTATGATTGTTGGTGGTGATGGAGGGGGAGGGAGTTGGTAGACTTCAGTTGTGAAATGAAGATGAAGTGAAGTGGAGTGATTGACGGTGTTGGTGATGAAAGTTGTCTGTCACAGATCACAGCTCCAAGAAATACAGAAGTCGGCGTAGACCAGGGCATCAGGTCAGGCAGCAGGCAGCAGGCAGCAGGCAGCAGCCAGCCACCCGCAGCCAAGAGGGAAAGACAGCCAGAGCCAGCCAGCCAGCCAGCCAGCCAGCCAGACTACAGACAGAGAGACAGACAGACTACAGACAGACAGACTACAGACTACAGACAGACAGACAGACAGACAGACAGACAGACAGCTCACCCCGAGTGTGGTCGGTTAAGGCGCCCTGGATTGGAGCAGCGGTCAGGAGAAGTGCAGCATGCGGCAGGGAGCGAGCCGGGAGCTGCGTGCTGGGGGGGAGGAGGGAGGGGGGAGGGGGGGCCGAGGAACTGGGAACCGGGCCTTAGACAGAGAGGAGAGTACTACTACTACATGTACGGTGATGTATCTTGCCCTCTTACCCACTCTGGATAGATACTCTAGTCAGCAGTACGAGCAGGGCAGTCGCAGTCAGCAAAAGCACTCTGCTCTGCTCTGCTCTGCTCTGCGTAAGGACTGAAGCTATGACTACAGAGACTAGGGATGCTATCTGTCTGACAGCAGCTGTATGTAGCTATCTCTCTAGTGTGGCTATCGATAAGATTGATTGATTGATGGCTGACTGCACCAGCCAGGCCTTGGCAAAGGGCAATGATTGAGAGAGCCTGCTTCTTCTATCTAGTCCTAGTATCTACATGATAACCCGACATACTCTAAAAAGACCCTTAATATATATGGGCCGAGAAAACAGCGCTTCTGGAAATTCGAAACCGGCATCCATGTGCGCATCACCCAAAGAGCCGCCCGCTAACTAAGGTACGCATCGTCGGAAGAGGAAGGAGCTTTGCACTCAGCCTCTAGCTTTGGAATGTTTGCTAGCTAGAGTGAGTACATGTGCTTTAGTATCAATTGAGCAATTGTGCAAAACATATCTACAGACATGGGAGTAAATCCTCTATTCACGATGAACATCACCGAAGTGGTTTGTCTCATGCGGCTCTTGAGTTGCTTGTTATGAGCTGCACCAGGCCAGCAGCGGAAAAGAAAGGGAAGAATCGCATTCAAGTTACACAACGGAAGTCAGCTTTCCAACCCCGCCGCGGCTGATAAAATAATAATCCATGACTTTGCTTGGAAATCCCCCAAAATTCCTGTGCAACCGCGGTCGGTCGGTGGTGCCGGCACTGGGACGGACGTGGGTACGGGGCAATCAATATAATAGAGTGCTGCTGGTAATTTAGAGACTTGGAGGGTACTTTCTGGAGGGTACTTTCTGGAGGGTACTTTCTGGAGGGTACTTTCTGGAGGGTACTTTCTGGAGGGTACTTTCTGGAGGGCAGGTACGGTACTGCATTGACAGAGTCTAGACATTCTGTAGTTACATGTAAATGTAGTAGGTACAGTGTGTACACAGACAGTACTCACCGTATGTACATGTAGGTACTGGTGTCCCCCCCCCCCCCCCCAAACAAGCACAAGCACAAACCTCCATCAAAACGACATCACCGTCACCTAATTGCCCAGTATCTCCACCACCTCAGATCTACTCCACTTCCACCAGCTCCACCACTCCACCTCCACCGTCACCTCGCTCGCTCGCTCCCTCCCACCAATCTAAAGTCTCCGACCCGGCGAATCAGCTGTTCAGGCAACCAACACTTCACCCCCCGCGCCCTGCAGCGATTCGATTCCCACAACCAACGTACACCGCGCAGTGTCAGACTTCAGTGGTGGGGCAAGCAAGCCAGCCAGTCGTCCGTCTGTCCGCCACAGCACGGTTGCCCCAATCTGTCTGTCTGCAAAACAAAGAAAGGGCAGCAACCATCACGATCATAGTTATCTCCATTTTTAAAGAAGTGAACCCCCGCCCCACAGCTGCATCCAAAACACACCTCTTTCTCTTAGCTATTCTCTACCCCCCCCCCCTCCCCTCCCCTCCCCACCCCACCCCACCTCTCCTCCTCTAAATAACAACCTACACCACCCACCCGCCGCCATCATGAGCAGTGTGGGCTTCTACAACACATACTACCAGCAGCAGTCGCAGACATACACGGTCCCGCCGGTCACGGGCTGCGAGCACAAGGGCTCGTCGGGCTGCAACAATGTGGGCCACTCGCCAAAGTGCTGCTACTGCAACAGCCCGGCGTCGCTGTCGACGGGCTTGGCGGGGAACTTGTCAACTCTGAGGTATGCTACATATGCTGCGTGAAACATGCGCGCAAGGCCGCTGTTTGAAGACAGAATTTAAAAGAGAGACCGTAAATGCTGATAAAACTACATTGCACTAGAGAATATTGCTCGCCGTGCAGAGGTACTTGATTCTCACTGCGCACGCTACTTTTATCATATCATGGTGGGGTAACGCTCCAAGAGTGTGCGGCTAGCTGACATATCCCTCCCCGCAGCTTTCTGGGCCCGCAAGCTGCAGCTCGGCGACAACAGCAAGGCCCCCCACTCCTCCACCACCACCACCACCACCACCACCACCTCCTCCTCCTCCTCCACCAGCGGCAGCAATCCCAGCGCCCCGGCAACAACCGCCGAAACAGCAAGCATCAACTACTTCTCGCGCCTCAGCGCGCCCTTCAGCTCCGTCCCATACATCCCGCAGCCCATCCCGCAGCCCAGCTCCCCCTCGCGCACGCTCTCCCTCTCCGCCACAGCCCGCAGCTACAAGCTCCCCGCGGCACCGCAGGCCGGCTCCTCGCCAAACGCAAAGAAGCGCCCGCGCCCCGAGCAGCACAAGCACTCGAGCTCCGAGAGCAATGCCGGCGGCGCGTACAAGCGGTCCGGCGGCGGCGAGGGCTCGTCGGCGGGGAGCGCGATGAGGGCGGAGCAGCCGGGCGCGAGGTCGGCGTATGTGTGCCCGGCGGTCAGGGCGATGAACTCGAGGAGCGCTGCGGCGGCGGCGGCGGCGATGGGGGGCGAGGCGGACAGGAGGTGGACGCTGGCGAGCCCGTATGGTGTGCCGGGGGGCGTGCAGATCTCGCAGAGTGGCGCGGCCGATGCGGTGGCGGCGGCGGCGGCAGGGGCGGCGGCGGAGGGGAGTAATAGACTGAGGCCTGCGGGGACGTCGGCGAATAATAGTGGCGGGTTTCAGACGTATACGCCGCCGAGCCCGCTTTATGCTCCGGGGCAGAATGCGGGCGGGAGTGTCAATACGGGTACGGGCTCGGCGCGGAGTAGTATGGGCTATCAGAATTACAAGCCGCCGAAGGGGCCGAGTTATCAGCCGTATCGGCCGGGTGCTGCGTCAACGCCTACAAGCCCGAATGATACCCCTTCAATCTCACATCTACACACCGCTTCTCAGCCACGGGAGGCCAGGCCAAACACCGCAATTCATTTACGTTCAAATTCAACTTCAACGCCGCTAGCTACAGTCACAGCCGGAGGGAGCACTATAATCACAGACCCTCCCGCACGAAACCCAAACAGAAACATCCCCGAAAGCCCAACACTAGCACCAGCACCGGATTTTAGCCCAGTCCAAGGCTCCCAAAGCAGAACGGCAAGCAGCCTACGGCTGGGGGACAACACAATATCTACAAGATCAGACTCGGCCCCGCGCGCGGGAGTGCCCATCCCAGTAGAACGGTTCCGCACACGCAGCTGGGACGGCGCCCCCGTCCGCGACGCCAGCGAGGGGTCCTGGGCAGCTGAACTGGCCAATGAATTCTTGCCGCCCCCTTGGGCGACCGAAGCAGCGTCTGCTGCTGCAGCAAATACAGCTAATGAACAAAATGCTCTCTCTACTAACCCCCCCGCCGCCCAAGCAACACCTGCGCAGGCTCCTCGAAGCCCCCCGCCAAGCGCAGTGTCCTCCGGTGCCAGCCCCGCGGTTGAGAGCCCTACCCCGCGTGTCCCGTCGCAGGCTAGTCCGCGCCCGGGTATGAGCTGGATGGACTGGGGCTTGTCGAATACGCCCGTTTTTTCTAGTCAGGTAGCTACGGGGTCGGGGTCGGGGTCGGGGTCGGGGTCAGGGTCGGGGTCGGGGTCAGGGTCAGGGTCAGGGTCGGGGTCGGGGCCTTCGGCGGCACCTACTATATCGTGGGGGTCGGGCGATACGCGCAGGAATACTGTTGCGGGTCCCCCGCAGGGACAGGATGCTGCGCCGGATTCGCCGGCGAGTGCGAGGCGGAAGTTGGTGGTGTCGGGTAGAACTATACGGTCATCTGTGGTTGGGCAGTTACACCCTGCGCCGTTTGATCCGACGCCCTCGCCGTATAGGAGTCAGTATCCGCCGCCGATGGAGACGGCGATTCCGCCGCATCCGACGTCGCCGGTGTTTTTGATGGCGAATAGTACCGGGGGGTGGCCGTCGACGAATGCGAATGTGCAGTGAGTGTCTCTCTCTTTCCTCTTTGCCTTTTTGGTTTCTCGCAATGTCAGAAAGAGAGGATCTGTTCTATTCTAACGCAAGGCTTAGTATACAAAGACAACAAGATTTGGCTGCTTGGCCAATAGATACCACAGGCGCATCTTTCTTCGGCCTCGAGTCATACCAGCCGGCCCCAGCCAGCCGCCGAGAACAGCCCCAAGCAACCCGCCAGGACCAACAGCAGCCCCAGACCAGCCGCCAGGAACAATCCCAGGCCGACCGCCGGGAAGGCGACGTCAACTCACGTTGGGGCGTTAGTATGGTTCCGCCAGGGGAAATTCTTACCCGCCGTGATACAGGGAACCAGGAGCCCAGAGTAAGGCGTAATAATAGATCTCCGCAGAATCAGTCTCCGCAGGATGGCTCTTCGCAGCATAGAACTCCGCAGAGTCGGTCTCCGCGCCAGCGCGGACGACGCTCGCCGCAGCGAGTTTCGCCAACTACGACCCCGCCGCTGCCGCAGCAGTTAGTAGAACTAGCGCCAGCGCCAGCACCACAGGCACAGGCACAACCGCAACCGCAGCCGCAGACTCAACCACAACCACAACAGCCCCGAGCGTCAGCTTCCGGCTCAAGCCTCACGCCGGTGATCCCGCCCATCATCTCGATCTCGTCGTCGCCGGCAGAGGAATGGGAGACGTGGGACCAAGCAGCGTGGACGGCGGCGGCCAACGACATTGTCCCGGACCAGGCTGACGTGGGCAAGATGGCCGAGGACGCGTCGGTGCTGCTGGAGCTGTTCTACAAGACGAAGCCGCGCAGGAACGTAGATATTGGGGAGGAGCATAAGGAGATGATTGAGAATGCGTACAAGTCGATTATGGAGATCAAGAAGGAGATTGGCGTGCTTCCAGAGGATGGTGGTGCTGCGGCGGCGGCGGCGGCGGCGGCGGGGAAGAAGAAGGGGGGGTTGATGGATGCGGATGATTGTATTGTGTGCTTTAGCAGTTATGCGGATACGGTGCTGCTGCCGTGTAAGCATATGGTGCTTTGTGGGGTATGTTCTTTTCTCTCTAGCGTTTTGGGGGGGGGTGTTCTGGGTGTGCTAATGGGGTGTGTGGTAGGAATGCTGTGATAAAATGAAGTTTAAGGAGCATAACCACACGGTGTTGATGAAAGTCTACTGCCCGGTCTGTAGGGCTGTTGTTGACGATAGGGTATGTTTGACTCCTCCCACATCCACACAGGCAGAGTACTAGTTTAGCTTGCTGACGTGGTTCTGGTACTTGCTACAGATGAAAATATACCGCGGCTGAGTGTGGATCGAGGGAAAACCCCCCTTTTGACCCACACCGCCTACCATTTTTAAAAGAGGTTGCCAAAAAGCGCAAACTCATTTTTTTGTTTATTTGCAATTGACCACTGCAATATTTTTTGTCTGGCAATATGGAATGGCGGACGGACGGACTCGTGAGTGAGTGAGAAGCAGGTGATGCATCTTTACTTTGTAAAAATAGAGATATGGTGTTTAGTACATAATAGAAGAAAGAAAAAAAATACGTTCAGGTCTGGCAGAATAATGGTACCTTGTGAGTTTCTCCGGTTCCAGAGTGGCGAGGAATCCGAATTCCACGCAATCATCTCCGATGTATCCACCCACTCAATCGCCAGTCTTTTGCTCGCTATCGCCTAACTCCATCACTCGACTACTATCTGGTGACTCTGGGGCCGACTCACTGTAGGGGGGGAAAGAGAAGTCCCCTCCTCAATCGCCAGTTTTTCCTCCTCACTATCGCCAAACTCCCTCACTCGACTACTATCTGGTGACTCTGGGGCTGACTGTAGGGGGGGGGGGAAGAGAAGCTGGCCGGGCATAACATTCTCTCCTGATAAGTAGCACCCCCAAACAATGGCGGTTGAGGAGGTAGACGCGGAAACTGATATTTTTTGTCCCTCTTCACCGTCTAAGGGTAATATGATCGAATGACAAGTCGATAGTTGAGGGGGAGTTCTCAGTAGAGTGGAAGTTCCAGTCGGAGGGGGAGTTCTCAGTAGAGTGGAATTAGGTTCCAGTTGGGGCGAGTTCTCAGTAGAGTACAGCTTACTTTGCCTTAGCCGGAGGGGGGAGTTCTCAGTAGAGTGCAATTAAGTTCCAGTTGGGGTGAGTTCTCAGTAGAGTACAGCTTACTTTGCCTTAGCCGGAAGTAAATTAATAAGCTGCGGTTTTCAATATTCTTCCGAAACTTTGCCAAGGCAGGGGTTCTTTCTACTCAGTACTTTCTTCTTCTATCTACTAGTAACTGTAACGATGCCACTTGCCGTACATGTAGTTCGTACCCATCCCGTCCTGCTTGCCGTAGTTTGTACCCACCCACTACATGTACAGTGGCAGAAATTAGTATGTGGCGAGTACGGTAGTGATGCGGCATCCCCAGCCCCCCGGCAGTACTGCCGCATTTATTCGAGTGCGGCAGTCATTCGTACCCATGTATTGGTATTAATACCGACTAGTAATAATGCGGTATCCCTGCCGTATTTAACGCAGTACGTAATCCCCAAGCAATGCGCATTCTCACAAATACCGTATTGTAGTAGCATTATTACGGTATTCCTTCTCGCTTGGCGTTACGATTTAGAATTTATGCTTAATGTGAGGACTTGCTTGTATTCTATCTACATAATAATTTGATATCTGGCATGTAAGACATTCAAGTCAACAAACCCCTGTAAACCCCAATCGCAATACAGTGAAATCTCACACACACACACTCAACCCGAGTAACAGCAATAATAGCATGAAACGCTCACACAAAATACTATGATAAATCAACTGTATTCGCTTAACAGCCAAAATTACATGCAACGCTCCTACAAAATACTTTGATATATCAACTGTAATCACTCAACCCGAGTATTAGCAATAATAGCATTCAACGCTCACACAAAATACTTTGATAAATCAACTGTATTCGCTTAACAGCCAAAATTGCATGCAACGCCCCCACAAAATACTGTGATAAATCAACTGTAATCACTGAACCCGAGTATTAGCAATAATAGCATGCAACGCTCATACAAAATACTTTGATAAATCAACTGTATTCGTGTAACAGCCAAAATTGCATGTAAGAAATCGAATGTATTAATTACATTGATTACATGTAAATACATGTAATATTAAGAAAAGTTAGGTAGATACGGATTATACCACCATGTGTCTTTGTTGTTCTTTGACACGAAATGCATCATACGACAGTCAATTCTTCTGATACCAATTGTCATCTCTGGTTCAGAATCGTGCAGTCGGAACACCTTGTAAGCCGGTGCCATTGCCGACACCTCTTCAGCGACATATTCCAAAGGCTTCACTACAAATAGGACCCGCACCATAGTCCCTACACTAATCGTAAAAATCCTACTAACATGGTGAAAGGAATGAACACCGTCATTCATTTTTATTATTTGGCCCTCTCGAATTTTGAAAGGCCTTGCTTTGCGGCCCACTTCTCCCTTGGGTACTGCGGAAAAATATCGCCAGTAGTGAATTTTAACACGCACCTGCGGTAGTAGCTCCGTGTCGTATTCCGCTTGGTACACACTGCATCTAGTATCGCCATCATATGCGTAGTCCTCTTGTGAGACTTTCTTTATAGGCACTGCAAGTCCTGCAATGGCTTTGGTGAAAACCGATCCCTCGCAGTCTATTCCTGTGGCTTGTGTAGATATTGGCTCATCCTCGCCATCCATGTCCTTCGTAACCCCTAGAAACCGCGAGCACATTCTCGGGCATTTGTTTACGACGCTAGTTAATTGAGTGGTGACCTTAGGCGCGATAACTTGAAAGGCCCCAGCCAGCATGAAGGTGATTGTCTGTGCGGTGTTCATTGCCTTCATTAACTGTAAATCATTATCTTTCGAATTTGTATGTGGTGCATGAAGCTTAAAAATCTTGTGCTTTTGCTCTCCTGTCATCGTGGAACTATTCCTGGCCGTGGCGTAATTTTGTATGTCCTCTTGGTAATGGAGAGCTAGATGTACGTTGGGGACCGTTACATAATTTTTGAACTTCTTCCCGTCGCGATCACCCGCTGCGCATTTGAATATCCTCTGAAGATTGTGCCGAGCCTATGGACAGAACGTCAGATTGTTTTTAAAATATTAACAGAACGTCAGATGGTTTTTGAAATATTATATGCGTTACCACATGAAATCTCCATATACGTGTATATTACTGGTTCCACAAGGTATGATAATACATGTACTTACCTGTAGTACGGTCAGAGTGAATCTAGACCTCTCAGATGTTGATATCTTTTCTTGCAGGGTCAAAGTCACGCATCTAGCCAACAACCATGCAGTCTTGGCGATCCCCCCCGTGGCATCTTCTCCGAACTCGTCTTGTAAACGTTTCCCCACTAGAGGCTTGACATAAGACAGCCGTGCACGCCGCAGTAGTAATCTATTATTCCTTACTTCCTCGGGGTGGTAGGTCCAGCAATCGTTGGTAAATATATGCATCAGCACAAAGGGGTTGATGATCGCTATCCTTCCGTGTTCATTGAAAACCATCGAGCCCTTGTGGCTGACAGGATTTTGTGGTTGGCCCCATCCATATGGCACCTGCACCATATTCCATGCCGCCAGATAAGCTTTGATTCCCTCTGTCGACAGCATAGCCTCCAGTACTGCTTCCTCAAAGTATTTGCAGAGGCGGAGCTCGGCATGCATGGGGTCGTTTGGTGTGCTACGTAGCGGGTCCATCATCTTATAGCAGTTATCGAAAAAAGGCCCAGTATCTGACAGTCCAGCTCTACGCAGAGACGCTTCTTTCCTGGCCTTTGTGGGCTGTGACTTCGCAGTGTCGTATATTAACCTCACGTGCTGCCTGTATCTCCCATGGTGTTGCTCATTGAACGATAGGTTCCCTCGATCGGTATCTGCTATGAAGCACGAGCGACACCCGTATGTTGCTTTATCTATCTTCGCCCCCGAGTTTTGATTCTGTTGAGGCATATCCCCCGTCAGAAGCAGGGGAAAGGCAGTAATGAAGACATCTTCGCCCGAGTGTAGTACCATGTTGATACCTTTGCCAACTGCCAATGCATCCATTTCTAAACAGGCTGCCATTTGCTGTTCGTGAGAGCCGAAAGGTCCGATCATAAGGACGCACATATTATTCAATTTAGCTCGTTCGCATCTATTCAACCCCGCCGGCGTCAAATACATTCCCTTTAAACTATAGTATGCGTTTCTATATAAACCAAAACCGTCCAGGAAGACAGAATAGGGTACGCTTATTCTCGGCGCTTGATTGCTCAGCCCTTGGTTGACGGCCGATACCATATTAGCCAGGACATAATCCCGTGTCATTTCCTTGAGCTCTATCTCTGCCATTACCCGGTGTCGTTTGTGAACAGCTCTTATGTGGTATCCACCGCTATTGGTTCTATAGGCTACCAGGCGTACACAGAACGTTGGTGGTTCTGGAAGGAGGCTTTGGCGTAGATCGTCGACAGAAGGGTAATCTGTAAAGTGCACCCATACTCGAGCTCAAATATTGGTGCAGGGAACGATTTCCCTTTGGTGCTCGACTAGTATCAACTCTGGGAGATTGGAGTCAACCCATGCGTACTCTGGAAAAGGGTCGGGTGAATTTTCAGGCGTTTCCCACTGAGCCCGCAGCTCGTGGGGGCGAATTAACGGGTTTATAAGCGCAGATGCTTGGTTAATTGCTCCCTGACGCTTATCTATCCCTACACATTTCACCCTACCGATAGCTGTTATTCCCTCTGTGTTCGTATATTCGACGCAGTCGGACGGTAAGAGCGGGACGCTGTGGTCTGCTGCTGCACCCCCCTCTTTTATATACGCAAAAGAACCGGATGTAGACCTCATACTCTCCATCCACGCATCTCCATGCCAGAGCTCAGAAGCGACGTCGACATACTCTCCAAGTCCCTGGTGCAAACTCTGCCTAATCGTCGGGCTGCTTAACCACACTTTGCAGTACTCTGAAGGCTCGAAAAAGTAAGCGTTCCGAGGTGTTTCTTTCTTTGGTGGTATCTGCCTTAGGTCGACATCTACTAGTTTTCCTTTGAGCTGCATCAGTGGGAACCCTCTTCGACACCTCTGCTGTAGAGTTTTGATGGATTTAGGTAGCGATTTTATCGTCTCTGTAGTAGCTAGTGCCAGAACCTCCGTGAGCGCCTCGTATTGGGTTGTTGAAAGGTCCGCACTTGTCACAAATAGCATCAGTGCCAGATGGAATTCTTCCCCGCATTGGTCAAAATACGCCTCGTTTCTACCGTCAACGACAACACCCTCCCTATCACCTGCTCCTTCCGCGGTTTCCGAAGCCAAGTCGAGAAGAACATCTGCAGAGCTAACGTCGCCACTGCCCGCTGTAAGGTTCACGTCACGGGCCACAGCTGAAGGATCATCCGCATTGTTTTCAGCCTCATGTTGTGTGTGTTCTGTCTGTAGCTCGTCGTTTGGCGGAAAGTACATGAATGCAGTGTCGTCGTCCCTATCTTGTTCCAGTGCTTGGCTGTTTTCGCCTTCCTCAATCCCGATATCATCCAAATAACTCCCCCCGACCGTTTCTCTCTCGTCTTCAGCTTCTTGGGTCAGCCCGTAATCATTTTCTTTATTGTCTCTGCCCCAATCCACGCCCATAAGATTGGTTTGTATCGGTTGTAGAAGGCGCATGTCGTCTTCCGGAGCTGGCTCAACATCTTCTTCTATCGTAGCCTCTAGATTATGTTCTGGGGGGACCTCCCATACATGAATGGGGGATCGAGGCGCGGGTATATTGGGTGCGGGTACGGCATCTTGAGGCGCGGAATTTTCATTCCCTGATGATTCTGCTGGTACGGGCGGGGACTGGGCTGTATCTTCTGGGCTTTCTATCATCAACTCAGGTCAGTCACCAGACAGTACAGTACTGTACTGTATTGTATTGTTGATGTTATCATACCGAAACGGCGTCTTCTGAATCTAGTGGGTTCTAGGGGTGGAAGCCATCCACGCGGTCGTTTTCCGTCCATCTTGATCTTGATGTCTGGGGATGATACACCGGGGTACAAATTTTTGGTGCCTCTAATATCAAACACGGATAAGGAATACCGCTAAATCTCGGGGTTGCCAAGGCCACCCACTAAGCTAAATTTAGTTTAGATCATGTAAAAGAGGGCAGATCGCTTCCTCTAAAGGTGAAGATCTTCAGCGAGATTTAGCGGTAGCATGATCGATTGGGTGTCACCAAGACATACATGTATTTGTCATCTCATAGAATATCACTCGTTTATGTACCCTTTTTTTGTATCTCCAACGCTTTGCACTACAAAATCAACGAACCCTACAACCATCATAGGCCACAACGATTTGCAGCGCCAACATAAAAACCGTTCGTTTTCAATTCACGTCTAAAATTCGATGGATTGATTGATCAATAATTTATATATTATACGTTATAAGATAAAGCCATAATTTCATCAAGTAGAGGCACGATTACATTTATACAAGAACTCGGTTTTTTTTTTACCAACTACACGTACATGTTTCATGTATTTTACTCTGTGTCAGACCCCTCGAGCTCTTTGTACTTCTCCCCCTCAACCACCCCGTCCTTATCCTCCTCCTTGGCCGAAAAAACTCCAGCCTCATCTCCGAGACCTTCATGTTCATCATCTTCAACCTTGATTTTCGCATCTTCCTCGTTAATGTCATCCTCGGTTTTTACTCCAAGTTTCTTCTGGGGGTCGAATAGGACAACCAAGAGGGCGGTTCCCCAGCAGCACGTGTCGTCGTCCCAAATGAAATCTCTCCTTGAAGTGACGACACAGGAACAAAGCCCGCCTCGGTCTAGAATCGCCTTCACAGTACCCTTGTCAACCTCCCTCACCCATCCACTGGGACGACCATCTTTCTGGAGCTGGACCCCGCGGATGGGATACTTGGTGTTGATGGTATCCGCCAGGACTAGCTCGTAGGTCTCACCAACGACCGGGTGTCTTCCACCGGCGAGGTCGTTATCGATGTCTATTGAGCGTTAGAAACGTATATGTTTGTGAGTATGTCGTTTACTTACAGACGATATTGATATACATATCGATAGTTGTAGTAGAGATGGTTGTATCCATTTTTTTGTCGTTCGATTGAATCATTGGATGGTTCTTTGAGATGATTTTTGGGGGTTGAGAAATGAGGTAAGCTTCCGAAAGAGAGAGAGAGAAATAGAAAGGAGACAAGCGAGACGCCCTGCACACACATGCAGGTAAGATACAGGTAGAGTAGGAGCTAAGGATGGCAGCGGGAGCGGGAGCGGGAGCTTGTACTAGCTTGATTTTATTTCAACCCCCACCACATGCAGGTTGACTTCATCTCCTCTCTCTGCTCACTCTCATCTCTAGCGATCTCGCACCTTTTGCTACTGCTATCAGCCTGAAAGTTATTTTTCGTCTCATATATTAAGTTGTTTGGAGTTGGGGATACAAGTACATGTAAGTTATATGAAGCTGTGATAAGAGTGCATTACTAATCCGAATGCCAAGCCAAGGGAACATCAAAACCGCTGATCTCGAATCAACTATCATCGACAACAATGGTGGGAGCATATCGAACGCATCCATCTAGCAGCCCTGTGGTTCGCAGAGATGATCCGTATACTCCTCACCGCCCGGGCAGGCATAGCACAGTCAGTCTGGCCGATCTATCACGTCGAGAATTGTTCCGTCAAGAATCTCCCACCCCTAACGTACGTGATTCGCAGGAAACATTAGGGAGATCACAGCAGGTTTCGCATAGCCAAAGGTCTGGCAACGGGCGTCGTGGTGGGGCAGGGAGTCGTCCACTTCAACGTACAGGATCATCTGATGAAGAATCTCGTCCATCTCAACGTCAGATGTTTGCTCCCGAGGAGTTCATGGACGATGAAGAGGAGGGATATGACGATCCTATCGTAGTGAGCAGTCAACGCGTCGACAGGACCCCCGCTCAGTGGACCCCCGCTTCCGTACGGAGGACTGTGCCTGTAGCCGAAGCAGAAGCAGAAGAAGCCGGACCAACGATCTCCGTATGTCTAGGAACCCCCGTAAGTTGATACAGTATGTAAACTATTATTGACACTCCCAAAACAGGTTCCCACGGAATTATCACCGGATGAGGCTCAACGGGTGTTGGATGCCTATATTCAAAAAGAAGCATTGGCTGAAGAGGAGCAGCCCCGAAAACGCACGTACGACAAGTCAAAGTTCGCTGGTCTTTATCCCGACACTTCTCACTGCGTGTGGGGTGCGCTGAATCGCAGGTGCCGTATGGCATTTGCTCGATACCTCACAATTCCAGAAAGCCGGTTTACCCATCTGATTGACATATCTGCTGCACGGGTTGTCAAGAGAAATACTCCTGAGTTTACGCTGGCGTGGGACCGGATGCTCCAGTGGCGCAAGAATTGGCTCAAAGAGTATAATCGCCAGGCCAAAGACATGTGGGGCGCCATCATCGAGAAGCCTGAGTGTGCACATTACCTCAGTCTTGATGAAGTCCACCTGAGAACAGTATATGCCAGCCACTGGTGCTTGGAATCCTGGTTCCAGTTGATGGTCGGGAGCACTTCTGCATTTGTTGATTGGAGGTCTACGTTGCTTCAGCCCGAGGCTGAAAATTTCTACAAGACGGTTTTTGTATACACAATGGTGTAAGTACCCCTTCGCTCACTGACGCATCAGTAGCAAGCCCGTTCATAGCTGACCATCTTAATAAGCTATACTCATATGTTGAAGTTGAATAAGCTGGACCGTGAAGCGTGCAACCAACGTATACTGCTGGTGGCAAGCAACGAAGCCTTCAGTACATTTCACGAGGGTTTAATTGTAACGGTCCCAGAAAAACCTGTTCACAAGACCAGACTTGCCCAAAAGAAGAAACCGACGAACTTGGCTGAGCTGGACCCGCTATTTGTTCCGTTTGGCGCCGCTCCTGCTGCTGCCCCTGCTGCCCCTGCTGCCCCCGCGGCAACTGTCCCTATCGACCCTACACTCACCTCCGTAGCTGTCCTCCCCGCCGCTACCCATCCCTCCGCATTCGCCACACCTTCATCAGGGGTGGTGCCCGTTGTCGATGCCTCCGGCCCCTCATCTGCCACGACCATTTCAATGACAGCTTTGTTGACAGGCACCGACGCCATCGGGAACCTCTAGTTTTTTTTAGCACTCTTCATTTTTCATTTTTCTTTTCATTTTTCTCTCATTTATTTATTCATTATAGTTGTTAGCCAAGCATCGCCATACTCCCAATCTCGCCAGCCCATCTGCTGCTGTATATTTTTTGCATTGTTAATTGGTTGTATCTGATATACAGAGAGTTGAGTCCATGTTATCTCCTTTTTCGTTTCACATATTCCCTAGTATTTTCTAAATATATCACCTTTGCTCACGAACATGAGATTCTCGACTCTTGTATTTTTGATTTCAAGGAATGAATTTTACATCGTTAGGCTTCCATGAAATATTCTTGGGCATAGAAACATTCTTGGGCATACAAATGTATTATTAATTGCTAGCTGCAGCTTCGCTCGATGTCCCCACTGCTTGCCCCTCAGCCACCGCATCTCCGACCTCCTTCCTAACTGCCGCTCCTGGATCAAGCTGCAGAGCAGGGTCGATGACGTCGTTGGTATCATCCTCGGAGTCGGAACCATCCTCATCCTCATCCCCATCCCCGTCTCCATCATTCACCGCGCCAGTCTGCGTCGGGACGCCCTTTTTCAACTGATATTCCGTATATAGGCGCGTGGCACGGGCGGTGAGCAGCTCTGTGTCGATCCAGAGTTCAGGATTTTGTTGTTTATTGATATGTCGGTCGAGCAACTCTTCCTATTTCTTCTTTTGGTCCGGATAGTCCTCTACTGCCAAGAGACTACGGCGGTAGTTGTGGTAGTGACGTGCCAGAGTGGCGATTGGATCCCTCCTTGCCATAACGAGGGCTCCTTTCAACAGAGAAGCGACACGGGGGCTTAGCCCAGCAGAGGCTGATTCGTATCGCTCCAATGAGACGATGATGGAATGCTCAAGGAGCTGTGCATATGTGACACCGACGAAGATGCCGAACTCGGTGCTTGCAACGTGATATGGATTGAATTCATCGATGAAAGGTTCTTCTGGAATGGCAGGGGGTTCAGGTGGGGATCGGTTTTGCAAGGATCTTATCTGCTCATTACGAGCCTTTCGCCTCATACGAGCCATCGTCTGCTGCACTTCAACAACATCGGGTTTTTCTTTCTTGCGCTTGAGATAGGCTTCTCGATTGATGAGCTTGGGATCTTTTAAAAGCCTGATGGAGGTACGGTAAAATTCGAGATGTTCGGTCTTACAGTGAGCCTTGTAGCGTGTATCCGACGTCGTTCCAGTGAATTTCTTGCCGCAGATGCCGCAGTCTCTCCTGGTCATGATGATTTGCTTGATTTAGACCCACATATTGGTGGAAACGGCCTATGAAGATAATGCCAAGCGAAATACGCAGGGATGTCATTTAGGGTTGAAAATTTTTCGCCGATTACCTCCCATCGCTTCTTCGCTTCCTCTCCCTTTCTGCACCCCACCTTCTCATCCCTGTAACGGCAGCTAGACGGATTGGCTATGTGAGTTGTCTGGGTACAAGGGAGAAGGATTATGCAGTGTGGTTGGGTTTAGTGAAGTGGGTTTCTATTATGTTCTATTTGTTTCTGTTACGCGAGGGTATGAGTCAGCATTGGGATAGGGTATGGATATATAAGGGGGGCGTTGTCTCGTGATTTCTTGTTTCTCTTTCTTTCTCTTTTCTCTTTATGCAACCTCTGTACTTTACAGTCACGAATACTATTTGGTTCGCGCTACGTCATAGGGTTTACCCGGTATACTAGACCAGGTACAACCATCCATAGTCCATAGTCCACAGTCTCCGTTCTTGCCTTAGGTGTACCCTTCGGCCCCATAGTCCATAGTCCACGAACTTCCTACGTCCACGTCTTCGCCTCGGTTGTATTCCTTGGCTTCATAGTCCCTACGCCCATAGTCCCCGTTAGACTTAGGTTGCATCCTCTACAGCCAACCAATACAACACCGCCTCGCTTAGCTCTGGTCGCGACCATGTCCGACATCACTCAAGATACGTTGTTGCAGCGTCTTTCAGAATTTTTGACCATATATGGTCCTCTCCCAGCGGATATAGACTTCGGTGATGAACTTACCGAGGCCCATAATCTCATTGCTGAATGTTTGGAGGCTTTCACCAAGCCTTCCGAAATCCCCGAACCCGTTATCAACACGGCTCAAGAAGAGGTCATTATCGATCTCACCAAGGAACTCGAAGCAGCTGACGAAAAGGCTGCCGATCTATTGCAAACCTTGTCCGAATGCCAGGAAGACTTTACCGAGACTATCCAGGGCCGCGATGAAGTTATCGTTGCTCTCAAGGGCGAGCTCGAAGAATCAAAGGCCGAAGAAGAAGAACTTCGGTATCGTCTCGCCCTACACCAGGAAAGTCTCGCCATTGCCGACGAGAACCTCGCCGATGCTGAAGACGAAATTCTTCACATCATCTCTGCTGCAAAAGCCTGGGAAGCCCAAGCCAATGCCACTATTGCCGGTCTTCGTTCTCGTATCTCCGTCTCTGCCGCTACAGTTAAACCTCGCCATGTCTCCAAGTCTCGCTATCTGTCCCCTCGCTCTCAGGATCCCCGTACCATTAGTAATTGGCGAGAAAGGCCAATTGAAAATGTGTCCCCAAAGCCGGCGCTAAAAGGTCAGCCCCTTTGGTAAAAAATGGCAAACCAAAGGGGCCAGCCCCGCCACCTGTTTCTGTTCTCCCTGCTGCTGCTGTGTCTGAGGATAAGATGTCCGAAGACTCTCTTGTTGTTACCTGTTCGGTCTCTCAGAATTCCGACTCCTTCATTCCCACCTACGCTCTCATTGATACTGGAGCATCAGGATATGCTTTTATCGATGAATCTTTCGTACGTTACAATAATCTTGCAATGACCCCTCTTAGGAAACCTCGCCAGGTAGATGTTATGGATGGAAGACCTATCCAGTCAGGAGAAATTACCCACATTGTCGATGTTTCACTAGATATTCATGGCCACCGAGAAATTGCTTCATGTTTCGTTACAAAGTTGGGACATTATCCGATCGTGATGGGAATACCGTGGATGCGACGGCACGATGTCACCATTCGGCCAAAGGATAATCTACTTGTTTTTGATTCTCGGGACTGTATTAAACACTGTTCACTCAATGAAACTGCAGTCACTGTCCATGGAATATCGATCCCTCTACCAGAACATCATACTATTGTCGTTTCAGCAGTTGAGAAATCCACCGTCAACGTCAAGCAACTAGTACCAAAGGAGTTCCACCATCGTCTCCACATGTTCCAAGAATATGATGCTTCTGTCCTGCCGCCACATCGACAGTCCCATGATATTGAGATCGTATTGGAGGAAGGTAAACGACCTCCATATGGACCAATATACGGCCTGTCCCAGATTGAATTAAAAGCGCTACGGGAATACCTCGATGAAAATCTACCAAAGGGATTTATCAGAGCTAGTGAATCACCGGCAGGAGCACCTATACTATTCGTAAAGAAAAGTGATGGGACTCTCCGGCTATGTGTGGATTACCGAGGTCTCAATGCGATCACAGTCAAAAATCGGTACCCGTTACCACTGTTAAAGGAAACTTTGGCTAAACTTTCGAAGGCACAGTACTATACCAAGTTGGATCTACGTTGGGGATACAATCAGATCAGGGTAGCGGAGGGAGACGAATGGAAAACGGCATTTAGAACTCGATATGGACATTTCGAGTATACAGTAATGCCGTTTGGATTAGCCAACGCCCCCGCCACCTTTCAACATTGGATTAATGATATTCTACGCCCCTACCTCGACCAATTTGTAACGGCGTATTTGGACGATATCCTGATTTATTCCGAAACTCTATCGGAACACAAGGAACACATTCAAAAGGTTTTGAAGGTACTTGATGAGAATCATGTCCATCTTAAACCTGAGAAGTGTGAGTTTATGGTTCAAGAAACAAAGTATCTTGGTTTGATTCTCACCCCGGATGGGAATCGAATGGATCCGAAGAAAGTTGTCGATGTTTTGGAGTGGTCTACACCAAGGAACCTTCATGATGTTCAAGTATTTTTGGGATTTGCGAATTTCTATCGACGGTTTATTTTAGGATATTCAAGGATTGTTGCTCCGCTTACGGCTTTGACCAAGAAAAATATTAAATTTGAATGGACGGATGAGAGGGAGGAGGCATTCCAGATATTGAAGAAGATGTTCATAACGGCACCCATACTAATGCATTTTGATCCGGATCGGAAAATCGTGGTAGAAACCGATGCATCCGACTATGTTTCTGCTGGAATCCTGTCCCAACGTGACAACGAAGGAATTCTACATCCAGTCGCTTTCTTCTCTAAGAAACATTCCCCTGCGGAATGTAACTATGAGATCTATGACAAAGAACTCCTGGCGATCGTACGATGTTTTGAGGAATGGCGACATCATTTAGAGGGGGCACAATTCCCAATTGAAGTTCTGAGCGACCATCGGAACCTTGAATATTTCATGTCAACAAAGTTATTAAACCGTCGACAAGCCCGTTGGTCGGAATTTCTTTCACGTTTCGATTTCGTCATTCAATTTAGACCAGGAAAACAAGGGGCGAAACCAGATGCATTGACTAGGAGGTCGCGTGACCTGCCTAAAGAAGGGGATGAGCGGTTGACCCATCAGAGTCAAGTGGTGTTGAAGCGAAAAAATTTAGATGCAAAGCTAAGTTTGTTCGCGGGTTCTTTTTCAAATGAATCCGCTGAAGGAATGTCCACTGTAGAAGAGTTGTTTTTAAATGCTTACCAAGTTGACAGTTTCCCGAACAAAGTACTCGCGATGCTTCGGAACGGCGTCCGTCACTCGAATAAGATCTCGCTTGCCGAATGTACGGAAGATAATAACGGTCGGCTACTTTACCGTGGCGCACTCTATGTACCGGATGTCGACGACCTTCGGCTAAGACTCCTAAAGGAACATCATGACAAACCATCGGCAGGCCATCCAGGTAGAGCGAAGACTTTGGAACTCCTGAATCGAGAGTACTACTGGCCACAGATGCGAAAATATGTCGACCAGTACGTTAGGAATTGCAGTGTGTGTGCCCGTAGCAAGGCACCACGCAATGCACCTTATGGGGTACTTCGACCTATGCCAATACCCGATGGACCATGGACAGATGTGTCAATGGATTTTGTTACCGACCTCCCAGAGAGCGATGGATACAATGCAATCTTGGTCGTGGTGGATAGGTTAACTAAGATGCGACACCTAATACCAACAACAAAGGAGGCGGATTCAAGGGAAGTAGCGAGACTGTATATTGACAATGTTTGGAAATTACATGGGTTACCCGACACTATGGTATCCGATCGAGGGACACAATTCGTTGCGGAATTCTGGAGGTCTCTTTGCGACCGTCTGGAAATATCACCAAAGTTTTCTACTGCGTTCCACCCTCAGACGGATGGGCAGACGGAAAGGATTAATGCCGTGATGGAACAGTACCTTCGGAGTTATGTTTCCTATCAACAAGATGACTGGACTCGATGGTTACCAATGGCTGAATTTGCGACCAACAATCACACTTCAGAAACAACAAAGATATCTCCTTTCTTTGCCAATTCAGGACGAAATCCAAGAATGACGTTCGGTCCTTTGGAACATGGTAGGACGACAGCAGAGGATCAGGCTAATGGTATCGCACGGGAGATGAAGGAGGTATTAGATTTTCTACGAGATGAGTTGTTCCGAGCGCAAAGGATTCAAGAAGAGTCGGCCAATACCAGTCGGGCTCCCGCTCCTCACTATCGTGTGGGAGATAAGGTTTTCCTATCCACCCGCCATGTCCTTACCAAACGACCCTCGAAGAAACTCGATTGGAAGCGTATTGGGCCATATGTTATTAAACGAATTGTCAATCCCTATGCCTATGAATTAGAACTTCCTCGTTCTATGAAGGTCCACCCTGTATTTCATGTTTCGTTACTGTCGCCGGAAGCCATTGATCCCCTACCAGGACAACAACAGTTACCACCACCACCGGTCGAAGTTGAAGGACAGGAGGAGTGGGAAGTCGAGAATATTTTGGATTCCAGGGATCGTCGAGGAAGATTTGAATACTTGGTTAAGTATGCCGGTTATGACGAAGCTTCGTGGCAGCCATTGTCGGATGTCGAACACTCGCCTGATATTGTCAAACGATTTCACGAACGATATCCACGGAAGCCTAAGCCTACCAGGAGGTAGGCCGTAGAGGGGGGAGTGGTCTGTAACGGCAGCTAGACGGATTGGCTATGTGAGTTGTCTGGGTACAAGGGAGAAGGATTATGCAGTGTGGTTGGGTTTAGTGAAGTGGGTTTCTATTATGTTCTATTTGTTTCTGTTACGCGAGGGTATGAGTCAGCATTGGGATAGGGTATGGATATATAAGGGGGGCGTTGTCTCGTGATTTCTTGTTTCTCTTTCTTTCTCTTTTCTCTTTATGCAACCTCTGTACTTTACAGTCACGAATACTATTTGGTTCGCGCTACGTCATAGGGTTTACCCGGTATACTAGACCAGGTACAACCATCCATAGTCCATAGTCCACAGTCTCCGTTCTTGCCTTAGGTGTACCCTTCGGCCCCATAGTCCATAGTCCACGAACTTCCTACGTCCACGTCTTCGCCTCGGTTGTATTCCTTGGCTTCATAGTCCCTACGCCCATAGTCCCCGTTAGAATCCCCTCTGCATCATCCCATCTTCTTCTTCGCTTCCTCTCCCTTTCTGCACCCCACCTTCTCATCTCCTCTGCATCATCCCATCTTCTTCTTCACAATCTTTGCTAACCATCGCGCCTCGCGTATACATGTAGTCTTCTGCTCATAATACCAGTGTCGTGTTTTTCTCATTGTAATCTGGTAGAGCACCCATCCCATCCTACGACGTTCACTGATTCTCGCGTGTAGTGTCGCGTTTTTCGTACTAATCTGGTAGATATCCTACTCCTATCCCATAAATTGATGAGTTCACTGATTCTCGCGTGTAGTGTCGCGTTTTTCGTACTAATCTGGTAGATATCCTACTCCTATCTCACCCATAAATTGATGAGTTCACTGATTCTCGCGTGTAGTTTATCATAATAACAGTGTGGTGTTTATTATTGTAACCCCCCCTCCCCAACCTCCAATCACAATTATGAGTTCACACTAAATGTAATTCTCTGGTGGCGTGCAGGGTGGTTTTTATCATAACAACAGTATCGTGTCTATCATTGTAATCCCCTCCTTCTTCCCCTCCGATGGCGCGTTCACTAATTCTGGTGTGTAGTGTACAGTATGAAAAAACGGGGTAAAATCACTACCATAGGACTACGGAACATACATGTGATGGCGAATACCGAATCAAATCGGAATTGTAGGAAGAATACTGTACCAATGCCGTATTTTTTACCACATTACTAGCGCATTGACGAGAATACTGTAGTGATCCCACCCCCCTTTTTGGTACTGTAGTGTTGATAATGTTATGTTTATTGTTGTAATCTGGTAAGTACCCCCCTCTTGATTTCTAATTATCATCTAATTCTCTCGTGTAGTACATGTACATGTAGTGGTCGCGTGTATCGTACAGAGTAACCTGGTAAACGAATACCCCTTCCTATCGGAAAATGCTCTGTTTTCTAATTCTCGCGTGTAGAACATTGATATACATACATGTACATACATACATACACGTACATGTATGTATATAGTACTGTAGTGGTATGTATTATAATCTGGTAAATGAATACCCCCTCTTGGCTTCCAATTCTCAACACCAGTTTACTAACTCTCGAGTGTAGTGGTGCATGTGTGTACTGGAATATTGTGTATATCGTAGTTTAAACAAACTGACTGATGATTATTTCGCTGCAGTTGGGAAATTTGATGTAAAAGAACAACTACATGTATGTGAGATTTTAGACATACATTGAAAATCAAACTGTAGATTAGATAATAAAATACATGATAAAATCAATTGTATGTAAAAATATTATCTTCATGCAATAATTCATTTGATTAGTCTACGAAGAATACATGTATAAATATCGTGTATTCTTTTAAAAGGACTACAAGTCAATATGACATGTGCACTAACTCGTGGAATACATGCCTTATTTTGCAAAACAATGCGGCAGCGTTGCGGTATGTCACAAAAAAATGCGGCAGTGTTACGGAAGAATGCCGCAGCATTACGGCAGCAGGTCCAGGTATTGTTGAGACAATACCTGGGGCGCGTGCGGTAGTGGTGTGGCAGTCGTGCCGCATTTGCCGGGTATGATGTAGTGTAGACAATACCGCAACAATACCGTAGCACTACCGCAGGGGTCGCTAACACCCCTGCGGTAGTGCTACGGTATTGTTGCGGTATTGATAGAAATACAGTATTGCAGGCATCCCGGATTGTTTCAACATTACGGGATGCTAGGAATACTACAGTTCTAACAATACCGTATTATGATCGCATTGTGCCAACCATACGGTATTTAATTTAATACCGCAGTACTGCGGTAGTACTGCGGTATCAGAACCTCCCCATTTTCTGGTACTGTATGTACGAGCAGCTTTCTGCTTACCGCAGGCACTTGCCGGGGTCCGCGCCTTCTCTCTTGTTAAAAACTCTACCCGGAGCTAGCTTGTTAGCTAGCGTCGACTAGTCGGCGTAAATAAAGACCGCTAGAGTAAATGGGGAAATAGATATGTTTGCGAGTGACACGCCATGACCAAACCCCGACAGTGATTCTGCGGACACGTACCGCGCAACAACACTCAACAGTGTCCACAGCACTGGGTTCCTGCATGACGATACCTGTCCTGCATCCTCCTCAACAAAGACCCGGGCTACGACCCCACCCACCATGCATGCATACATTCCACAACCATTCCATACCCCACCACCACCACCACCGCCGCCGCCGCCCTACCCCACACCACCACCACCACCACCACCACCACCCCATCACAAACCCGGCTTCGGTGCTATTTGGCCCGTGGACAGCATCCCGCCCGGTACAGCAGGCCCGGTACGCAAGTCCCGGACCTGCAGATCACCCAACCTGGTTCCCGGCCGGACGACGTTTTCCCGCGTCGAGGCGAAAAATGCTTGTTTTCTCTGGGCATGCGCCTCCCAACCCAACCCAACCCAACCCAACCACGTGGGAAATTGCCGTTTCGGTGTGTGCGTTTGTGAGACAGAGTGAGATGTTGTTAGGGCATTAAATGGATGTTCCGAGATGGCATGGGGGGGGGGTCTTGGTGGTGGTACAGGGTGGTTGTTGAGCTTGCAATTGATGGTCAGTGCTGCGTTACTGCGGGAGGCTTGAGTTTAATTCAGGTGCTGATTAACAGGAGATGGATCCCATGTTCGGCCTCTGAGACTATCGGTCTTCAAGAGTTGAGCACACGCAGATTGAGACCATGCCTGAATGTCCCTGGATTTCAATTGAAGACGGACTAACCGGAATTGGACGGCTCATCAAGACGCTAAGACGCTAAGGCAAATCAGGACGGTAGGCCACGATAGCCGCAGAAACCACTGCACTCAACTCAAACAAGCCCATGTCTCCTACTCAGATATTGATCATCATGCTATTCGTAGATAAGCAGTTGATGTTCAATAGGTGTTTATCCTTCACATCCGGTTTTTCGTTTCTCCGTTGGAAAGGTTTTCTGACATTACCGGATGATTTAGGAATTCACGCAGTCGTATCATCTCTTGATGATGAGGGAAATTCCGGCAGTGGCAAGATATTTGGAAAATATTTTAAGCTCACGATCTATGCTGTCGTCACCCGGCATCATGCCATCCGTAATTAAAGGGCTACTAGATGGCGATATTTCGCTCAAACTCGATAGTTTAAACTCCGATAGGTTATTTAGGTTACCCCTAGATTGGTTCCAAAACATTGCCTGGGTGAATTTTGATTATGGCAGTAGTTAGTTCAGCCTCTTCAGCCAGCTGGTGTTCTTTGGTTTATTAGCGTAGGGCTATACCCAGGCCCATTCTAAACCACCAAAACTCACTCGATTTCTCACAACCAGGATTAGCCTTGGCAGTACCTCATCCTGTGATTTCTTCACAACCATAGGTCACTAGTAGCCAGGAGGGATACGCTGATACACTCCCCAGCTTAAGGAGGAAGATTTCAGGGCTATGTTTATGGAGATATTTCATGGATTTATATTGCATCCGTCAGGTACAAAAGCAGAGCATTATGCACATAAATTCCCCCCGAGGTCACCCTTTAGAATCCTTGGCAATAACATTCCTTCTTCCAAACGGAAGTTCTTGCATTCGGGAGTCTATCCGTAATCGCGTCTTTTTCCTGCTGATCTTACCTCTTTACTCTCACTTTAATAATTATTCCCCACGGCAAACTCCGATTCACGTACCCCGGAACCCAAAAAAATATATAGATTTCTTCCAGTGATACGTACGTCATATAATATATTCCCAGGGAGTATAATCTCCCCCAGCATTTTCGGTACTCGATCCGAACAACTTTCTTCGGTAGGACGGCCGGCCGCGGGGTTTCCTCGAAAAGGTATGCGCAGAAAAGATTTTTCTTCTATCAGTAATATACTACTCTATTTCATTCCCCAATTTATGTGATCATTCCCCACATTTTGAGCCCTTTTTTCTCCACACCCCAACCCCACAAAAGAGAAGCATGGGGTACGTCACGTCAATCATGTCAGGAACAACTTTTATTCCGAGTCTGCATAATATTGTAGATTTTTTCTATGATTCCTTCCGCGATGCCGCGTAGTTTCCGAATAGAACGAACGCTCTCCGCGAGATGTCTTGAACGAATATACACTTCTTGATCTTATTTCGGCGCAATATGTGGTGAGAGATGAGGATTTCGGTACTCTGGCTAAATGTTTCACATTTTCACAGATCGACAAGTTCCACCTGACAGGCTCCATCTGACACCAAGGAAAAACAAGCATTTGGACTCGAGCCCTCCAGCGCCGGTCATCCGCTCACTACTACCTATAACTGATCTGCAATAAGGGGGGTGATCTCTATTGACAAAGAGGACTTTTAAATACCCTCTCACGGTCCTCCGAAATATCATCATCACAACTCACTTACATTCCTTCAATTCGATCACTACTTAGCTAGCTTCCCAGCACTCCAAAATGCGTTCACTATCACTTGCCCTCCTCGGCGCTCTTACAGCCCTAACCCACGCGGCAACGCCAGCCGAATGGCGCTCCAAATCGGTCTACCAAGTCTTGACCGACCGTTTTGCCCGTACGGATGAATCCACCACGGCCAGCTGCAACACGGAGGATAGAAAGTATTGCGGAGGTACCTACCAGGGTATCATCAATAAGTTGGATTATATTCAGGGGATGGGATTCACTGCTGTGAGTTGTTTTGAAGGATTACATAATTATAAGTTTCTCCTTTAAAGTCACATGGACTTATATAAGTGATACTACTAGATCTGGATCTCCCCTGTCGTCGAGAACATCGAAGAAACCACTGCTTATGGTGCAGCTTACCACGGGTACTGGGCAAAGGATATTTATGCTCTCAATAGCAACTTTGGAACTGCTGCTGATTTGGTTGCGCTTTCTGCTGCTATCCATGCTCGTGGAATGGTTTGTTAAACTACTATTTTGATATTATGTTTTTTTAAACGCTAGCTAATTGATAATCACGTGTGTAGTACTTGATGGTCGATGTAGCGCCTAACCATTTTGCCTGGTCTGGCACAGCTGCATCCGTTGATTACAGTGAATTTGTGCCTTTTAACTCTGAGGATTATTTCCACTCTTTCTGTTTCATTTCTGATTACTCCAACCAAGATAACGTCGAGGATGTATGTATCTCCCTCCCTATCACTCGGCATGCTACTCTCCGCATATGATACTGATTTCGTCAAGTGCTGGCTCGGCGACAACAGCGTCCCTCTCGTAGACGTTAACACCGAGTTGACAACGGTGCAAACTGAATACCACGAATGGGTCGCTGAGCTTGTCTCCAACTACTCCAGTAATTACCACATCCCCTAATTGTATCTTTGTTACTGAATTAACATTCCTTAGTCGACGGACTCCGCATCGACACTGTCAAACATGTGCAGCAAGACTTCTGGCCCGACTTTGAAGACGCCTCGGGCGTGTACTGTGTCGGCGAAGTGTACTCCGGCGATGCTTCCTACACCTGCCCGTACCAGAACTACTTGTCTGGTGTTTTGAACTTCCCTGTTTACTACCCGTTGATCAGAGCCTTTACCAGCAGCAGCGGCAGTATTTCTGAGCTGGTTTCGATGATCTCAACTGTAAAGAGCAGTTGCGCCGATTCGACACTTCTTGGAACATTTTCTGAGAACCATGATTTGCCGAGATTTGGAAGTGTAACGAGTGATACTTCTGTAAGTTATAGTGACGAGATGTTGGGTGAGTTGTGCTGATATCGGAATAGTTGGCCAAAAACGTCATTGCATTCAACATCATGGCTGATGGTATCCCAATCAGTAAGTCATTCACAAGTCCCCAGAAATTCAAGAATAAGATACTAACCACTCATTCTTCCTGCAGTCTATGAAGGTCAGGAACACTTCTACACTGGAGCTTCCGACCCCGCCAACCGTGAGGCAATCTGGTTCTCCAAATACGATACCACCGCCACACTGTACACCCACATTGCTTCCCTCAACCAGATCCGCAACCGTGCGATTGAAGTTTCTGGAACTACTTATCTCACGTACCAGGCCTGGGTCATCTACTCTGACACCAACAGTCTGGCTATTCGCAAGGGCGATATTGTTACTGTGATGACGAACTTGGGATCGAGTGGAAGCGCGACTTTGTCTGTAACCAGCACAGGATACACTGCGGGAGCGACGGTGGTTGATGTCCTCTCTTGCACAACTCTTACAGTTGGGACTTCCGGAACTTTGTCGGTTTCGATCAGCAGCGGGTTGCCAAAGGTGAGTGCTATGAAGTTGTCAGAAGTAGAGAAGATGAATGATACTGACTGGTTTAATAGGTCTTCTATCCAAGCGCCTCACTTTCTGGGTCTGGTATTTGCAGCTTGTAGGAATCGAAATCGGTGGCTTTTACTAGTTAGCTTTTTTCCTTTGTTACAGCCTATCGTCCCTTTGAGAGGGAACGGAAAGAAAAATCTCCTGTGTCTATAGAAAGCAAGAGGACGGACGAATCGCAAGATGCCCAAGAAAATTTAGTGAATACAGATTCGGGGTAGCGTCCCTTTTTCAAAGCTCTTAACTCCCGGTCCCTTTTGCCCGTGATCATGAAGCTCTAGACTCTAGAGTTAATTAGGCCATGGTGATTATCGGCAACTCGGACAGGCACGCCGGAGAGGCACGCGAACTCGCGATAGAAGGGCAGGAGAGCAAAAAAAAAATCGGCGCGACGCGATCCCATGGGCTATAAACGCCACTAATATTGGTTAATTAGAGTTGACTACTGCATAAGCGGCAAAGTACAGGCCTGTACTTTATTCCCCAGTATGAAAACGGTGGGGCCCAAGGTACTCCGTCCAGGCTAAAGGGACGATGTGAGTGTGGGGTGAGTGACTGAGTTGTGGAGAGGCGGAGGAGAGTGTGGATGGTGTCTCCCCCGAGATGCCGGCCAAGCCCGGCATACCGGACTACCGTACCTCAAAGTACCCCGCTGCGTTGAAGATGCGGCACACTGAGTGGAACGTGAAATCATGGAAAAACTACTCTTAGTTACATATGTAAAGAAAGTCGCTCTTGCAGTTTTTCCGGTGCCGTCCAGTTGTGGAGGGATGGAAAGTTCCGAGAGGTACTTTGTACTTCCTTTTGTGGAGATGTATCGCAGGATCAGCGTGCCTAGTTATTTTGCTGATGTTTTTCAGGTTCCTTGAATTTCAGTGCTGGAGAGAAGGCCGTGCTGGAGAAAGCCGTGCTGGAGAGATGGATCTGGTACCTGGGGAAATGATACTTGGGATGTGAGCAACGTCTATCTAATCTTATCTCATCAATAGAAAAATATAGAGTGGTGCTGGGAAACATAGATCCCCTCCTTCACTTGCGCGACCTTTCAATTTCAAGCCTCCTCCATCATTTGCAGGGATGCTTAATTATTTCCCTTACCTGGAGAAAGGAACCAAGAACCAAATGCGGGGTTTTAAGTTGGGTGTGTGCATTTTCCATCTGCAAGTAGCATGTGGGGAAAAGAGCGGCCGGCCGGAAAGCCAACGGCCGGCAGAGGCACTCTCACTCTCCGAGTCGCTTGCCCACACTCGCTCACTCACCTGGCTCTACCCAAGTCTCCCAAGACAAAGCAAATACAGTTAGATCTGTTGGTTCCTTGGTAACTAACTCGCAGGGACCACCAAAACAACAAATTCATCCACATGAAAGGCAGACTGTCCATCTACTCTATTCCTAGACGTAAATTTTACCAGCCCCCAGACACCCAAGCACCCATTATCACATCTGGCCGGTCCCGGTCCGCCGTTGTGGGAAGCGAAAGCTGGTTAGAGGCTCTGCCAGACTCCAGACTACCCTTTATTCTACCGAGGTCTTAGTATTTACCATACAGGCACGTAGAGTGAGTAGAGTGCTCTATGTAGCAATCCCTGTCCTCTGTGATGTCGGTGGTGTAATTGGCACGATGTGCGGCACTCCACAACAAGCAGCATCGCAATTTGCCTCTCTGTCTCTGCCTCTACCTCACACCCCCCCGGTCTCTCCGGGTGAACACGAGAAGAGACAAATGTAGATCGGCTCTGAGTTGAGGATTCACGGTTTAAATACCTTCAGATCCCACCATGTATCGATTCCGTTCCTCAACCTTGGGTCCACCGAGCTCTCTCTCCTCATCACCAATCCACCTCTATCTCTTTCAATAGTCACTGGGGATCTTTGCAAACATGCCTTCCATTCGCAGTCTCGCGCTGCTCGGATCGTTCGGTCTTGCCTCTGCGGCTTCAGTCTTGAGTCCTCGCTCCGTCGACTTGGACGCCTGCCCGGGTTACAACGCGAAGAATGTCAAGGAGAACAAGAACGGCTTCGTTGCCGATCTTACTTTGGCCGGAAAGGCCTGTGATGTTTACGGAAAGGACTTGAAGGACTTGAAGTTGGAGGTTACTTACGACTCCAGTTAGTTATTCCGCGCTCCCCCGATTGCGATTGCGGTTGTTTTGATATTGACTGTGCAAAAATAGACACTCGTATCCACGTCAAGATCACCGACCCCGAAGGCAAGCGCTACGAAGTCCCCGAGTCTGTCGTTCCCCGTCCTACCACCAATGCCACCGGAAGCGCCAAAAAGTCGGACATCGTCTTCGAGTACAAGCAATCCCCCTTCAGCTTCAGCGTCACCCGCCGCAGCACTGGTGAGACGCTCTTCGACACCACCGGGAACGCTCTCATCTTTGAGAGCCAGTACCTCCGTCTGAAGACAAACCTCCCCGAAAACCCAAACATTTACGGTCTTGGAGAGCACACCGAATCTCTTCGTCTCAACCCTACCAACACCACCCGTACTCTCTGGTCCAGGGACTCTTATGGTGTCCCCCAGGATTCCAACTTGTACGGAAACCACCCGGTCTACTATGAGCACAGGGACTCTGGAACCCACGCCGTCCTCATGTTGAACTCCAACGGAATGGACATCAAGCTCAGGAATTCCAACACTACCGGAGCCTACAGCTTGGAATACAACATTATCGGTGGTATTCTTGATCTTTACTTCTTCGCCGGTCCCGACCCAGTTGAGGTTGCCAAGCAGTACTCCGAAGTCGTTGGATTGCCCGCCATGATGCCATACTGGGGATTCGGTTTCCACCAGTGCAGATACGGATACCGTGACTGGATTGATGTTGCTGAGGTCGTTGCAAACTACTCTATGGCTGGGATCCCTCTTGAGACCATGTGGACCGATATCGACTACATGTACGAGCGTTGGGTCTTCACTCTCGATCCCGAGCGTTTCCCCATCGACAAGGTCCGTGAGATCATTGACTACCTCCACGCCCACGACCAGCACTACATCGTCATGGTCGACCCTGCGATTGCCTACCAAGACTACCCTGCCTTCAACCGCGCTCTCGAGTCCGACACCCTTCTCAAGGAGGCCAATGGCACCGTCCACAAGGGTGTTGTCTGGCCTGGTGTTACTGCATACCCCGATTGGTTCCATCCTAACATCGAGTCCTACTGGAACAATGAGTTTGCCGAGTTCTTCAATGCTGATACCGGTGTCGATATTGATGGTGTCTGGATCGACATGAACGAGCCTGCCAGTTTCTGCTCTTACCCTTGTTCGGACCCTGAGGGCGAGGCCATTGCGCAGCAGATGCCTCCCAAGAGACTCCCTGTTAGGGACCCTCCTAGGTCAATTCCTGGCTTCCCATCCACCTACAGCGCAAAGAAGACTAGGTCTATTGATGCCGTTTCTGGTGCTTCCAACAAGGTTAGGGCTCGTAGAGCCAGCACTGAGATTGACTTGATCGCTCCTGCGTACTCAATTGCCAACGATGCTCCTTACGGCTTGAGTGACCGCACTGTTCACACTGACATTGTCCACTACGGTGGTTACCTTGAATACGACACTCACAATCTTTATGGAACCAGTAAGAATTCCCAAACCATCCTCCACTTCCACTCGTACTAACGCAACTCTATAGTGATGTCTGATGCAACCTACGGCGCCATGTCTGCTCGTCGCCCCGGTCTCCGCCCCCTTATCATTACCCGTTCCACCTTTGCTGGTGCCGGAAAGAAGGTCGGAAAGTGGCTCGGTGACAACCTCTCCACCTGGGAACAATACCGCTGGTCCATCCCCGGCATGCTCGGCTTCGCCTCATTCTACCAGATCCCCATGGTCGGTTCTGATGTCTGTGGGTTTGGAGCCAACACCACTGAGACTCTCTGCGCTCGTTGGGCAACTCTTGGTGCATTCAACCCCTTCTACCGTAACCACAACGGTGACACCTCAATCTCCCAGGAGTTTTACAGGTGGCCCTTGGTTGCCAAGGCTGCAAAGAATGCTATCGATATCCGTTACAGGCTCTTGGACTACATCTACACTGCCATGTACAAGCAGCACAAGACTGGTGTTCCATTGATCAACCCCTTATTCTTCAAGTACCCCAAGGACAAGAACGTTTACGATATCGAATACCAGTTCATATACGGTGATTCTATCCTCGTCTCCCCCGTCACCGCCGAGAATGTCACCACTGTCGACATCTACCTTCCTGAAGGCCAGTTTTACGAGTTCACCACCGGAAAGTCTGTTAAGGGTGAGGGCAAGTTCGTCACTTTGACTGATGTTGACTATGATGTCATTCCTCTCCACATCATTGGCGGATCCATCCTCCCTCTCAGGTCTGAGTCTGCTATGACTACCACCGAGTTGAGGACTAAGCCTTTCAACCTCATCATCGCCCCCGACAGCAAAGGATACGCCAAGGGTACTTTGTACGTTGATGATGGTGAATCTCTTGAGCAGGAGAAGACTTTGTCTGTGGAGTTTGTTTACAAGAGCAAGAAGCTCTCAGTCAAGTGCAACGGCGGTTTCTCTGGTGTCAAGGTTGAGAAGGTCACTTTGCTTGGTGCGTCCAAGAAGAGGTCCAGGGATGTTGATGAGAACGGTGTTTTGGTTGTCGAGGCTGAGAAGGATTTGTCTGGCGAGTGGACTTTGGACTTTTAGGTGTTATATTTTGTTTTGTAGATACCATAGCTCTGGGGGTGAAAGGTAGTTAGTAATTTTTGGAAGAATAAGAATATTGTTACTTTCTGGATTCATGGATTCTCACTCGCTATCCTAATATTACTATAATACCCTGTGAACGAAGTAACACCCCTTTGGGGTCAAAGAAAAAAGCAACACCTCAATCGATACGCTACCACCCGCCACGGAGAGATCCGAAATCCGATCACGCAATTACGTCACCGAGACCAAGCGAGGCGAGTACCTTTTTGATCGAGAAGTGAGAGGGCTTTCGCTTATTCGAAATGTGGCGTTTTAGAGTACTTTAAAATGCCTCCGCAGATCACGCCGAGTGATAATCCGTGAGGCATATGTGGGTATGATTAGATAATCTCGACGACGCCGACGCCGACACCCCCTAGTCGAGCAGCAGTCCCAGACAACGCCACTTGATCGCATGCTCATGACCTTACTGTTTTAGCATTCCAGATACAAGGACTGCTGTAGAGTACCTATATAGTGGTGCTAGGGACGGAACATGCCATTCCGCGGGGTATGTTCCCAAAGTGGAGGTTTACCTGGATATAGGGAATCGCTATGACGGCAAAAAGAACTCTCTGTTTTGTCAGATGGTTAAATTGTTATTGCCTCGAACGATTTGGCTTGATCTGTCTTTATCCACAAGGTGTCTGCCTTGTAAGCTCATGAGAGCAGCCCTCGTGTGTTCTTGCCTCGAGATGCTGTGGGTGAGCCTCAGTACACCGGGCTTATGTCCTTCCGAAACACGGAACGGTTTTGATTAGCAAAATAGGGGCCTCCAGAGGCTGGTATATCACATACTTACTCTTTTTGTATACCGAAGTGTTGTTTTCTCCGCGTTTAAAGATATCCTCTCGAAGATACCTTCCAGAGCTTGTAGGCCAAGCATCCTTGACCACAAATTCAATGAGAAGCGCACATGAGTACTGGAAGACACACTGTAGGTAACGAAAGGCCAAGGGACTGAGGTGATTCTGGTCTTGTGGTCCCGAGATCAGGCTAGTCTAGGGACAAGAAAAATTAGCAGAATTGAAGTCGATACCCCAGTTATTGCTAAGGCCGGATCGAAAGTCCAGCATTAAGTACAGTAATTGTTAACAATCATAAGCTAAACACTACATACTCTGCACTTTCTAACTGACGTTTCATTCGTTATTTATGTAAGCAACCAGGCCCGGAGACCAACGTGGCTAGGAGCAAGCAGATATCAGATTGATAAGATATTGATATCCTAGAAGACATCCGAATGCAGACATATACGTAGCTAGATGTAGACTCTCGGGCCAGTTGCTATCAATTAAAGTTCTGTTTGGAAGCCAGCCTTTGAGGGAATAAAAAACAGTATGATATTTACAACTCCTTTTCGCCCTATGGCTAGCATTGATACAAAAGACCAATTGGCTCACTAAGCCACGCCACCTTTATACCATTGTGATAACCCCACCCACGAATCCAAAATAAAAATCCTTAAAGATAAAATAGAAAATAAAAAATTGTTTCATTACATTCATATACGCCGACCAGGTGTAATAACCAAAAGAGAAAGAAAGAACAGTTTAAATCTAGACTTCAGTTTTAGATAACTCGGATGGTTTTTCGTTATCGAATGATTTGGATTCGAGGGATTGATCTACCAGAGCTGCAGCACCGGTGATTTGGTAACCTGAAGTTAAGGGTGATCTAGTTAGTTTCACATCAGCCAGAAAATAGAGAGGGATCTATGCACCTTTGAATTTCCTCGACGGTACCCCCTTTTGGAATAACTCATCACTAAAAGATTATGAAAATCAGTAAACCCCCATCAAAACAGGATAGAGTTATTGGACTAACAGTTCTTCCAACGCCCTGCCACTTGTCTCGGGAACAAAGATATATGTATAAACACCCCCTATAGCGACAAAGCAGGCGAAAATGAACCCAACTTTGGGTCCCAGGCCAGCCTGGTCTGCATTTGTCAAGTAGGGAAGGGTAAATGTCACGACCCACGAGGCCAGGATATTGGATGCGCTACCAAGCGCTTGTGTTTTCTCACGAATAGTATTTGTGCTGACTTCCGACGTTATGACCCACGCTCTATAAAATTTTTACCATTAGTGAACCTGTGAAAGGTGATGCAAGGGAGTGGTGCGTACAGTGGACCCCAGGAAGCCGCAAATCCAAAAACATAGATCAATACAAATGCCACAATGGCTTTCTTAGCCTTCATATCCCCCTCCTCAGCCTTCAAACCCGATACACCCACAGAAAGCTGCCCGATAAACATAATTACCGAACCTGCCAATAAGAGGGGTCTTCTTCCTAGACGGTCAACAAGGAAGAAGGAGACGACTGTCCCGATTAGGTTGACCAAGTTTGTCATTATCATGATTATGAAGGGGCCTCCAACACCGACTTGAGAGAAGAAAACTGTGCCATAGTTGAAAATGAAGGAGACACCGGTAAATTGTTGCATAACTTGGATGAGGATGGCGAGGAGGGTTCTTCTCTGATCTACAGTTAATATGATATTGGTAAGAAAGCAGAGGTATAGATAGACATACGAGATTTGTACCACGGAAACAGTCAGCCCACGTAGAAGACTTATTGAGTTCTTCCTGCTCGGTTATAGTGGCTTTGAGGAACGCAATCTCGCTTTCAACTGAGAAGTCGACGTCATCTTTGTGAAGTAAAGTTAAACTCTTTCTCGCATCCTCTTCTCGCCCCTTCTTCATTAACCAACCTATGTATACTCATATCAGCGATGTATTCTTCCCACCAGCCATATTGAGGGATGCTTACGTGGAGATTCAGGAAGGAATGGAAGCCCAGGAATAATCAAAATCGGGAGTATCAGTAGTAGGCCGATTGGAATCCGATATGATGCGTCGCTTTTAATGTGTTGTGTGAAGTTGTTAACAATCGAAATCACGAAGCTTCCGAGGACAATGTTTAATTGGTAGAGCGTAATCATTGTACCCCTGATTTTACGCGGAGAGCACTCGGCTATGGTTCATTGAGTATTTGGTCTTGAGACACACACATTAAGCCAGCAAGTGGGGTTTACCTTGATAGACGGGTACAAAGATTGTCGCAAAGCCGATTGATATATCTGTTTCCCCATAAATTAGTACAAATCTTTTAATTTTAACATCCCCAAACCGTACTAGAATACTCACAATTAAAAAACCTCCCCGCCACAAATAAAGCCTCATTCTTGGCCACAATTTGCATGACAACACCTACAATACTTACTACACACATCACAAACAGCCCCCACCTTCTTCCAAAGTGATCTCCAATATAACCTCCCACCATTGCCGCTCCGAACTGTCCCACATAGGGGAACGAAGTGATGAAGGACTGCTGGCTAGCAGAGATGTAATGCTTATTATGCACAGCATCGTACCTTCCAAAGTCCTCGATGAAGTTCGGCATGGCGAGGACCCCCGAGAGATATCCTCCGTCCATGCCAAAAATCAGCGCTCCAAGGGAGACGAAAACGCATAAAGCAACGACTATTATCCTTGCCATTTTGAGCCTGGTGTGAATATTGAACCAGGCGGCCTTATTATTAGAGGCTGGACTTAGCTAGTCCTTGGGATAGTTGAAGAAATCCGGGGGAGTGGAATGGTAAACAACTGATAAGGGTCTTGCAAGGGTTGAATGGAGTTTAAAAAGGGAACTCTGGGGAAGAAGAAAGCCAGTCCAGTCAACCGTTTTATAGAGTAACTCTTCGGCAACCCCATGGGGAAAAGAAAAGAGGAGGAACGGCGGTTTCTACATCTCGTTACATCGCGTGCGTACATCCATCCTCGCTTAAGCAGGTCGGCCTTGGCAGTAACTGCCGGACCCCGAGATGCCGGTATTATTCCCAGAGATATATGTACAGTAGTTCAACTATGTGCACAAAAACAGTGTCTTTGATCAATACACACACTTAAGAGAATAAATCTGCGCAGATGGGTCATCTTTGTGGCGAATAAGCTGAGATATTAAAAAAGGATATACAATCGATATCCAGATGGTTGAACAGGTTGTATTACCTACTATATACTATGGTCCTGCATGATCTTACACTTCCAATTGTAAGTGCACATTTGATTACTCCATCAATCACTGCTATCCATCCCCGTGGGGAAACCTCGGGGTATTTTTATGCAGGAGATATCAATCGCAGAACTTGGAAGCCGGGTCTCGCTCATATAGGAGGCTGTATAAAATATAGAGTACCTACATGTACTCTATGTACCAGGTACTATGTATGTATGTACCTTTAAATACCCACATATGTTCCTAGATTCAATACATGCAGCTACGAGAGATATGAATATTGTGTCATAATCAAGCGCTCACTGTTTGTGAAAATATTTGCGTACTAGTGTTGTGTGCATCTTATCACCACTGTAGGGTTAAAATCTCAGCTGAAATAATAATACGAAGTCCACGTATGCGTGTACCACGGTGAAACTTGGCTGCTTCTTTCTCAGACAAACAGGCAGAAAATTTAGGTCAAAGTTCAAGATTGTATATTATTTTCATCGCGAATTATACCGCAGCCAGTTCTAGCTCTTGAGGCCTCAAAATATGATATCAACATTCGAATCGTTCCTGGATTCATGAATATGAAGCTAGAACGTTGACCATGTGGGATCAATCGAGGGAATGAGAGTTACTGGCTCTTTTTTTTTCTTTTTCTCTATTTTACAAGGTTTCGATTTCCCCGCATTACTTTATCGCCAACCTAGCGGGTTGGTCCCAAGGACTCAATTCTTAGTGTTCGTTAAGCCCCTGGTTTTTAACACACCCTTGGAAGTCTACATTCCAAGGAGATTTACACACATAAAGTAGCTCTCATGTCATCTGGACGCAGCCACGATCGCTTGGATAGGTTGGGGTTGGAGAACTTACGGCCCTAGCTATAGCTAGGGTGTCCCAAGTGGATATTTCCCCTGTAGATCATATTATACAAATTCAAAACCATTAACAAACCATTACACAAGACTTATCTTTAACTAACGCGTTCGGGAGTAAGACAAGCATGTGTAGATAAGTAGGTATGTACATACATGTAGGTACATATGTTCTACCTACTTACCTGGTAAAACAGATGGTGAGGTGATTGCAAACTGTAGGGACAGTAAAAGAAAATGCACCTCAACTTGTAGTGTGAATAATCCCTGCATGTCATATCACCCACCTACCAACCTAAATGTCTCCTTTACAGATGCAAGTTTCATGCACAAAATCCCTGCAGTAAATTATGTCGCAGCTGGTCTCTGACCATACCTATGCCCTTGTGGGATGTATATGAATCACGAACTATCACTCAGTTGCAACCCACAGATATCTTGAGGCGTTCCACTCGCTGATTCCGACCGCCGACCATCCACCACCCATACTGCTATCTTGAGATTCAAATCACGTGAAAACATAAATTTTTTTCACCGTAGCGTCGCTACCCTAGTTGCTGAGAATCTCTAGTCATGTCTAATTAGTAAATGATATTTAAAACAAATACTTCCAATAAGGTAGATAGCAAGTAACCAAAGCTTTGATAATGACATATCCTTTCTGCGATGTGTGTATGTGGCGCAAAGTACGGAATCACTCTGTTTGTTAAAAATATCAATCTTGATGACAATCGAGGAAATACCTGCACGCCACTCTGAGACAATTCCGATTTATTCCATTTGAGGGATATATGCTTAGAAACCTTTTTGTTCATCTCAAACCAAAGACAATTGTAACGGTCAAAGTTCATCTCGAAGTCCGTAGATCGCACTAATGTACATACACGTCGGATATTGAGATGCCGGGTATCCATCCAGGTTCATGTTAGCCACCAGTACGGCCGATCCAAGAGAAACCACCTTTTGATATATTTACTCTCTCAAATGATACTTTTCTGAATGGGTAAAACCACTGAGTCTAGTTCAGTCTTCGTGCATTAACCGCCTCTTGGGCGTGTGCGGGGTAGTTGACCCAGAACACAAGAAAAATCATTAAAAGGTTCCAGAGCTGGAGTGGCGGCACGTATTTCAGGGATTGTTGTATGATATCCCATGGCAGCATCCTTTCACAAGCAAGGGAGCAAGGTAAATCGTAGATGATTGCCAAAATTAAGATCCACTGAATCAGCCAAAGGTTTCGAGTCTGGATGTAACCCCTGAATAAGGGAAATCGTCCAATACCGGCATTCGATCGATAAATTCATCAAACTCCAGCCCAGTGGCCACTAGGGTTTGGTTGCACAGAGCATGAATAAGTACATGTACGCTTATGTGCTCCCTCTTTAATCAGCGCCTGAAATCTTTATTAGCTCAGAAAAATGAAGTGCGAACGCGAATTTTTCAAGGTTTAACCTCCTAAGAATAAACCTTATTCCATCGAATGAACATTAAATTTGTCGGTCTGTGGATAGAGACTTTCATTAACATATAGCGGGACCACAAACGACGTTCTCCGAAGTAGTAGTTTGGTGGCATATCCTTCGAATTTCGCCTTAATAAGGACCGGCCCCGTGGTCAGAGAGCTAGAATGAGAAGATGGACTCCGGTGCCTAGAGATGGAAAAATAAAGAGCTGATCGGGTCATCTTTAGAAGCCTTTAAAAAGGCCCTTTGATTAGATGCTTGAGTGGTTACGGCAGAGGGGGACGTTGAGGTGGGAAATTGTAGGGCTTCTTAAACTACATGGTGAGCGTATATTGTGGGCCGGAGATGTGTGTGTAGCTTGAGATCCAACACAGATATTCTTGCTCCATACGAACTTTGAATACCGACCTAACGTCATTTGTAGATCAAGATCGATCGATCATAATGAATCACTCGCAACCACTTCTGCATTTAAGCTTCTAAACTAGGCCCAGGAGATTGAACCGAAAAAAGTCCCGGTTTATACCCGCATGTATCGTACACCTTCTGTTATACATGTACAAGAAAATAATATGCCTGGGTATTAACACAAGTGAGATAGACATATATCGCGATTGACAACTGTTTTGACTTGATTAATGCTGTTACCCCTGCTTTGTCCGGCTAAATGAAGAATTCTATGATAGGAGAGGCACATATGTATATATGTAGCTACTAGCTTGTAATCAGGTACGAGAGCTGTATTTCAGTTGGTCAAATTAGTTAACTTAACATGACTACCGCCTCGGTTTTGTTTGTTTAACTGACATGACCGGTCAATGAATGGCTGTGTAATTTCCGGCAACAAATCTATCTAGTACACATATTTACTAATCTATAATCTAGGCCTTTCAAGCTTAAGTCAGGTTAGTAGGCCAGGCTGATAGCTATCAGAAAATCAAGGCCGAGGCAGCACTCACAGATACATTAATCGCTTGTGATGAATGGCCGTCGTTGCGTTGCTAGAGCTACGGCTTCTAGCTATCGTAATTATGATCCCTCATTTCGCTTAGAGAAAATCGGCATGTATATGTACCTGGTCTTGACCGATCCACGATCCTTGTACTAGAACGGAACTTGCCATAACATACTTTTTATGCAAAGGTTGCCTCAAACCAGGCATGGATGAGAATATTCAGCTTGATGTTTGAGGAGAATCATAGACTAGCGCATACATACATGGTAAGTGTAGTACTATATTGTTATCAGATGGGAGGATGGACATTCCATTTAATCTCACATGAAGTGGCTTTTGAAAATTCTCAGATATTGATGCTCACATGATGTACACGGAGTTACAGGTACAGTACATGTAGTTATATTCTCTACATAAGGCGCAAAAATATAGATCATGCGCATTTATTTAACAAACATACAGTTGTATTTGATCTCCCCATTATTTATTTACCTGAGTAGGCCTAAACACCCAAATATCAACTCCGGCCAAAGCCTGGAATTAAAGCTACAAGTATTACCAATTCGATGGCAACACTACATGTATCTAAGTCATCAATATATACCTAGGATATAGGACATATCTACTGTACTAGTGCTGGCTAGATACTTACACTTAGGAGGTAGATGTATTGGTGTACAGAGAGTAAGTTGCTTCGAAGGTCTATGGGCATGTTTTATATTGTCATATGTAGATGTTACTCGGAAATTGTATCCGTCGCCATCAGATGTAGTAGTGTTAATGCTCGCCTCCTAGATACATGTAAAATATGTATCTAGGGAAGTCGGGGTTAACAATAGCCGCGAATATTACACCGCTACTGTCTGGATCTGTGTTCCGGAGAACCAGTAATTTGATCAACTGACCAACTTAATGACGTGCCTTCACTTATTGCAACATCTATTTGCGCATTATGCCTACAGATACATATCGAGACCATTGATATATTAATACAGATATTCATTACGTATTGGGCTCAAAGAATAGGCTTTGTACTGTTGCTCATGGCCGCAGGTGTTGATGGATAGGGTTCGATGCTTTAGACTGGTGATAAAAAGAATCTGAGATTGGCTGGCTCTCGATCTCTATACTCTTTTCCGTCAATGTATCCTAAACGATAGTTCTAGAGACCCGAACGGTGGGCCATGAATAAGAGGAAAGTAAATGTCACATATAGTTACGTTATGTAGGCCAATGATAGTATTTACATTATTTTGTCAGTAAACTAGTGATCGGGCAACTGATATCCGTCTATCCGAGAATCTCCTCCATCCTCCATACTAATTCCCAACCGACACCACTTTCCTCTAACAACCTTACCTTATCCAAAACGTTTCTTTCTACTGTATCCTCCCATGTTTTACCACCTCCCCATCTTTCTAATCTCAACAATCCCAATACGCATATCCACCTAGCCCATTTCAACCCCTTCACCCTTCCAAAAACTCCCTCAAACCCCCCCTTCACTGCCTTCGCCAGCCATAATTCTGCATCCCTGGGAACCGCATCTCCTTCTGGGGACAACACGAATAGCGCCACTACAGCACCATGAAATGCGTCTATTACTGCTTCTAATAATCCCCCTATCCCGATGATAGAGGAAAGATAGATGGTCTGCCAAGCTTGTAAAGAATTATATGGTGTGGCCCCTGGTACCCTCTGCGAGAATGAAGAAGGCCTTATTTTGAAGCGTAAAACTTCCGACAAGGAAGTGAGAGATGCGAAGAAGTTAGGAGCGTGCGGAGGAAGTAGCATAGGTACATTGAAATCGCGGTAATTGATTAGGAGAGGAATCCCTGAGTAGAGATAGAGCCATATATCAAGTGTAACAAGAGTCCACCACAGGTACTGGATATATGCTGAGTCTTCGGCGTCGTCGGTGGTGCTATTATTGCTGGAAATTTCGGGTTGTTGGATATTCCAACCTAAAGAGCATGCCATTCGGACTGCCTGTGCGCTTGACTCAATTTTTATCCTCCCTGAAATTGATATAAAATAAAAGACAACATACAGTCATAAACTTTAGTCCATACCCTTTATCTTCTACCACAACTGCCAATAATACCAGCGCCTGTACATTTTGGACTGTGGGGGTCTTGAACGGCGATTTACTCAGCATATAAGCCTCTAATGATGCCTTCAACTTATCCACAGCACAGTCCGATGCTGTTTCTGTGCATAACGTTCCTAAGAGCCGTGCACAGCAGTGTAGTAATATCGAGGAGTCGTGGGTGAGATCTCTCGGTGATATTATTGGTAAATTTGTTGTTATGAAGGTTTTGAATCTTGTTTAATTAGCTAAGCTGTTCTTGATTTCGAGGAGATATTACTGGCTACTTTTCGATAGGGTCGGTGTAAGCTTCTGCCGATGAAGGGGAGCTGCGGTGGTTTAGTAAGCTAATAGCTAATTATTGGATGGTAGATTTCACTAACCCTTCTGTGGTAGCGGACTCCCGGGATGGAGAGTTGTGATCCAGGTTACTAGGGGATATTGCGTTAGGGCCAAGAAAAACTAAAGTAACACTTCACTCTACGGGTTCACCCCACTCCCTTCCCCGGAGCCGGAGCGGAACATTGGTGTCAAAGCAACTGCTTAGGGCGAAAAGAAGAAAGAAAAATGTCACCCTTTCAGAGGTATCCGCTTCCCTCTGGTCTCTCCGATGGGTAGGATAAATGTGCATTCTAGATTCAAACGTCTACAGCGTTCACATATGCTTTCGTCTGGACTCGTGGATGCTGTATTTGTATTTTGAATATCGCATCTTAACAACAATTAGACGACGTATCATGATGAGTGCAGGCAGGATTGATGGATTTCAACAAGGGGGAGAGTTATCATCATGATATATACCTTGAACGAACTCGTCGACACTGGTCACATGCGCGGGCTGTTTTAAGTCTTTTGATTCGATTCTGCTCCACTTGATCCGCATGGTCCGCCATAACAGTTGATGATTACTGAAAAGTCGTCTTTTTGAAAAGGACAGTGAAGAGAGGGGTAGAAGATGGCCGATGATGATGACGGCAAAGCTCGAGTATTAATTGAGGTCTTAGAGGATGAGAATGAGGAGGAGGGTTTTCATCTGTGATGCCTTCATTGGTTTACTAGTATACGTTACGTTACACCGATAAGTAGCCGATTTAGCTTGTGGGAAGCATAATTCGCTATCCTCATATGTATGTGCTCTATACCCACCACAGCCAGAAAACGGGTATGATGCTTATGTGGTGAAGTGGGAATAATCCGGTTCCGTGTCTGTACATATAGGGTTTCGCATGTTCATGTAGGTACATCTCTACATATTCCCCTCATTTCATCGTCCATCCCCGTCGGATATCGTAGTGGAGTGGGCAGACGCACACTTCATCCTTCGCCCCAGGGACTCCGTTATATCAGTAGAGCACTACTGGGTAACGAATGTCCCCTGAAACATGATCCCTGTGCCTGTTTCTCCCCGCATTTCCGTGAAAATGGAAGGTGGGACAACCAGTGCATACACAGGATGGCGCTGTCTCGGTCTGGGCACACGCATCGCTTGTAAAAGGGAAAAGGAAAAAAAAAACCGAGAGATTAAATTGAAGCATGCATACATACATAATACATACATGGTAAGTACCGCACGGAATCCGATTGTCTACATGTACGTATCTTATGTGTGCCTTTCGCTCTTGTTCACCGCCGCAGGCAGGTAAGGTAGACAGACGGCAACATTTGCACACCATACACCCAACAACCTTTTTCACTCTCAGCAGTCATGGTCTACCATAAACCCCGAAAATCTTGCCTCGACTGTCGTCGCAGGCATCTTAAATGTTCCCTTCCGGACGGTGTAGGCGGATCTGCAAGCTGCGTGTGGTGTCAGGAGCATGGGCTAGAATGTGTGAAAGATTGGGAATCCTCCGATTCAAATAACCTTCGTTCACAAGCCCCGAAAGATGGGTGAGTGTGATACACTGCGTATTTGGCATCTAAGGTGAACAAGTATTAACCTGGAATTCCTAGGGCAATTATTCTTAACGGCTCTAACTCGGCGTTTGGTGGCTTCCAGTTTTCCAAGGCCAGCCTTCTCCCGAGTGATGGGCCGAGTGCAACTCGCGTTTTACGTCTGCGACAAGAAGTGGCTTCGCAACATAAGTCTTCGACTTCGCTCTGGATAGGCGGCGATACTGATGCCGACCAAGAATTAAGGCTTGATAAGCCTGTTATTCAATATCTCAAAAATCTGTAATATCTTCTTCTAACACGGAAGTCTACTACCGGCTAATCAATATATATATATAAAGATTCTTTTCCAACGTCCACCCCTATATACCAATCATAGGGATATCATACTTCGAGTCAATAAAACCGACCCAGTTACTTCTCTCGGCAATGTACGGTGTAGCAGCCCGACTACCAGGTGCAATAGTCTCCACGCGTGATTTCTTACACATCAAGCGTGTTCTGGAGTACCAACTCAAGAACCATATGAGCAAATATGAACCATCGATACAAACACTCCAAGCGCTGACTTTAATACATTTGACGCTTGAGCTTCAGTGTGAAGGTCTTGAGGGAGTCGAGACATGGCCCCTTAGGCTTGCTGCTGTAGGTTACCATACCCATATATGACTTATATAGGGATATATCGGTTCTGATAGGGTTTATAGGCAGTTAGGATGGCTTTTGAACTCCGTTTACACCGGAAAGAAACATATGCTCACGAACACCCTCTCACGCAAGAAATGAAACGCCGCCTTTTCTGGGCCATCTTTGCCAAGGACCGTTGGACCAGTACCGGCAAAGGCTACCCCCTCATGATCGATATGTCTGATATTAATGTCGACCTCCCCTCTCCTCATGACATTGATAATCCCACCGCCCCACCTCACGAATACTTCGTCGAGCTCATCCAGCAAGCAATTGCCCTAGGTCGTATACACCCCGTCTGTTTTCGCGCGGACCGTTTCGCACATGTCACACCCGCACAATTCCGTCTCGTTGAACAAGAAGTCGCTCATTTGGGCCAGCGAATTAGAGCTCACGCTCACATATGGTCGCCCATCACCTTGGCACATCTTGAAATCAATTACGCTACTATAAGGCTACTTTTTTACGGGCCATTTTTCAAACCTACAACTGATGCTGAGGCTGCGCTTTTCTCAGAGTTAATCCCGAATGCATCGGATATGAGAGTCTTACTTGCCAACGATTCTGTCAGGGCGTTAGGATACACGAGTAAGGATTTATTGTTGACTGGTCCGAGTATCTGGGGGATAATGTTTTATGCTCAAGTCCGATGTTTCCTGGTGGCTTTGAGTATTAAGCATGACCCCATCACAGACTATGATGACGAGCTGAGAAGTGCGGCGGGAAACGCAGTGGAAAAGGTGGGTGACATTGCGAAGTTCATGTGTGAGGACAAAAAATGGTCTTTCATGATATTATCAGGTACTTTAGCGATTTTCACTAAGAGAGTTGCGGAGGATAAGGATGCTGTAAAAAGGTTGTCTGTTGGAGGAGAAGGGAAACCGGGGAGGAAGGGAAGTGGCGGAAGGAAGAGAAGGGCGGTGGATACAGGCGAGGGCGAAGTAATTGATGGGAGAAAAAAGAGGGACATGGTGATACAGACCGCTGGATTGGGGTTCGTTACTGGTGTTCGCAGTGTAGACTCTGATTCGACGGTAGATTTCAAAGGTGAGACACCAACGCCAGTACAGATGGCTAGTAATGGGGATTTTGGAAATTGGGATTTGGGGAATGATTATAGTGAGGACATTGACTGGCAAGAATGGGATATGATGTTTTCTGGCATTGCTTAGTATGTATAATCTTCAGTGTGTATTTCGTTATTGTGGATGGAGTCATATTTTGTTTGTATACTTTGGCGTTGGGTTTGTGGGCATTTATGTGGAAGCTCAATATTTGGAAATAATATCATATCCAAACTAGGTTATTTTTCATACATAGTACCAAAAAGGGGAGTGTAATAGGTACTTGAGCAATACGGAATTACCGTTAATTCTCGAGAAATCCACTATCTCGGCTTCGTGAAGTCTTAATTCCGCGTGAGAAAAAGCGTGTATCTGCACGAATCCGTGAAGTTTGATACGCCAATTCGCCTCCGGACTTACCACATACAAATACGGGGATAGTGGGTTATTCGAGAATTAACGGTATGCAAAACGACCGAATTAAATCGGAATCCTAGCCATATCCCTTACGCTGTTAAAGCTACCAACTTTGCTAAAACTACTAGCTTCCAATCATATATATATGCAACAACCAAAAAAAGTTCTTTGGTTTAACATAAATCTCTACTTCATCTATCATAGTCACCTGCGCTGAGGACCAAAATCCACATCAAAGAAAAGAAGCACTGCCTACGGTACGGGTATGCATCCCTATGTCTTCTGCATGCCGAATGGGTCTGGGAATGGCATAGCCCGAGTATTAATATATTAAGCCCTGTGAGCGATGCATAAACCACATATGGTACTTATCTCACACGTGTGTTATACGAGGAAACGAGTTTTTTTTTCTTCCCCCTGAGGCCTCCGGTTCTTCTCCACCCCGCCCCCACTCCCGCTCCGGACAAAAACCCGCTTTCTTTTCCCGTTCCGTTGCACAAACATTCCACATTTCCACGCGGAATCAGGACGTCGATCATGGAACTACTACGTGCATACGCCGGATATTTCCAGCGACCGGGGATTCCACGCAAAAACAAATACATTTCGTCAATACGAAAAAAAAGGAAGAAAGGAAAAAAAATGTTCCATGTCTTGGCAGGTTCAAAGAGGAATGTCGTTCGTGCCTCCATTGGTGGTGATAAAAAGACGGGTATGTCCAGAGATGCGTTGATATCCTGATACATCCTGGCACATCCTGATACCTACATGGTGGCTAGCTAGATGCGTACGCGTGTATTCTGCCAATAAAGATAATACACAGTAGGGTTCTTTATCCCGCAGCGACACTACATGTATTACAGATACCTTGTCAGCATTGTTTTCGAATTTCATCAATCGTATCATATCTCGGAGTAAAGTCAAAGCTTGGAGTCAATATTAGCGTGTATGATTTAGCAGGCCAGGTGCCAGGCATATAATAAGTGAATAATTCTCCGTAGTTGAGACAGCGTCACTGACTAGAGTAGAGCAGCTAGGACTATGTACCTACATGTACTCTACTGTTGATGTGCGCCTAACGAAGCTTCGAAGAACCTCTAGCTCTACCATTTGGACCACTCGAATACAAACGGCCCGAGCCCGGACTATCACTCGAAAGAAGCCCGAGCCAGGAGATATTGCTCATGATTGATGATTTCAGGGGTGATAATAACCTCCATTAACACTAGTGCCCTGCATACACCTAAATCCCCTCCCTCCAGGGCCAGGGTGAGTTATCTCAGGAGTACCGGCAACCAGGCTTACCGTCACCAAGCACCTTTACGAAGTAGAAGCAACCCTGAGGCTAGCAACACCCCCAGGGATCAACTATCAGTACTCAAATTACCATGTTTGGTTTGGCAGCAGCTTGGTACCTACATGTACTTTACTTACCCTACTGAGAGTGTCAAGTAATGCTATTTTTGACTCAAAGCAACTGTCGCAGGCGGCTCAACACACTCTAAAGTAATGTCAGCAGCTGGTTGCATGCGCGATGACGTCGCGTAAAACAATATAAATATAATCAAAAGTAATTCAGGGAAATACTTGGTTGACAGCTAAAGAGTACTCATCTGAAATAGCTACACATCTGCCTATTTCTACCTATTTCTACCTGCTTGAAAGCGAGACTGTCCCTTAAGTTCTACGTCTCTAGTTTACTTGAGTATTTAGTACTTTCTCCAGCAACCAGATTCTCCTCGCCCCAATACGAAAACAACTCAGAAATGGCCTCTATCATCTCGCCTCTACTCGAAATCCCTACTGTCACAGCTCTTCAGCTGGTCTCATCCTTGCGCATACCCCTCGCCTCCGGTACTTTGACTCTCACTCATCCACCTTCCACCTCCGCCTTGAATGAATCACTCACGAATAACACTACCACCGATACTATTACGATCAATGAACCCATTCTTCTCTTAACAATTGATAAGATAACTATCCCTTTGCCTCCTACCACTGTCGCTGTTAGCACGACGGACCACTCCCAATACCTCCTCGCCACACCACTCTCCAGCTCCGACACAGGATTTATCCACCTTTCTCTCCCTTCTCTACCCACTCTTTCGCCACTAGGGATCAAGCTCACATCTTTACTTCTCTCCCACGGATTTCTCAAAAACTCACAGGTTGAGGACGAGGATGATCTTGTTTCTGCGCTTCAGATCGCGCTCGGTGGAGGGGTGAACGAGAAACAGGAAGAGGTGAAATTCTCTGAAACAACAAAAAGTATAGCGAGCGGGGCTGTAGAAGGCAGTGCAAAGATTGCGGAGCTTTCAGGAATGGTTGCCAGCGCGGTGAGTAATGCGACATTTGAGGCTGGGAGGTGGGTTGGCGAGAAGATCGGCGTGGCAACTGGAGGTATCGACGCAGGGAGTGGAGAGAAGGGAGAGAAATGGCCAGTGAGAAAGGTTGTCGATGAAGGGATGGAAACCACTGCGAATACCGCTGGAAAGGTTGGAAACAGGTAAGTCTAACATCTCGGATAAATAAGGTTAGTCAGTGCTAACGAGGTGTAAATAGTGTTGCAAATACATCAGCCGCAATCGGAGATAGTGTTTCCAAAAGCGCAGAAGATAGATATGGAGGGGAAGCCAAAGAACTAGTTGAACAGTCAAGAGAGACTGTGGGAAACGTAGGGAAGGTTGCGGTTAATGCAGTTTTAGGAACAAGTGTAGTTTGGCAAGCAGGAGAGGCAGCGGTTGGGGCCGTGAAGGCGGGACAGGTGAAAGATAAAGAGTCGGAGAAGGGGGATGTGAAAGATGGCATGGAGGATGTGAAGATTTAGGTTAGTACAGGAATACATGCAGGTCATGTATATATGGATTTTATAGTTTTAGAAAATCATTTTAAAATTCATAGATTGCTATATAATCTTCCCTGATGTATACTGCTATTTTCAAGTCTTTCTATGTCTAACCATCATGTATGGCCTGGCTTCTACGGATTACCAAAGCACTCCCGGAAATGATAATTTAGTAATGTATGCCCGGGTACTTACCTGTACTAGTACTCGGGCTGTGGGAGATCAACGACAGGCGCTAATCATTTTCAAAACCTCAAATTCCTTATTCTAGACTGTATACGTGCCTTTGGAGTAAGAAGAATAGTGATCCGGGGGTAACAGGCCCGGAGGCACCCCTAGTCTAAGTACTATATATCAATGTTCGCTCGCGAGTCGCAAATTATCCAGAACTGCACGGCAAACCGGTTTATAATTAGTAAAGAAGACAAACAATTATACAAATTATATAATCCTAGCTAAATATATAAATAAACGAACCAGTGCGTATATAAATCATATACATGTAAACACATGACCTCAGTATCCTTTTAGGAGAGAGTGAACGAAAAAGATGGTAAACGTGATTACTATCCCCAAAGTGCAAGGTGGGGACCCCGATCGAACTTCTCCCAACCTATTGGAGATTCAATTAATCAACCACTAAGCTTAAGGCAGGGTGGTAGCTTTTGTTCAGGGTTAGGTGTATGGCAAATACTAATATATGGTAACCTTGGTGGGTTAAATGAAGGTTCGGGGACGAAGCTAACGTATTTCTACTCTAGGACGCTACTACTCTTTGCTTATGTTAAAAGAAAGTAGAAAATTTAATTATTATACCAAAAAAAACCACCTCAAAAAAAGAAACCCTAACCCACATAGAATGCCCCAACCGTAGCCCCCCGTCCCCCAAAAATGGAAACGGGGAAACCGGTATTATAAGAGTCATCTCCATAATTCAAAAATTTAAATCAGGAGATCAGGGGACTCGAAGAGTGGAGGCGTGCTGCTGATGGCAGTCGACTGGCGACTATCCCGAAAGTAGCACTCTGGGGTTTAAAAAGCTAGAGGTACGTGGCCATGGGGGAAAGCTGCGAATTTATAATAATTAGATCAGCCTACGGAGACGAGAATAGTTTTGGCTGCTATCAAATCAGTTGTTTGGCACTTTGATTCTAAATTCCGTGAGGAGGATTAAAACAGCTCTGGGTGAGTCACAAAAGAATCAAGACTTTCGTGGTTGACTGTAATTGCAACATAGAAATTGACGAAGATCATCTATCTCCAGGTCGATAAGTTCAAACTTCAATCTTGAGACCGGTCATGAGAAGAAAGTTACGTAAAGTTTAAATTTATCAGAGTCATCGCTCATGACGAAAGGATTGATATTTCGCTACACAGATATATAAAAAGGAAAGACTAGCATGAAAAGAAAAGAAAAGGTTAAAAAATAAAGAAACAAAACAAAACAACATCTGAGAGATCGAACGGGCACTTTGCTTGCTTCTCTCACATTGAAGTAAATGAGAGAAGCTAAGGACTTCTATCACTCAGTAGAAAGAGTAAGTCGTAGGTGGAGAAGACCAATGCCTAAGCATCTGATCAATAGCCTTTGACCATTCCTGAGTCAAGACCGAAGCCAACTGAGTGGCACTCGCTGGATCAGGAGTAGCATTACCCCACATGGCGGGCTCATATGCTGTCTTAGTAGCAAACTCTGCTACCATTTGACTAAACACAGTAACCGCTTCAATTAGTCATTGTATATAATAAATGTGAAAAGATGTATGTTATAATAGTTGGACTTACTCATTTCTCAATTTCGTAAGAATTAGCCAAGCAAAATTCCAACTCTTGCTGCTATCTGGATCGTTGTATACACTCCATTTAGCACTCTCCAAGAGTTCTGTACTGAATGGATATTGTCTCGTCAATCCTCTGAGCTCGCTGAGGAAGTTATTCGATGAGACATAGTAGTTCCAGGCTTCGGTCATGGGTGCATAATATGCTAACGCATTTACAGATGAGAGAACTTTTTCTATACGGCGGAGCTCTGTCAAGGTGTTGACTCGATGGCTGCGGAGGGTGTGTAACATCTGATTGATCTCAGTCTATGAATTTTAATTGTGTTAGAGCAAATCCTTAGGTGGTGTAGAAATAGTTTAAAGAGGATTGTCTTCAATCAAGATACTTACTTGGGAAATTTGACTAGAGCCATATGGAGCGCCAGAGGTAGATGCCGGGTATGAGTATTCACTGGTGTTGCTAGAGTAGTGGGACATTTCTGCAGTATTATCTGAGGCGGCAATACTTTCGTTGAAAGAGTCTGTTTGAGCTTCGAGAATGGGATGAATCTGTAGCTTTTGAGAAGGGGAAGGGGAAGTATCCGTGGGACACTTTGATGACGGAAAAGAAGAAATTGAAGGGGGAGCAGAAGCTGAACGATTTGCTGAGTTGTCAATCGAGAGATACTGAGTGTTGTTTGTTTCGTTTGATGCCATGGATTAGGGGGAAGAACGGTGGCTTTATAAAAGTAGATAAAATTCAAATGTTTAATTTTAGGGCTGATATTCCAGTGCGGTACGATGAAACCAATTGAATCGGCTTCTTTCGGAACTTGTAAAAATCTTCGATGCGTAGTATCCTCGGAGTTGTTTAGCGATTGCGGCACTGTGTTTGAATTAATCACGGGTAATCAATTGCAAGCTTGAATATTCAATCTCTCTCGGTGCATGTTGGAGTATGCAACTGTCAGCGAATATCATGCACATCTTATACACAGGCCCGTGAGGTCCTGGCCTAGTGAATACATCAATATTCTCTGGCTCTTTCTCCAACTCTCCCCTCGACCTCCCCTCTTTCTGCCTAGATCTCAATGATCTCCGTGAAACATTATTCTGACCCTGTACCGGAGCCATTGCTTTTTTTGCCCTATGTTGGTCATTGCATGTCTAGAAATATGGTTTATGATGCAATACCAAAAGTCAGACGATTGGTGTTTATTATTCTGATGCTCAGACAATCTTGGTAAAGTAGCCAGAAAAAGTTGACCCGTAATTACTTAGAAGGTAAGCTTAAGGAGAATAAATCAAAGGCTGAGGGTAAGCACTATCCCATGACGAACGAATCTGCATCAGCAGAGGAGGTTAACTAGCCTGATCGTGTGTCGGGGACGTGTGCCAAGATTTAGAAATGGATGCAGTGACGGCCTGGTATTCGGAAATAGACTGAAAAATCTAGAATCTGAGTATTATGAGTACTATGAAGTTGAGATGTTCTGTGGTTCGAGATGTCGCACCCTTAGTAACGCACTCGCATTTACTCTAGTACCTTCTTGTCAAAAAATAGAACCAAATAGACCTTAATCAGGGCTATATTCTCTATTGGGGTAAAGCTTATATGAGCTAAGACCCTAATAGATCCATATAAGGTAATTTGTCTAACAAAGCATAGGGCGGTGCAAACCTGGGTTGATATTAGAAAGAGACGTTGTGATTGGACGATTCAACGTCGTCTGTGGCACAGCTACCCGGCCGGGCGTGCTCCCGCTGAGCCTCGTTTTCGTCAATGCCCTTCCCTCACTCCGATTCAGTGATCTCACCTAATACTCCACCGATCAATTGTGATACCATGGTCCGTGGGATTTTAATACTACATCCACAGGTAAGGAGATGTGCCCGTATCCAGCAGATCCCACGAAATGACTGCATGAGATCGATCTACCAAACTATCGGCTCTCGCTTGTCGGTTTGAGCCACATGTCAACTGGGTCCACACTCTTTCGCTCCCAGCTCCGCTCAGCTGTTTTCTTCACTTTCAGAGTACCCACCCGCCAGACCCTGTCACTCCTGCAAGAAAGGGGTGCAATGGATAATAATCATTGCTTATGTAGCGGTGAAGACTCATTTTCCTTCTGACAAAGATGTCTACCTATGTACTCTGTTTTCTGCAGAGTACGACGTATGTATGCGCCAGTACATACGGATATCCCTAAGGTTCGTGCACCGGAAACAAACCACATGCATGGTTCTTGGGGCCGCCTTCGCCAATTAACGAATAAACTGCTTCATCACTCGATCGGGATTCACGTTTATTTTGACGTACATGCATGCCGGTACGGTCACGAGTCATTTTCCTCACGCAAAAACATGTATCCTTCAACATCGTGTAAATCTCCCTGCATTTTGCTCTTACCCTGATGTCTTCTTGCCGCATTATTAATTTATGATTATTCTTCAGTCTGTATAAGTTCATCGGTCGTCGCCACTTTTGTAACAGCACAGTTCAAGGTAGTGAAGTATGGCGCGCCAATAAAGACCATTCTTCACACTCGATCAACTACCTCTGACAAGGGAGATATGGCACAGCATGTCAAACGCCGCATTCTTTGCCTTACAGTTGGAGAACCATACCTATAGGCAAACGATCCACGTAACCTATCTAAACAACTTATGGAGCAAAATCTTCATACGTCATGTTGGAGATATTTGAACAGCGGGGTGATGATTGGAGAGGCCCAGGCCTTCCGTACCCCGCTCATATCACTATAAGCACAATTAATAAGGTTTGGCATTACCACGACATAGTCCTGATTTGCGCGTATTTACCCCGCCGCTTTTCTTCAAGGAAGTAAGGATATTAGATAATAAACGCCTTAGACGACGTGACGCAGAAGCCCTAAGGAAATCACTATCGCCATAACAATACCCTGTAACTGGTCCTTTAGATACCAAATATTTTCAGGACGTCACCAAACTTCTCGGATTCAGCCAATTGCTTCATGTGGATATACTTAATTGCCCTGGCCCGGCTATATCTAACCAGCCGGCCTTAATGCTTTGTGAAAACCGATGCAAACCTTCATACTAGAAACCAAAATCCAACTCTATAGTAACATCCGCATTCGATTGTAGTTGAACTGCCGTATTACTCACTTTAACTAGTAGTAAAAACTCACTTGTGCCCCTAAAGCTTAATTGTTCCCAAAACCTGGTCAGGACATCAACATCATCTGGCTGATAGACATTATGGCCACCCGGTCTTACTCACTCAAAAGCCTTATATTTAATTAAAAGAGTTACAGGAAGAAACATTTTTGTCTTCGTAATACTTTCGAGACTAAATCTGTACCTATGTGCATAAGTGAGTGAAGACCAAGGTAAAATACGATCAGCAATCTGCACATTTTCTGCTTGATAATACTGCATAAAATTGAAAATTTTGTGTTTTCCACCTGGTCTGTCATGATCAGAATGCAGAAGTGACTATCGGTATGCACGCGCGCATGCACGACACAGGAAGTCTTAAATGTATGGCACAGCGCCTATATATACTCTAAGAACACCATGCGCGTGGTGATGTAGAGAAAAGAACTTCTAGTATTTTACACGAGAATTTATATGCCCCCAATTGGCTCAAGTCCTGCATGTTGATGATACAATATGTGCAAAGGCCGATCTCACTAGGCAATCCATTGATTCATTAAAGACACTAAGCTTGGTTTTGATTCTTTTCCAAGGCCCAGAGATTCTGTGTATTTAGTATGCATTGTGTTTGTCAATTGATTCGTATGATCATCGGCACGGGGCCGATTCCAATTGAATCTAGCTATGGATTATATACGGTCCAGCTGTTAGTTGTGTTTATAGATGCGGCTACGTGCTTAAGATTAAGTGGTCCCAGGATCCGGATCAAATTGAGATAAACTTGATTGAGGCAATCATAAAACCATGAAATAGCTCGATACTACATGTAGTTAGCTAATATCTATATATCATGTATATATATGCAAAATTGATCAAGGGGTACGTTCGAATCCGGATCAATCTCTGCCCATCCCCCGTGTGTGTAGCAATTACAATAATAGATTCTTGAATCGAGCCTATGCTCACCAAAATTTATTCTAACATAGATGTACATACGTATCTCAACAAACTCTCGGGTTCATATAATTAATATATAAGTTTAATTCGATTCAATTCACAATACATACCTTATTCTTCTCTGGGTTGTAGCACATATGAGTCCGGGGACTAGAGCACACTTACCTTATGCTTAATGCCGGGCACCACAAGTCTTTCACTTTTCTTGTTTTGTCCTGTTTTTATCTAACAACTTTTTCCATCCAAAATTATAGCCCGACATCAAGATAATAGCTTCCTTCGAATTTCACAGTCACAACACAGCCTATCACTCGGCTTACGCTAACCGCCCATTCAACTTTACAGAGTAAGTCAAACAGTGATCGACGTGACTCTACAGCCTATGAAGCGTGTAAAGCTAGGCAGAGGGCGGTGCATAAAATGTGCTCCTAGTATTACCAGTCCCAGAGTTGCAGCTCCCCCACCTGGAAATTACGGAGCCCGACTAGATAAGGGGAAATTCTCCTTGGACTATTCAAGTATTTTCTTACCTTAGTATGTCTTATACTCAAACTTGCAAAAGTGAGAAACTGGACTGACTCATTATAGCATAAGTTCGCCGCCTGACCGTGTTTCTGGCCGACTATTGGAAACATACGGTATGATGCGATCAATGCCGTTACAGGCCGATCAAAGTTCGGGGGCACGTTCGGCTATATATCAAACACACGTACAAACACAAGAGATGTCAGTCATGTCAGAACCTTGTGTCGGGTTCCTGGTTACACCTCAAGCAGTTGAGCCGCGATGCAATTTTTGGACATGAAGTGGCTGTGCATGCATATGGGACGGAGGAGGCTCCGGATCTTTTTAAGATCATTCGGAGTTCTTGCTATAGAGGGGGGTTGGTAGCACAGATAGATACCGGTAGTGACGTTGACGTATCTCCTCCTCTTGAATCTCTCAGTTATTATGATATCCGGCACAGCGTTAAGGAATTGGTTATATGGGAACTCTGCCGAATTAAGCGGCTCACTTGCCGAGCCTAACTCTTCATCTAGACCCTGCATAATAGGATGGAGGTTCAGATTCCACATCCATGGAATCAGTTTTGTCCTCCCGGGAACGTTCCTTGGCAAGGCACACTTACATATGTATGTACCTATTCATATTTTCTTTTGACGAGCTGCTATTAATTGCATGCAAATACATGTAGTGGACTTGGCGTGCTTTGTATGGCATGCAATAGCAATCACTTCTAAGAAAGTCAGGAAATATATAACAAGTGTATGTCGATGATCTGCACCAAACATCACATCTGCGGGGAAGATTAGCGCAATATATCAAGTATTGGGTAGAATACTCTATCTGGGAAAATTTCTACACCTGGTCCAAACATGAAGACCCACTCCAAATAAGCGAGAGAGAGAATACTCGGCACCTTAACAAATCCTAGCTTGAGCTTCCGTCAGGCGATTTCCATGGGCCGTGCGGCGCAGCACGAGGCTCAACTGCATGCTGACCGAATGACATATTATGTGTCTACCTAGATTTCGGAGACATTCTATCTACATCAGTTGTAACTAAGTTGCGGGTTTATAAATAATCTTTTGTTTTGTGTTGGTTGTTAGGCAGCTGAATTGACCAGTTCATAGGATACCAACTTCTCACGGGTGACCGGCCCCCAACATTTATAACTACATAACATGGCATTGGGCCTTTGGGAAAGCACCTTGCATCATCAACGTATATGTAGTACAATTGCCAGTATTTCCCTCCGTAAATTTCTGCGCCTATATGTACATACATATTTATGTGTATCTACACCAGGATCTATAGCATATATAAACCGGGCTCGAATCACGCCGTCATCCCTTACAATTCTGTATAGATCGGACCATCACAGGTCCACAAGCCTAACTAATTTTTACTCAAACTTATCGATTGATCTCGGTTTAAGATTCCCCCTCCTTACCAGATTGATTTGCTACGCATACTTACGTTATATCTTGTTTAGGCAATTAACACATATCTCACTTGATTTTCTCGGACGTTAGATCATGGTCAATCCGAATAGCAACTCCCTAGAAGTTTATAAATATGTTTATAGAATATCGAGAGGTACTCGAAGTATAGATCTTCGCTCACTGATCTCACTCTTACCTAGATCATACATATCTTCACTTTTCCTGTCAGGATCAGAGTTAGAGTAAGATCATAGTAAATTACATGAACATATAGCTATATATCTCCATGTGTATTCATCATAACCCTATTACCAATTTACACTCTACGCATATTTATAACCCCCATCCTTTTATATGGTTACATGTATATTACACATAGCCTATTTAACTTTCGTTTAGCAATACCAGTTACTACATTATTACATGTATATATACTTTCAAATGGTCTCTCATCCAAATAAATATTCAGTATAGTACTTCCTCAATATAAGGATGGCCATAGACGTGCCCAAATCAAGAGTTATTTATCCAAACCCATGATCATCAGACTTGTTTTTAAATCATTAATTGTTCATGAGTCTGCTAAACAACAGTTGTGATGCCCGATCCTTAATTTAAGATTTCTTCCCTGATTCTGGGGCGAATTTGGCGTAGGTGTGGACCATGATTATAATTATATTGATCGTGATGGTGAAGGCCGGTACTGGGGATGATGATATGAGCTACACTACATTTAGGTGATAGCTAATGCGATATCCAGTCTATATCTTATGGTTAAACATATATAAAACACGGGAAAGGCCAGGGCGGTTCTACATTGGACTATCCCTTCGCCTGTCGGAGCTGCCCACCCTATAATATAAGAGGGTCGTAATTTCAATCTCCATCGATATATATCTCCGTAGCTGGAAAAAAAGAAAAAAGAAAAGAAAGAAAGAAAGAAAGAAAGAAAGAAAGAAAGAAAGAAAGAAAGAAAGAATGAAAGAAAGAAAGGAAGGAAGGAAGGAAGGAAGGAAGAAAACGAGCTCCGTGGGGTTATGAACCCCCCTTCCTATACGGCGAACGTCCTACCGATACCCAGACGCATATTGCCACTATGCAGCTAGCGAAACTTCAAAGCTGGAATAGATAGTAAAGATGTCTTTCCCACCAGGCACCATCAATTAATTAATAAGAAAGATAATGAGATCTGTGAGCAATTAGGGCCACTCTCTTAGCACCAACGTGAGGATAGGCGACATTTTTCGACAGAGATGAAGGGATACTACATGTAATGTAGCAGCAACTAAAATTTCTAAAGTTCTTGGATCATGAAATATCACCCGGATTTATGGTTTTGCCAATTTATGACTTAAAATCAATGATTCTACATGTAACATGATCATACTGCATTAGGCACATGTATACCACTCTAATAGGAGTGTTGAATTAATGTACCTACATGCCTTAGCAAAAGCTTAAGCGCACATAGGGCTAGGTTTATGCATATCTGCGCATGAAACCGGTAATAAAGCCGACTAAATCCGATCTGACACCAAGAGCATATCTGTGGCCGGTCCTGAGTATACCTCATTTACTCTAGACCCTCATACGTCGAAAAACTCGGCCTCACACCTTCACGTAACTTATTTCTGGCTAACCGGGTTCCCCCGCGGCCGGATAATGTGTGTTAAGTCGCATTAACCCGCCACGCCGGAACTCAGCGTACCGTACGAGATCTTCAACGAACAAAATCCCTTTTTATTTGCTATTCCGGATCCTTTTGCCATCCGTAAGGAATCCCCAGACTCTTGGCAATCAGGAACAAATCTTTCCTAATCACCAGATGATCTTGGCCCGTGCTTTGGATTTTTTCTGTAATATTATGCGGGCTCAGTCTCTATCTAAACAATGATTTGGGTTAAAGATCTGTTCACAGGTTAATGGTGAGCCACAATATGAAAAAGGCTTGTGTAGGTTTCGTATGCCTACCTACTAGGTACGTCTCTAGGAGGTATTTTACAGTACCTACTCCTGCCTATCCGCGCACGGTACGTACCTACAAGAGTGAGAAAATGAGATGTAGTATGGTGTCAAATCGCGCCTAACTATCCGCTGGCCGTTTCGGGCGGATGGATAAATTCTCAAGCGGAAGTGGCAATTGACAGCATTCCGATTGACGCCTGATCATGCAGGGTGCCAAACTGCCCGTTGGCAGCATCTCAATCTCAATCAGTGCTTGGTAAAGGAAGTGCCAATTGTTTCCGTAAAATCCGTGGGGGACCAGCTGTCCTTGGACCTCCGGAGAAACGATCGAATATACATATTACTTGATCAATTGATCAAGCGTTGTTACTGGCTCAATGGTTTTGATACATGTATATAGGTAGAGTACCTACATCCTAGAGCACACAGCCTACTCCAGATCTTGTGAAGCTGTCACGCTGCTCGGATCTTTGAACGATTCTGGAACACTACCTTAGAACATCACGAATTGGGTAATTGTTATTGTCCTAGGATTGTACTCTACAGTTCCTGATACAGAAGGCTTCTAGATTCTAGATCCACGGATAACAACTCCTCTACATACGTACTCTAGTTCAAAATACCCCCGACGCACGACGGCTTCATGCCCGTTACTTATGATGCCTGGCCGGCGTGACAAGCTAGCGTTATGATTTGGCGTTCTTATCGTTAGGACCAGTACCTCCCCAAAAGTGCAGGCGTGCCGCGGGCTAGGGTGTATTGTCCAGCACAACGATTTGCTAGCTATGGTTCCATGCATTGGTTGTTCGGAGCTTTTGACAATCCTCAGGATGCAAAGTCCTGCTAGCCGAGAGGTCTGCATTAAAATCTCTTGTTCTTATATCAACACGTGTATAAATCGTCGGTTTTTGTCGACTTCCTAGACACGGCTCAAGCACTCTTGGGATAGTTTTTGAAGAGTTTCTCCGGGGTGATTGATGAATGGGTGGGAGCTCCTCATGGGCGTACGCGTTCTGTGCTCGGTGTTCGTCTTTCTAGATCATAATTTACGAGTCCAGTTTCATGTATGCTTTTTTTTTTTTGCCGATTCTAAATCTTTCAACGGCGAGGGAAAAATCTTCTCCTTCGAGTGAGGTAAGTGGGTTGATACGAAGTCACTTCTTGTGGATGCCGAATTCTGGCCTGTGTTACCACAGTGGAGGCGACAGAGAGGAGAAGGGTGTGGTTGTGCAACACAGCCTTCTTGTACCGTACGTACATGATGCAGCACCATTTCACTCCCATGTATCCCAAACAAGCAATGATTCGAATGTCTCAAATATGTCCAGCAGCCGCCACCGTTTTTTAACGCCTTGTGCCAATAACCGATGCAGCGCTGCGCCTTGTTTACTCTACCAGTTGAGATCATGATGGAGTTTCCCCACCTTGATTTGACATTGTGTGCGTATGTAAAGTCACTCACCCCATCAGACTCTTAAACCTCCTCATGATCCCCTCATAATCATCAGCTCCCTAGTACGCTGAACCACCTTTTGATACCTGTAACGAATGCTAAGCTTGAACCATCACCAGAAGCAGCCATGGGCAGATTCAGAGACAGCATCAGTTCTCTGTTATCACGTTCTTCAAGGAAGAACGTGAATCAGGAAGAGAAGACCGATCCTTCACCTCCCAGGAAGATGTCGAGATCAAAGTCTGATAAAATATCAACTTCGACGAAGAAACCAGTAATCGAGAAAAAGAGGAGCTTTTCGGTAATAACAACTAGAAGTCGATCAAGATCAACACCGACAACATCAACAGGCATACCACAGACTCAGCGGTTCAATGTGGTGGAGGCACGGATATACACCAAAGGTGAAAGGAATGATTATCACTACAGTCCAGTCCCGGAAATCAAAATCATCCCTAGGTTCCAGGTAAGGGTGGATCCACCAGACAATATTCCGTATACGATGAGCCTTGAGGATCAAGAAGAGGAGCACCCAAATGCCATGGGCGGTAGTGTTATCCATTCTTCAGCTGTCATCACCCCTCCTGCATCGCCAAAATTCGCCCAATCTGGCTTTCGAAAGCCGCAGCTCAAGATAGACACTACCGCCATAAAATATACGGAGTCCTGGACTACCGCACCCCCATCACCTCCAAGCTCCATTTGCTCCCCAGTAGCACTTATCCTTCAATCTCCCACACGCGCACCTCCATCACCGCCCACGCCGACTCTGTCACCAATACTGCGCGCATCCGATGATATTCTCATAAATATCTTCTCCAACCTTGATTCCTTGTCCTCCATGTCCTCCCTAGTACGCACACACTCTCGCTTCCACGATGTCCTCGAGCCGAATAAACTGTATGTTCTGCGCGGGATCATGAGTAATATATCCATGCCCGCGCATGACCTACTAGAACTCCTCAGAAACACAGATACGTGCACGGCAAAATCTTACATAGAGGACTATCTTTTCAGTCTCGAGGTAGTCAGCGCACTAAAAGCGCTCATCCAGTTGAGATGCCGGTACTTTTTGAATAGTGGGAAGATGGACTTTCATAATCAGAGGGCCGAGCAGGACTTTGATGATGCACTGTACAATATCTGGACGTTTTGTATTGTGTTCAAGGGGCGAGTGGGCGAGAAGTATCTTGAAAGGCAGGCAGAGTGGTGGAGGAGGAGGAACATGAGCATGAGAGGGCTTCTGGATGTGCTCGAGATATGGGGCTGTTTGGGAGTTTTGTTGAGGCCGTTTGTGGACGCTCCGGAGTTGGCGAGAAGACATGGGGTTATTGAGAATAGGCAAATGTCGAGTACCTATGTCACAGAGGTTATGGTTGAGTTAGGTCAGTTTGTTTCCTTTAATCAAACTTTTGACGGCGGAAATGAAAACTAACGATCTTTTAGAACAATGGATATCATACCTTCAGACTCAGGGTCTCGACACAATCAAGCTCATTGTTGAATCTCCCGAAGCAGACCACAATAAACGTTACGCCATAGTCATCGCAAAGGGTCTTAACCAATGGCGAAAGAAAGGGCATCAAAAAAAACCATATGCGATGTTTCTTAAAGACTCTGCAAGCAGAGTTTACAAGGAGTTATCTTTGGTCCAAAATGTTCCGACTTTCATTGGGGACTCTTGGGGTCCTACTACGGATGTTTAGGTTGGAGTACTTGTATAATCGTCCCTCTTTTTTTTACTTTCACTGTATATTTCTTGCCTATACGCTCGCTATATTACCTTCCCGGGAAAAGGATTTCCTTCTTTGTAATATTTATGATTGTCATGACTACAGATTACTGGGAGGTGTTTGAGATTTTTGATTTATACTTTGGCGTTTTTATGGATATTGAGGTTTGAGGGCTGAAATGGGTATCGCTTATTTTATGAACCTTTTTTTTTAACATCATTTTACATCTCTTTATATAGTCATGAGTACACGATTACTGTAATTTTGGAATTTGGAATGCGAGGGATGGGGGCCAAAAGTTCAGTTGCAGCTTAGTAGCACAACCCGTTACAAACAGAAACCGTGCGCAAACCCAGCAACCTAGAGAGATATACCCCGCTCGACTTCTTACTTTTGCTGCTTGCCTATTATCACTGCAGCTGTGAGTTTCCAAAACCCTGATTCGATCGCTGGGTAGTTTAGATGACGTATTGGCTGTGAATAAACTTCCTGTGGAGTTTTTTTTCTTTTCTTTTCTTTTTGTTAAAAGGTGTATTCTTGTAAAGACTGTGTGGTATAACATTCAACATAGATATTCTAACAGCTAGGACATGATTACACTGGAAAATTCTATCAAAACTAAAACCACCGGAATGCGCATTTTTCAGCCCTGTAGATATTCAGCTCTCAATCTCACAACGGTAAGTAGGGCTGAAGGTATCAGGCACCTACCCATTTTAATTCTTTAAGATTCAATACTGAGCTACCCATGTCGAACCTACGTTTATAGTTTTGGGGTCCGTGTGCGCACGCTAGGTTGCCTTCAAGTTGAAGGTTTAAGGTTGTTGACACTGGCTCAGTTAACATAGTCTTAATCCTCAAACATGGGGTAAAACCTACGGATATGATACAATCTCCTCCACTCCTTCAAACAATGATTCTAACAGCTGCAACTTCAACTCTACCTCCTTCTCACTCTCCCCCTCCACTACCTCCATCATGCGGTTGTGTATATCAGCCGCCCTCTCTAGTATGCCACCCACCATAGCCAGCCGCTCTCTTACACCCTTTGCCACTTCTCCATAGCTGGCGCACCACTCAATGTCCATCCTTTTAATGTCGTTTTCAAGTTTCCGGGATTCTCTGTCTTTGATTGGTTGAGTGGTAAAGGTGGACGCGAACACGCTGCTTGCGCGCCCGCGTGGGGGTTTGGGCTTACTGCGCGCTCTGGTAACCTCGACGACATTTTTGCCGTCCCAGTGGCCGAGGGGCGCTTGTTCGAGGTTGTGTATTTCGAAAAGGTCTAGGGTTGAATGGTAACAGGTTTCTGAAGGTTTGAAAATGAACATAGTTTCTTTGTTGTGAGCGCTGCTGACAGGTGGTATGCAGTGATAACAAATCGCCTCTATAGATCTGTGGAGCAAGCACCGGTTAATGGTATAAGTAGTTCCGGGAACAAAGGAAGCAGCACTAATGAAGGGATTGGGTGGATGCTTGCGAGGAATAGAATTCGACAAGGAGACGTGTAGGAGAGGGTACATAACTTTAATAGTATACAGATTTAATATAATCTCGTATGCATCAAACTTTGCGCCTCATAGCGAGCGCTGTCGTGGTGATGTCGTTTAGTGGTTTTTTAATCACAATATATCACTCGTTCTAATTACACGGAATTTTATTGCTATCAAACTAACCCGAAAAGGTTTCAATTACTACTAGACTTAAACAACAGCAAAGAGTTAGCTTTGGGACATATGAGTTTTTAGAGTGTAAATTAATACATATAAGTACGTGTGCACTTCTTGTCTTAGACCTTTTAAATACGTGATTTGGTTTGATGTTGAAATATACTCTATACGTACCATGAAAACGTATACAACAAGACACCATGGAGCCAATATAACTTGGACCTATAGACGCATGGACTCTGATAGATTTCGTTTGGATAACATCAACCCTCGTTATCTTATCATATCCACTATGAATTACACTATTACAAATTAAATAATACGTAAAAGGTCTAAAGTGACACACTTTTGGTACACTTGATGTATAGTAACACATAATGGGAGGTAACACACTTCAAAACTTTGGACCTAAAGAGTCTTACCCGTTGATGACGTATTAATAAAAAACTCGGAACTAAAGGGCCTTTTAGTAGGACACTTTAGAAGGACACGTTGACAACCTGTTTATATGGGATTACTGATAACCTTGTATTGCCGTGAGAGAGAAGGACGGACTGAACTTAAAGGGAAATTCGAAAGAGTGTTCGTGGAATTGTGTCATTTAGGATCATAGAAGTGTGTCATTTTGCGTTATGTTTTACTCTACATCAAGTGAACCGAAAAGTGTTAGTTTAGACCTTTTCCGTAAACAATATCTAGTAACCATCTTATCGAACCGCTAAATCTTGCCTGAATGTAGGTTATTATGAGGGGAAGAATATGTAGTTCCTACTGGCCTAGAAATTTGGGGGAAATTTGTGTTTAGCCAAGTCTTTCATTCGTGATATCCAAGTCACTTTTCAACAAAAGCCGTACGTAGTACGAAGGTATTTTGGCCTTTGATTATACGCCAAAGGAATACATATCCAATAATACTGGCACCGGGGGTTTTATATCCAAAATACTACAGCCAACTGAACATCACACCCAATGAAAGCCACTGTAATGTGCTGTGGCTCATTGTTTCTTGGGTGGTTTTGGAGACATTCAGTCTCAAGATCTCCTAATAACGTCATCTACCACTCTCCCCGTCTTGCTTGGCCTGTGGACCTGTTTAATCTTTGAGTTTACGATATCACAACTCCCAACTGGCTAAAAAAAAATCGTGATATTGGTGATCGATGAATAGTCCTTCTTGATTTATCTACTACAAGTCTAATGCGGCCTCCGGCCGCAAGTGTATGTAAATGTAGTCCAGTCCATCCCATTCCGAGGCCGAGGCGAATAATATAATCAGGTCCAGTCTGCTCGTATAGGCACTGTACTATAGTACTATCTATTGCGGGCCCGGATTGTTAAAACCTCTGGCGTGAGTATCCTATAGTTATATTAGTTAAGGGCTAACAATCGGGTTCGGTCCAATCTGGCCGTGTAAGCACTGCAATATCCATGATCCATTGTGGGTCCGGATTGTTGGAACCTCTGACATGAGTATTTCTATACATGTAGTTATATTAGCTTTCCTTATTAATAAAGGGCTCATAATCGGGGTCGGGTGCCGCTGCGCGGCATGCACACCGACCCCTCCTCACTCGCACGAGTTCTTAATATTAATATTAATAAAAAGATATCGATGGGGGCTCAAGGTTGATATATAAGACTATATCTACAATTAATTCTCGCTGTTAGTGTTTGCCCTTCGATGTCAGCTCCCTTCCCAGCATTACCGGGTCCTATTTCGAGAGCAATTCTTTGTCTGTATATATATGTTACAAGTGGGTGGCCAGTGGGTTCGTGGTAGATTGTGATTGCAGGCTTATAATTAGGTGTCCCCCTAGCTAGCTCACTTTGCCCTCACTTCCTTAAGTATTGCTTCCCGGCCTTTGACAGTTGTGTGGGCGAGGTAGTCTAGCTATAGTGGTAGACGCCTCGTCTTGCTACATCGTGTGGGTTGAGCCACCATGACCGTCCGGAGGTCATGGGCTCAACTCCGGGGGTGGGAGTAATAATGCTCTGGGGTGTACGGCATGTAACGGGGAGTAGAGTCCGATATACCGGGAGTTGATCTCAGATCCTCCCGCGAATTAGGGCCTATATCCCGTGAGGGGCTTATGGTCACAGCATTACTTTTTGTGTATTTATTGCCCATTTTTCTTTTTTTCTTTTTTCTTTTTTTTTTTTTGAGGGGCCTGAGGGCCTTCCTTAGTGGGGTATGTGTGATATCGATCAGAGCTCTCTCTGGCCGGCCTACAATCGTAGGTTGAGCTACCTTAGCTTCTCGCTCATTATTTGGCCAATTAGTCTCCCCCATGGTCGGCCGGATGTAGGATTAGGCCGGTTTAGCGAAACTTTTTCAGACCATACATGTATTCTTTTATAGTATAGTAGATATATATGTGCTTCTATCTGCGGTATGCAGACTACTAGTAGTTTCAACCAATAGAAATGCTTCGTGACTACAATGAGGAGGCTTATACTATTTAGATATTCTCTCGCTCATTGAGTTGTCGGATGTCATTGCGGCCAAGCCCTTACAAAATACGGGATTTGTTGAGCGCGTGAGTAGACATTTATTAAAGGTACTTCGGAATTCCTTTGTATATCTAGTTTGGCTATGGTGCCGGTGGCTAATAAGTAGATTTGGGTATAGCTTTCGGTTTGTGGAATTCTGAATATATACAAAAGAAAATCTGTGGCATTGTAGTATTTTTACCGCTACCTACAGCCACTCATCAAAAGTGTTCGTGATTTAGTTTTAATGTCAGTGCGCAGTGTGGCGCACCCGTAACGTTGATGTTATTAATTAATGTTGAGATTCAAAACAACGAAAAATATATAATATAGTTCGTGACTATATATAAAAGAAGATAGGTCATTGATCTTATTCTTCATTGATTCCGGGCGCCATTGATCACTGGGAAAGTCTTCTCTTGGGTTTTTTTTGATGGTCCGCCACGGTTACCTATGGAGAAATGTCTCACTCCGAAATCGGAATCACGAACACTTTTACAGAGTAGCTATATATATACAATAAACTAAAAACCATAACTTATTATGATTAAATTTTACGCCTCTGATCAAATCTTTTCTCCTATCACTTTACCAGAATCTACCCTCTCCCTCCGGTGATGTGTCTTTTCCTTCTCCCATGTTGATTTCTTCACTAACACCTCACCAACAAGACTTCCCTCTTCTCTCAATACGACCCACTCACCCATACCTAGATGTTTCGGCGCTACCCTAACCCCTCTACCACCTCCACCAACTAACAGATTCCCCGGTCTATACTTCGGATCGGCTTCCATTCGTTTAATCACTGAATTGTGTATTTTGACATCATCAGGGATGTCTCTGACTTCGCCACATGGCAAGGGCCAAATAATTGGTTTCCAAGACCCGTCTGGCTGCAAATCCATTCTTCTAAATGGAAGATACTCCATAATCTTCCATCCCATTGTTCCCGTAAGTGTCAATCCTCCCGATGGATAACAAAGACAATCGTGGATCTTTCCCTTTGTGCAAGCGTCGATGATAAACTGACGTGTGTCTTGGACTGGGCCTTTCTTTCCTTTTGGAGTGGCTGTGGGAGAGATGTTTGATGATGTAGTACCGTTAGTTGCAGTGCCATTGCCATTGGTTGCAGTTGTAGGATTACCAAAGGTGGGGATTGTAGGGGTAGAGCCAGTAGGGGAGCTGGCGGAGACTTCAATTTTGGGAATAGTGCCACCTGTGCCCTCAAGGTTGAGATTCGATTCTTCCAAATCGAACTCATCGAGCCAACAGTTGTGGGTTTTCATTCTCTCCTTATCAAACACCACGCCTGCCTTTCTGGCCTCCCGGACCTATTCGAAACGTTACTAACAATTAAACACGTAAATGATGAACAATCAACTTACCATCCATACCAGTGGTCCCTGAGACAAGGGGAACTCCCCATCCGGCATATCCCATCCTCCTCCAATGTCAGCATGGGCCCCGGGAAACCACACTTCTTCAATATCTTGTTCCCTCTTTTCATCCTCATCGTCTTCGTCGTGAATTCCCAGACTCATGATACTCCCCTGATCACCCGAGCCGGGAACTGGGGTATGTATAGACAATCTCTCATGGCTCCCCGAGAACCTCTGGTGTCGTGTCGCACTCCCAGATCTTCCGGCTCGTCCAGACTCATAAGGATGATTATTCCCCTTTTCACCATCAGAGGGTGCTAGGTGTCCGTTTGAGGGACTACGGTGCCCAATCCCACGCATTGCCTCTTTGAAAAACTTTTCTGTTTTGAAGGAGCGCCGGCGTGCAACTTCGCGGTCAATCTTTTCCACAAGATCTTGACGAAACTTTGCACGGCGTTCGTCGATACCGACTGCGTGGCGAATTACACATGCTGTGCCTGTACCGGAATTAGTAATTAGTATTCATGTGTTAAAGTCAATGATCAGAGGGCGGGTACTTCGTGCGGTATAGGGAAAGCCCTTAGAGCGCTTCAACCATGCATCTTCGAATCGAGGAACAGAGTTGACAGTATCGAAGAGACCAATAAAACGCACCCTTCTAACTGGCCTTGCAAAGGTTTCTCTGAACGCTTTCATATAGCTGTATCATTCACACTAATCAAAAAACATCCTATTCCTGAAGTTAGATCCGGTGGACGTACTTATACATCTCTTCTTTCTTCTTTCCCCACCCATCTCCGTCTTGTCTTTGTTGCCAGTTTGAAAAAGTCTTCCAGGCAAAAAGTACCATTTCCTCGTTGCCAGGACTTACAAGTCCGACATGGTCCAGCATTTCGGCTAAGAAACGGGCAGTGTATGCGCCACGGGAGAAACCGAAGAAATATATATCGTCACCGGCTTCATAGTAGCGCATGAGAAATTTATAGCCACCAATTACGTGCTGATCGAAAGATGTTCTGTTTCCCCCCTCATATTAGTTTAATTGTTGGCGTGCCAAAGAAAAAACGTTGCACACCCGACAGCAGCATCCATGGCCTTTTGACACCATGATTTAACACGGGAATAAACGTGTACACGAGAAAGTGTACCGTTGGTGATATATGTTCCAATTCCAGCTTTTCTTTTCGATCAGTATAAAGTCACCTTAAACGAGAATCCTGGACTGGGAACACAAGAACTGCACTTTGTATAATGCACTTACGTTGGTAGTAATAAACTGTCAGGCGTTTAAAATCAGTATTCTATATAGATGTGGAGGTATGCGTGCGCATATATATACGCGAAGAGCGGAGGGGGAAAAAAAAAACCATAACGGCAAACAAGAAATGAAGGTTTAAATAAACAGAAAACTTACATTGCTCAGGGCCAGATCGATCCAGCATATGGAATATCTTGAGGATATTCGTATCTCCTTCATTCCCTTTGAATTTATTTCCGGTTCCGTCAAAGCATAAGATGATTTTCTTCCGCTGCCGCTCTCCCACGTGTGTCTGGTGGGTGTTTACGCTGGATGGCCGAATGTGAAGCTTCTCAGGACCTGTCATGTTGACTTGAGTAGTTGACTTGTATCTAATACTTATTGGATTGGTTGCTGAGCCTATAGCTAGTGATATAGCATATAAGCTGTAAAAGATAATTGTAACCGTCGAACTTTTGACGAGGAACAGACTTCGGAGAATGAGAAAGGAGAGGATCGAGGGTAGACAAAGGGCCTTAAATCAAATCTAAGACTTAGGCAAGGATATCAGTTCCTTAACTAAATGTAGGCAAGTACCTACTTCGAGCCTCCAGAACTTGTGCAAGGCTGATTGATCCGGGAAGATTTGCATCTGATCCAGAAAGAGATTATGCAGTGATAGTTCTGTATCACTGAACAGGGTTGCTCCCATCGTAGATGAGTGGATGAGTTACACAATAGCCTCGTGAATAGACGGATGTTGGATCATCATGCATTCGGGGGTGCTTTTACACGGGTAGAGAGGTTGCTGGTTGGCCAATTGGATGGGTTGATGTCATTAGTAGATGGCGGTTCAGCCCGACCAGGTATGTGTACTCGGTATCAAATTTCAAACCAGAGTTATCCCTCGGGGGTGTCTATGATTCTATTTATGACGTTCCCGGACTGTATGTATGTACCGTCCGCATACACCCCAAAACTAGGGGAGTCTAGAAGTATCGTGAAGTTACTGCACTTGAGAGTGTATTTTGTTGTGTGGCCATCGATCAATTAATTGGGGCTGAATTGAAGCCGAATTCATATACGTAGATAATTAGAATGAATGCTAAGCATTCAGCCAGACCCTTAAACCCCGGATAGTCCCTCCTCATTCCCCCCCTTCCACGGTCCACCTACGCAATCCGGAACTCCTCAGCCGAGAGATCAACTCGCGTATCTAAAGCTACCCCAAAAGATCCCTTATTGGTGCACCCGTCTAGCCGTCCTTCCATGGTTTAGTGCCGATCAGTACTAGGTACAAATTGCTAGTCGCCGTCTGTTCCCTTGCTTTTATGCCAAGTCACTCTAACCACGGTCGCTTCTCTCTTCCCTGGAGATCTAACCTCCTCCTTCTGCACCTAACTTTGAATGTCACCGATCCCGTGAGTCCCATGGATAAGCAACCCTTTATTGAACCCTGTGATTTTGCCCTAACTACCTCACCAGTGTTTGTTTCTGGACTTGAGGATGGGAATTGAACAGCACCTGCATCGAGGATCCCTCTCGATATCTTCTCTCCCATTGAAGTGAGTACATATGTTCCTATGTGCTTCACTCGATTGGTTCAACCCATCACGTTTAATCGACTGCTCGTATAGTAATAAACCATTCACATGGGTGGTTCATATGTGCTAGGCACTCGAATTCGATTATGAAGAATTTGATTTGTAGAAAGAAGCCTAAGAAAACGTGCTCGACACCCAACCCAGTCCCCCCCCTCCAAAAGCTTACCCCGACTCAATACCCAGAAAGGAAGAGCCGGTTGACTAGTTCCATGCACCTATAGGTGATCCGCCGATATCCTGAGAGATAAAAAACAAGGAGAACGAAAACCCGGTGGATTGGTCAAATCGTTGAAGGTTCAGCTGGAATTGTCACAAAAAAAACAAGCACTTGATGATTGCCCCCCCCCCCCCAAACCTAAAAAAAGAAATAAGAGAAAGAAGAATAAACCAATAGCAAAAAACCTGGAAGACCGGCCAAGGACAGATAGACAAATTGCTCTAGAATACAAATAGACAGTGAACGTGGAAGCGTGCACCCTAATTATCCGCAACAGTGGCAGGTGGGACTGGGCCATTGACGACCAAAGGCTTGTCTTTGGAGAGCTGGCCAATAGTCTCGTCACTCAGGTTGAGAGTGTCCTTCACGACCTGGGGCGGGGTCAGGGCAAGCCACTGGCCGAGAGAGAAATCTGTATAGGAAGGCAGACAATCAGTATTGATAAAGCTTATCACTCACACCAACATGTGAATTGTTACTGGGAAAACACGGGAGAAAAAGGAAAAATGAAACATACCGGTAAACCTCTTCGCTTGCAAGACTTCCAAAACAGTGACGTCCTCAGTGCCGATATTCTCGATGTAATGGCTCATACTCTTAGGAATATAACCGACGTCACCTGGGCCGTAATCGAAAGTCCTTGCGTTGTTCTCAGCAGCATAGATGGTGATCCTAGCATGACCGCCCAAAAAGAACGACCACTCATCGGAATCCGGATGCCAGTGAATCTCACGCATGGCACCAGGATGAATCGTAACCAAAGCAGCGGCGAAATTCTCGGCAATCGGGAAAACACTCGAGTCAATGATCTTGACAGTTCCTCCAGGTGCTACGATTGGTTCCTGCTGGCTCCAGTGGAAGGAGTACGAATCGACATTCGGGAGAACACCGGCAGGACCGGTGACATTCTGCTTCTGGATATCTTCTGGTGCTTCGGTACCCGGGAAGATGAATAGTTCACCAGCGGGAATGTTGTCAAAAGCATTGGTGGGGACCTGGAAATTCTTTGCGAGAACCTCTTTGGGGTTACGGGCGAATGTCTCGGAGACTAAGAAGGTACTATCTTCGGAGAAGGAGCCATCATCGAAGACGAGGAGAAACTCGACTCCGTCAGAGAGACCCTGGATAGAGTGGGGAACTCCGCTGGGGAAAAACCAGACGTCACCCTGGGTGACATCGTCGATGAAAGTCTGGCCTTCAGTATTCATGGATTGGATACGAGCAGACCCGTTCAACACCAAAGCCCACTCACCGGCGGTGTGCCCTAATCATAATAATTAGCATACGATTCTATCGAAACCTAACCATGACTGTACTCACAGTGCAACTCTCTGTATCCCCCCTTCTCGAGTCTCATATCAACACCAGCCATCTCTGTTGCAATTGGCAAAACACCAACATTCTGCTGCCTACTCCAACCAGCCTTATCCAAACCCAATTTTGTATGACTAAGTCCCATCGGCCACTCGGCCTGTGGAACAGCACCACGATCAGTGACGGGAGGCGCAAAGGTATCTGGATGACTCTTCTGGAGAGAGATATCATTGTTGGTAGCGATGGTACCACCACGAGTTCCACGAATTGGCTGAGGACTTGTCACATTGGTGAAGTCAAGGGAGATACCCTCTGGATCGTCAGCCTCCTGGTGAGCGGCGAATTCGACAGTTGCAGGGTGGGTGTCGCCGGTGGCCAATGGGTAGTCGGCATCGTAACCACGGAGAGAAGTAGGTCCATAGAGTTCACCAGAGAGAGTGTACGTCTTGGTCGCGCTATCCTCGATTGCCAACGGCGCAGAAGCACCGAGGTGAGCGAGGAGGAAAGGCAAGAGGAACTTGGTGAAACTAGGCATTGTGATGACCAGTGAGTGAGTGTGGATCTGAGAAAGATGTAATGAGTGAGGAGTGATGAGTGAGGTGGAGGGTGGAGAGAGAAGTCGAAGGTAGGGCGAGGAGGAAGGCTTTATATCAATCGTGATATCGTCTTCATTGGCATATTAGGATATATGTTACTCAAACTCTTTCAATTGGGAAGACTCGGGGATACCGGGAGAGAGCCTGTCTCCACACATGTGGACTGGTTCCTGCATCTAGCTCATGGTTGATCACTGAACACCTTCTTCGGATTTCCACCTTGTACCCAGAATCTTTGAGTTTTTGCGGGCCGGACATGGGTGATTCGCTTCCGAGATTAGTTCGTTTACAGCTGCAGATATATTCTTTGACATCATGAGACATTATCGATTGCAAGTTTCCGGATTATCGAAATCCAAAATCTTACTTGATACCCCCACAACTAGGGCCATGTGAGTTTCCCGTTATCCCTCTATGCACCCGAGCTCGTCATTCTTTTCTTTACAAGGCAACAGTAGATCCTTGGCTAGTACTGTCTCTAGATTTGAAAAGACAAGGAGTCTATGCATTTTCTATTCTAGAGATGGTTATTAATGAGGACAATATCCATCAGCCCCGGCCAATTGTCACTAGCAATGCGGTAATAGGATTTTTCGAGCATAAAGCCCCCGGAAGCTAGCGGGTTAGAATGCATCTAGTAGAAATTTTATAGCATTACTGATGCTGTTCTTTGTCGTTGTTGGACGGATATGAAGGACCAAGGTAAAAAGAAAATGGGCGAATGAAAGAAGACGTGATGTTGAGAACGACGCTGTTGCGGGAACACTACAGGATACAGTAGCTAGGGCATGTACTAGGCTATGATGCTGTTGACTATACCCCACTATCCGAGCTATTCCGCTCACAGCTCGTATATGATTAATATTAAGGCCCTTTCTGGGCGGGGGATGACCGGGTTTGGTTTGGGAAATAAGGAGCTTATAACATGCCAAGACAACCTGAACCCGGCATCGCTCAAAACATCTAGCTCTGCGTGCAGCCTGGGAGTGGTAGAGTATCACACACCTTTTTGGGACTTTTGAAAGAAAAAATACCATGTTCTTACTTTACATCCACAAACCAAGCCACTCACATGGAATCCGGAGTTCCGCGCGACACATGCATGGCACTGCAGCCCGGATCATTTCTCTCCAGCCAGAGTATGTAACGTAACGAGACAACGACAACAACGGCATGCCTAAGCTTCCGAAACGTTCCAGCCGGAGATCAAGAAACGTGAGAAACATTCCTTCTAGAACAATCGTGAGCGTAATATCACATTAGTTATCGGCCTACGCCAAGACTTGAGACATCCGTCATATGTCCCACATCTCGGAGTCCGGGAGAAAGTCGAGGGCGGATAGGATATAGGGAAAAAAAGATGATTAATTGATCATCACCCCCCGTTATTTCCCTTCCATGACTCTTCACTCTAGCTCTGCTTGACTCGACTCGCACGATTGAGCCATTACGGATCAAGCCGTCCAGGTATGGAAGAGGAGTACGCAACCTCAAACTCAATCCCAATATACGCGAGATGCTGGGGAGGGTTGGTTGTTGCTATCTCCACAATGTATGCATGGCAACTAACCAGCCACGGTAAATCCCATATAAGAGATCGAGGGCAGAGCTTGAGTGAGTATAAAAATCTATATTACATTTCATTACCCACCCCCGGATTAGCTTAGCTAGTTAGCTATGTAGTTAGCTAGCCACTGCCCCCCCCCCCCCCCCCCCCCAGTAGAGTTGGGATTACATACTGGCCGTTGCACAGAAGGGGGGCGGGGAGGCGTTTAAGCATTTTCCTAAATTACAATCGACCCTCCCTCGCCCTTCCCGGCCAGGGGAAGGGGGGATGCCGTTGTTCCGCCTGACTGCCATGATCGATGATAATATAAAACCTACGAATGACGTTAGATGGGGTGTTGTTAGCGGGTGTAAGTCGGGTAGGAAGAGAGTGTTTGACGCGTATGAGGCGATGAGAATTAGGTAGGTAAGTTAAGTTGGGGCTTGTTCAGCGAAGGGTGGAAGGGTTGTAGTTGGGATGAGTTGAGGTTGCGCGTGTTACTGTATACGTTGTTTCCTGGTTGGTTGGCTGTGTTCTTGATACTGCGCATGACCGCTAGGTCTCCATACCAATCATGCTGACAGCACCAAAAATGCGTCCAATGGCCGCGATTGACTCAAATTACATATATGTGCCTACTCTCTAGCATGTGTGCTGATTTATCCTGATATTCTTTGTATTGGCCAAGTCCTTGTTGTTTCCACACTCGTCGGAGCAACGTGCATCTATGGCACAGGTTAAGCTTCAAGCTTCAGAAGGTCTCCAGGGAGCAAAGCATCGGTCCAGGAGGCTTGTAATTCTGCCTTGCATTTCACTACTCGAGAACCCACCCTGCCAGTTCCCCACGACCCTTATGAAAATGGCATTCTAGAGGAGATACCAGCTAGTAGATTTGATACACAGTATAGGGTAGTATCTACCTACCCTTTGTGCCGTCACATTCTTTCTCTTCCGGTAGTGAGAATCGGTAATAGTAAAGTATATATATATTGCATCACCACAAGGAGTAGGCGGAGTACTCGTAACCAGTTGCAAAATAGCTCTAGCGCATAATTATATAAACTCAATCTCATATAAGTTGTTGCGGATATCACGGGCGAGAAAGTTAGCCGTTTCTTTTACTCACTAAAGTGCATATACACCCCCTGAATCCATTTTCAATTGGTTGGATCAGATACTCTGTTAGCTCTTCTTGTATGCGAACGTCTGATCTACTTTCTAATCTGATGACAGCGGTTGGTTCCGTTGAACTGTTGTGTGGGTTTTGTTAGTGTTAGTAATCTACCCCGTAGCACATGTAGTTAGCCCATACCAGTACCGGTGCTCTAGTTCCTTCATATCAAAATTTACCGTGGAGCCGACATACGACTCATGTGAATCATAACCTTACACAAGCGAGATAAGGCCATTCTCCTGAGAGACATATTTTCTGAGAAGAAGTATCACCATCGCGCCCGTGTTTATTGTTGTGTCCCCCTAGCCCTCTTTGCCAAGCGAACTTTTGATTAAGTCGACAAATCAAGCCTTTATCCACGCAAAAGACCAAGCGTTATTAATTGATAAGTACGTGGTACTTGGGTGCCATATTAATAGAAGGGTCACTTCGGTCGATCTTAGGCCGCAACAGGAATGAGTAGCCCAGTTCCACCCACTCCAAAGGCTTCCTGAGGATAAGCAGGTCATGGAAACTTTTCACGGTCAACGACGATAAAGTTCGGGCAGATAACGTTTGACTAGATCTTGAGAACCTACATATGTGACTATATACGTACGTATTTCGGCATCTTTAACCACCAGAGTAATTATATTAGTGCCCCCAGCTAACCCATAGGTAAGTAAAACATATGTAGGTACTTGATCTGGGAAATCAGTTGGCGGATTTCCAAGAATAATACCGATTAACCCTGTATAAATCCAGTTTCTGCACGCGTGACACCTGGGTCCTGGGATCGTGTGGGAGTTTTTTCCTTCTTGCCACACTCATCATTTTAACCTTCCGGTATCCGATTGATCCAAAGTGCAAGGATGTATGTATGTAGGTACAAAGTACATAGTGATCCATTTCAGTCTCAATTTTGATCGAGACTTGGTAAATATCTACGAAATCCAGAGATTTTTTTTAGCGAGGACGAGGTATTTGGGGACAGTTCAGGGGGTGTGTTAACCAGCTAATCTCCTGGGGACAGACGCGTGTGAATCTTCTAGGTTTGCTCTGCATGCTTTCGGGTTTAACAATGACATTCGAGAATTTCGTAATTGTGAATAATCCCCATGTAGTTGGCTTCCGTTCTCTCCCCTTCTAAGAAATCCACTATCGACTTGGGGTGAACTTTTGCCTGGGTACTGTTTCATCAATCCTGCATCCTTTGAGGAAAAAGAGAGAAATCGGAAAAGGATCATCTCAATTCGATATTAGGTATATATAAATAGAGATAATTACTTATTAGCACATGTGATTAATGTTTAATTCACAAATTGAATTTTAGGGATTCTTTTACCTCTGGAGCAGATATGCGTCATAGATTATCACTCGGAATCTCAATCCACCCCAGTCGCTCCGAACGAATAACACAACAGAGCACATCATATGCTGTCATAAATTAAAGTATAATCCGACAAGCTACTATACTTCATAAGCATAAATGATTAAATTAAATTAACTACTCATGCATATGATGTGCAGACCACGGGCCGGTACGCTGGAACGTGTGGTTCCTCGATCCGGGCCATAATATATAATCCGAATGCTCCTCACCGTTGGTTAGTTTTAAATTATCTCCCCGAGTAGCATCTAATCATATTAATCAAGGCCTATTTGCACTTCCGATCTATCCCCATACACATCTATTAAGAAAGATGTTTGAAATATCAACATACCAGAAAAACAGGTAACGGTATGATCAGATGTTATGGTTTCTTCACCGCTGGAACATCGTATCAAAAAGGAAAAACGCCACTACCACTGATAATAACTGGAGATTCAGAGAAGTCTCGCCTTTGTTTCTTTGATTGCTGGGGATACCTCGCCAAAGTATAAAATAAACCTTCTTCCTCGGAATCCTAACACAAGAATCCTCCCCTTCGGCATCATAGACAAATATCTTCAAGTTCAACACGGACTACATGCCGATATTTTCTGCCGCGTAAGTCTCATGTCTTTTGATAGAGGGGACAAGAACTTAGTAGGCCCACATTTCTTGGCACTGAAGCTGAGTGAGTCGGTACATGTGTGCCAGAGAAGGGAATACCTATCCACATACCGGAGCTGCGTCGAGACAAATTCAGTAATAGCGCCTCCCTGTTTGAGAGCATCTATTAACAATGTCACCAACCCTCCAAGTTGTAGTCCAGCTGTGCATACTCTCATAAAGATCGACCGGGGTTATGGTAGTACAGGGTAAGCTAGAGAAACAGCATGTGCCTTTTGTCTCAGTTTGTTAGATTCGTCTAATCCTGTAAAACGAGTTGTCGAGACAGGATGACCCTAGAATTAAGGTTAGATGAGGTGGTGAAGTTTAGTTATGGGGTGAATGCTCCTCTGATGGTTCTACGCATCTGTGTTTCAGTGTACCAAAGTGTCCTTTAAAGTGTCCTTTCAAGTTTCCTCCTGGCCCCCAGTGTGTTCCCTCGTAACTCTCACTACACAGGTCTTTCATCGACCTAACCTTTGGTTTAGGGAAACAACTAGTCGAGAAAAGAAGTTGGTACCCCACCATCCATCCATCCGTCCACTCCTTATCCAATAGCCTCTCCAGGCCATATGACGACACTGCAACTGAAGTAGGAAAGTGCATACATACACGAGATTAAGATGCCGTATTAGGTGGTACCAAGCAAACTTTATAATTCATCTGATCAGTTATCGACATCTGTGCTACCTGTGTTATCAATCTTCTCCTCCTCTGCAAGTACCCCTCTTCCTACGCCCCACGTCGACACAAAGTGGGTGCAGTAAGCCAGCAAAACCAGGAACCGCAACCGGCCGAGATCTTGTTTCAAACCCAGCACTGCGGGTTGGCTTCTTACATGTGTACCAAAAAACCGAACCTTGACGAACCATGAGTGATCACTCGGATGCGTGCCCAACGGATACCATGTAACTGATTTTGAGGTTGTGGAACGCAACGTCGAAAAGCCTCGGTCTTCCATGATCCTCCGATGCCAATACGTAGTCGAGCTTGTATCTCATCGTCAGAATTGTAATAACAGAAATAGATATCAGGAAGAAGAAGCCGGGCTGCCGAACGCCAAGCTGTCCCGTATGTTCACTAATACCGGAGGCTTACGACGAGTCTCCAACTACTTGACTCACTCGTAGCAACCACTTGCTCTAGGCGCCGAACCGATGAATACGGCCCCGGCCCGCCAAGTCCTGTCGGCATCGAACGGGTATGTACCGTACTCTAGGCATGTATTTATATACTTTGTAACTTGGAGTATACGTGGGCTGGCTTCGGAATTCGCGGATCGTACCGCGCCGCACACCTCACCGCCGAGAGATCTGGACAGCGGCAACTAAGCCGGAAATTTCATGGATAAGCGTCTTGTCCTTGGCAATTCATGTGGACAAGATGAAATTTTCTTCAGTGTGTAGTGGACAGGCTGGTGTTTCCTCTGGACCCACTATCCTGGGGCAATCGGTGTTTGAAGCATGATTCGGGGCTCGAAGGCTTCGAGATGCTCCCCCGAGCATCAAGCCTTCTTGTCCGCAGAAACGAAACACATCTCCCAGCACCAGCTCTAAATCCGACACATTCCAGCCTAGCAACGATGTACCATGCATGGCTCAACTCCCCAATACCAATCGCAGATAGCCGGAGTGTGTTTCTCTGGTAAGGCAGACCAGACCCACGTACTGGCTCAGATCATACGCACCTTAACCATATTTCGGTATACGGCATTCGAAGTCTGTATACCATGTACCCAGCGAGATACTGGTCGCTTAACTCCACCTTACCCACCAAGGTACGCACCTGTCTCCCCAAACCTACCCAAGTTTCACTACATGTACATTTTAATCCGAAGCAAAGTGCAAAGTGCAGGTGCAGTAAAGTAGGGTTCAAGGCCCGAGCCAGCCTTAACGAGATCGGGAGGGCCGGCTTAACCCTAATACTCCCTTCCCCGGGAGTCCCCTGCCATGCCGAAGCCTGACCTACGTTACCTGCGCCCCACACCGCTCCACCTGAGTGAGTGCCCACCAAGGAGGAGAAAGGACAAGGGTTCTATGCATGCTTCTACAGGGTTCACGACTACTGGCGCCATGCCACGCACGCAACTTGTTAGGGTTTTCGGAACACTGGAATCACCGACTGTCACTCACTGCGGGCTACTGATGGTGGATGGACTGAGGCCTCGGGAGAGTCGGATAAGAGGCCCCTAGACACTGATACACCCCTTTGTATGTTGGCCCCAGCCCGGGTATGCATTCCAGCTCAATATCATTAGAAAAAAGAGAGAGAGAAAATCCGAAACCCATACCGGCGCCAGACTATACATACATGGATGTATTCAACCATAGGTACTCCCAGAAAACCCGTGCCCGGAAAGAAAAGAAAGAAAAGGCTACTAGCTGTGTAGTAGAACATCACTCATGACGCCGGTACTTTATTTCCCCCAATCTATATTCAGGACATGTTCATGACCAGGCCAATGTAAACATTCCACCCCAGGGCCACCATCGCACCAAACACCGTCCGCCGCTCCACGGGGATCAGCGTAAACGATATAATCGCCACCGCCGGCCACAACTTCAGCGACGCAATCACGAGCGGCCAAAAGTCCTACACACCGCACTACATTAGCACCACCCTCTTCTTCCACCCCAAGATACTCTGACACCGTCCCAGTCTAATGAGAGAGCAAAACCTACACTCCTCACTGTTGCCACAATCTCCTCACTCGGCAGCCCCCTCAGGCCTGCCATTCCCGCAATAAACAGCGCCGTATTCACGGGCCCACCCACGGCCTGGTCCAGCACGAACTTCTTTGCCGTGTTTGCCAGCGAGAGCTTCTTCTTCCCCGACTTTTCATTGTTCTCAGTGGGCACCTGCGACGGGAACGCGGACTCAAGCCATTCCTGCCACAGGATGTTGGGCGGTGTCGATAGAAGGGCGAAGAGCCCGAAGTTGACCAGCGGGGTGATGTTGAGTGATAGCGGGACCTAGTGTTTCGACTACTATGTTAGCTGCTGAGAGGTCCTAAGAGTAGGGGAAGGGGAAGAGGGGACATGCATTCTTCTGGTAGGCTTGTAGGAGCTGCGCGAGGATGTTGGAGAGTATGTTTAGGAACACGGTCTGCAGTGTTGCGGTCAACATGGGCGGCATTTTCGGGCTTGTTGAGGCGGTAGGGCTGTTTATTCGGTGTCCGGGTTTGAGTGGGCGGACGGCGGCGACGAGCTCTTCTACTTCCTGCTGCTGCTGCTCCTTAGCTTTGAGGGTGTTGGTTGCTGTTGGCATCGAGACTGACTGGCTGGCAGATAAGACTTTGCAGTTGTTGCAGTTGTTGTAGTTGTTGCTTGTTACTGGGATTAGATAAGCCCTCTCGATCTTTTTTTCTTATCTCTTCCAATTGTCTTTCTCTGCAACGCTCTCTCTACAATGCTCTCCTCTAATCCAAAATATCTTGCATCTAGGAGAATTAAAGTGTTTAAAAAGAACCCGCGCGCGCGCCGCGTGCGGCCGTCGTGCCGGAGCGGCCCCGGCCTGCCGGGTTTGAACTTTTTAATATTTCCATGGGCGCGAGCGATATCCCTGCCGCACTCTACTCTAACTCTGGCTGAGGAAGGCACGAGACCGATTGGTCTCTACCCGAGATTTTTAACGTCCAGGGTCTAGTTACATGTAGTTGTGTATCTTGGAGAGCATCTTCTATATCGAGAGTAGAGTAGTGTGGGGAGAGGAACTAATAACCCCGTAGGGAAGTAGATGCTCACACGGGGGAAACGGGAACAGAGCCGGTGGTGGGAAGAAAGGTGTAGGATCAATTAATCCCCCACAGTATACGGTGGAAGCTTTGTTTGAGAAGGAACATAAGTTGCAATTGCAGTGCTACTATCGTCAGTGCTATGGGTAATCCCAGGTTAAGCTTGCGAATACGACCAGTTGTAACCCCCCCCCCCCCCTTCCTCCCCCACGCTCGTCTAGGCAGGCAAAGAGTTTTTCCGACGTTTGCATCCGAAACCTCTCCAACCATTGCGTGACATTGTGTTTGTAGATCGACTATTTTCCCTTCAATTAATCCTTTAATGCTCCGTTAGCGAGATGAGATTATCCCCCTTCGCGAATCGTGCCGGGATTGTTGATGGAATTCCGCCGGCTCCCAGGAGAGCGGCCGGCCGCGGCTGGCTTGCTGACTGGCTTGTGCTGCTCAGATGGAGAAGGAGGAGTGACGGTCTGACTATTGACTATTGACTATTGACCCGATTGGGGGATAAGGTAAGGCCTTAGAATCCTGTGAGATGATGTCTCTGTGCAAACAAATAAATGGTTGTATATCGTTCCTGTAGTGTAATATATTCCATGGCTGATCACGACGCGCGCGGAAACCAAAACTATTGGACGAGACGATATTGCGAGAGCGTTACTGATATATTAAGAAATCAAACCATATGACTCTAGAGTACTGCGTCTAATATCAATTATACCACTTGTCACGCCACCTACAAGCTGGTCCTCATATACATGTAACCCATAACCTACCGTCACGTACTGATCCCTCATGACAGAAAAAACATCGCATCATATGCCAGCATATAGCCGAGACTCCCTACAAAAAAAAAAAAAAAAAAAAAAAAGGCCGAGAAGCTCCCTAGTGCACGCGCGATGGCGTTGCTTGGCAGCTCGTGCGTGTGTGCGCTGCAGATGTTTGGTAGCTAGCAGCAAATGTGGTGCCGCGCCAGCCAGCCCGAGCTTTAGCTACATGTAAGTGAGTGTCTGTGATGCGTGTAGCGAGTGATTCGCTGTGACCAGCCACAGGTGTAGTATACATGTATGTACCGGAACTTACCCGCAGTGTCTGTTGAATTGAATAGGATGGAGAGCTAGAGCTGGGTATATCTCTCTCTCTCTCTCTCTCTAAAGGCGAGAACCGCCAATTACCCCGCCTAGTTTCGGATTGCTCGCAGTGATAGCCGCTTCATGGACGAGAATCCAAGTCCCGGCAGCTGAGGTCGATCACATAACCGACTCTCTCTGTCTACCTCCCTGCCCCCAGTGCACTAGTGACCCATACAATAAACACCTGAATCACCCGAAACAACACCTGGACACCAACCCGGAGCACAGCCGGCAGAAAGCTTGTTTCCCGCACTACCAGTCTACCACCAACCAAGCCTCTTTTACCGGTGCCAGCTTACCCCGGTGATCATTGACCCCGGTATGTGCACCGCACCGCCACAGTGGGACCGACCGGCCGGCCATACACCGTAGATACTCTACCGGCTTTGCGCTGCTCTTACCGATGGCACATGCGGGTGTGTAGCATCACTTTCATTGCAGAATATTGGTACTGAGACTGAGGTTCGATCATGAGTTCTCTACTGACTTGCATGTAACTGGCGCGACGGGGAAGAAAGAAGGCTTAAACACAGCAATTACATAAAGTTACAATAGTTTTCTCTCATGAAAGGATCATATGGTATAAAAAAAAACGCCCTATAAATCAAACCGTCGAGCAAACACACACGATGGGCAAATAAAAAAATCCACAAAAAATAAAAGTCTACATGCAAATGACCAACACAACTCTACCAGAACGCAATGAAAAGCACAGTCCCGATGGCATATGACACAAACAGCGCATTGCCTTGTAGGATACCGGTGATGTGCTCGGCGGCGTTGGGGAACATCATCTTCTCGCCCTCCTCGTCGAGGATGGGGAATGTGGGTGCTCCACCGACGCCATGCGAGGCAAGACTGACCCGGTCGGGGAGGGTGAGGTTGTTGGGGATGGTGATTTCGAGTTTCTCAACCATGACTGTAGTTTGTCAGCGGGGTGAGGGGCACAACGTTAGAATTTGGGGGGAGCTTACTGTCGACGTATGGGAACTCGATCATTCCCTTCTTGGAGCATACTTGGTATCCGAAAAGGACGGCTGCTTGACTGCAGAGCACCAAAGTGTTAGATATATGCTTCTTGCTGTAAACCTGTAAATGGAAGGCTGTTGGGGAGCTTACGCTTCCTTGACATTTCCAGCGCACTCTTTCAGTCCACACTCAGACATCGCTTTGACGTACGACTTGTGCGTACACACACATCGCGAAATCTTTCTCTGGTCATCCTCAGACCATCCCGTAGTGTTCATGCTGCTCCCCACATATTTCTCATAGATAGATTTGCACTACACAACTCCGTCAGTCCTTGCACCCTAAACAACCCCTAGAAAGAAAACCCACCTTAGGATGAACATCCTCCTTATACTTATCCTCCGTAAACAACCCCGCCTTCGTCTTATCCTCATAACACCTCTTTACACACGAGGGGCCCGAAAAGCTGCTCAGTCCCACCTCATAAGTCATCTCATCCTTCCTCGCCGTCGGCGTCGTCGTGACCGTCGGCGCCGACGCGCTCACCGTTGTCGTCAGCGTCACCGGCCCGCCTACCGTGCTGAGGAGTGTCTGCGTGTTTGTAAAGTGTGTAGACACAGACACGGACACTGAGGTTGCTGTGGCCGTCGACACGTGGGTTGAGGTCATGGTGAAGTTGGCCGTGCTGGTCACCGTGGCGGTGGAAGTGCGGTCCTCTATGGGCTCGGGGATGAAGCGTGGGGGAGCATAGTGCTCCGGGTTCCAGTTCTTGAACAGGTCGGCGCCGCGGGGGATGTATGGGATGTCTGCACGGTGTTAAAACTGATCTAGAGAACTGGGTGAGAGAAAGGGATCCGGGAAGGCTTACTTTGTGGACTCAAAAGATTGACGCCTCGGGCTTTGCAGTGGTCCCATCCCCATTGGCCGGCGCGGTAGCTATTTGACAATAGGTCAGCATGTAGGCCATTTCTATGAATGTCGAGGAGAGCGGGATTTCATACAATTGAGATGGCTTCTTGCACTATTCGGGCATTAGCAGAATTCACTAATATATACGTATACAGTATACGAAGATCTTAAGAAAGTACTTACACTATCAATGACACACTCTGAAAAGCCCTTCAAGAAGAAGACATCATTGCAGAAACAATCCGCAACCTCCGGATCTCTGACAAAATCCCGGACGTCGAAACGGTCATAATACTTATCCGGGGTACACTATCCACACTTATCAGCATCCGAATTCAACCAACAAAAAGAAAAGGGACTACAAACATGCGGCAGATCAGATCGGTCCATACGATAGATACAATCCATCATACAACGCGGAATGTCCTGGAAATGGTACGGAGCTAGCTTCTTGCCCCCTTCTCCCCATGCTTCTCTTCCTCCCCGCCTGTGGTCGTGGGCCGCCAGGGCCACCGAGAACAGGGCGAACTGTGATATGGCTTGAATGAGAGTATCACGCTTCATATTGCTGATATGATAAGAAAAACGAAAAGAAAGAAAAAAAGTAAGTGTAAAGATATAAAATGAGTGTGAAGAAACAAAAAAAACCCAAAAACGAAAAGAAGAGTCAAATGAGCGACAGAGTTGAGTTTTCCCAGAGCCAGCCGACAATACCTGAGGACAGAGAAGTGTAAAGTAAGGGGCATTAGTTATATACACCGTTTGTCTACTTTTTTTCTTCCGGTGATGTTGTTCTGAATTTGGATACCCTGTCCATGGCCCAGGTACATATGTAGTTGCAAGTAGCTACACATTCATCATTCATCAATGCTGCGGATTGGCATCACCGCGACCCGGTAGATATTCGGCGGCGGAAACAGCTACGGATGCACCATTTAAAAACCATCCTCGAATTTCTTGCCCCATTTCGTCTAAAGAGGTAAGCATCTCGGAGGATATAGAATATTCCTCTGCAGTTTCTCTACTTTGGAATATGTGGCTTGGTATGGAGTGGCGCAGGCGCGCCCACGATCAACAATGTTTTTTCTTTCTAGAATTGATTGTCGGATTGGAATTCTTTATCTCGCTGTACTGGTTATCGGTAGATATGTTTTTTTCCCTTCTACTCGTAGAAACACCGGTAGGTATAGCTAGGCACTTGTAGTGGTGGTGGTGGTGAGCTCGGTGAGGGTTGCTAACAGTGGTTGTCTATTTATAGATCTAGAGCACAAATGAAACGTTCGGCGGCACATTCATCACGAAGCTGTCAGATGCCCAGCTTTAATTTTTGGGGGTTTGAAGTGACGTATTCTTCCAAGTGAAAATCTCTTTTAATTTTTAACAAAATATATATAACGATTGGCACTCGGGTTGTGCATACATCATATCAATACCTAATCGAAGAGGTGAAATATCTATCTAGCTAGATCTGATCAAAAGGGCAACTTTCTAGATCACCCTGCAGGTCCATATTTACCAGTCACCCTTAACAGTTACATCTCAACTTAAACTTCAAGTCATCCAAATACAATCCACTCGCCGCGCCAAACCTCCCGCCAGTTCTAAACGGTTGCGAGCCCACGCTCAACACCAATTTCCCCAGCTTCTGCCACGCCTTATCCCCTTTCGATGGCTGGAAGCTAAAAGGCTTATCCAGAGTATCCGGCGCATGAGCGGGCTTCTGGACCTTTGTCAAGAGAGTGCCATCTGGACCATAGGTGGTTATGTTGAACTCCCTGTTATCGATAGGGCAGAGATAGTATCTGAAGCTAACGACGTCAAACTGCGGGCGTGGGCAAGCCTGGGTGGGGACCACGGTGATCTCCACTGTGGGTGCGGGGTACCGGACTTCGAAGCAGTTTGGAGACGAGGACGCACATGCAACTGCGCGGAGGTCATCTGGCGGCTGGATCGCGTTTTTGTTGAGGAGTTGGAATAGCGAGCCCTGCCACCACGAAGGCACGGGGGGCTGGGTAAAGGTGAAGGGTGTGTTTGGATATGTCCAGGGGCTAGGGAGATCCTGACGGCCGTTGGCTGCAGAATTTGCAATCTCGTCAAACTAGAGGAATGGTTTTAGCTGATGAGGTCATGATGTCTGATATGATGGAGGGCACTGCTTACAGTCAAGAGAGTATCAGATGGCTGGCAGTTTCCATAGCGTCCTTGGCCATACGAGAGGGCGAATAGAGAGAAAAGCGAGAGGGCCGTTAGGAAACGACCTAAAATAGCAGAGAACCCCATATTAAAATTTGATGGAGAATGGTATAAAGCAAAGAGACTCTTCGATGAATCTTTTGATGGTGCTATATTCCAGAATTCAGGCTTCAGAACGCGGACTGAGGAGGCCAGATATAAAGCGTTCGAATTGCCAAGATCAAAACCTTACTTCGACACCCTACGAGTAAAAACACCGACACTTTATCACATTTCATACGCGTGATTGTTGTCTTTACTAAAATATTGCTTGGTCTATGATAGTTACTGGAACAAAATCGACATGGATACGTAAAGGTTCCAGTGATAAATTTAGAAATATCTTTAATTCTCGCTACGTAGACCAATCATTTCGTCTGGAAATCCAGATATGGTTCTTGGAGAAAAATAGGGGCCTCACGATACGAAGAGCCCGTAAAAAAGCAATACAAAATAAAGATCTTGCGTTTGTATCACACTGTTGTATGGTTGGGGACACCTAGAGACGGGGGGGTGCGACATTGGCCTCTAGTGAAGATCATATTCCTAATCTAGTAATTACTTGGCATGAAATCGATCCAAATATGCCAAGAGAGTATATTTATGCCAAGATAATGGCCATGAACCAGGGATGTCTTCCCAATCGGGTAATTATATAGTAGCGTACTTCCTAATCGGGTAGTTATTGGCCTGGAAGGTAATTAATGTGCGACATTTGGTCAGCCTCTCACCAAAAACCCAACTTTTAGAAATTCAATAGCTCAACAACCACAACAGATAAAATTAATTGGGCTCTGTTACAGTGTTATTTACCTCTTCCTCTATCACCCTACAAAGCTATTTTAATTTTAATGTGTTGTGGTGGTTGACCATTAAGTTTTAAACTTCGGCAACTTTGACACTCCGGCTCAAGGTGTCCCCAATCATACGTACAAAGAGTTGGTAACCCTATTTTTAAATCGTGCACGCCAAGAAGCGGACTGAGCTCAATTAAGTCATCGTATCTCACTCGACCTTTAGCGTTCTGTCGTTTGCCAATCGAAAACTTTCTCATAGCTGCTCCAGATCGCGGGATTTGTTAGGCGAGCCTTCATTCGCTCATCCCACATTAACCCCCCAACCTCGACGCTCCTCTTATAGGTTTCCTGTATGTGTCTGACCAGCGGGGTTAATCCTATTGCTCAATTAGGTTAGTAGTACTCTGGCATAATACTAGCTAGTCTTTTCAGCAAGACCTATTTTGAATTGAGGAAGTGATGGAGAGCGACTCTGTTCATACGTAGATGTTTCCTATGGCCGTTAAAGAGTTGCTGCCCCTTCCTCATGGGGGACCAAAAGAGTGGTTATACTAGAATTCCGTTCAAACCTCCTGTAGTGTTTAATCCGATGGGAAAGGCCAGTATTGAATATTGACGGACTAGATGCAATAGATGATACGTATACTTGTACAATACACATGCGCATGCACGTGAATGGCTATATATGTGTTTGACTCTTTTTCAGTATACCGTAGAGACCTAGCTTCCATCAGCATCCTTCCAAAGAACATCCATACCAGTGTGTAGATCCGAGTCGCTATGCCTTCACACTCTTCTCTTCCCGCAAATTCTTCTTCATCCGCTCTCACAAGAACAGGTGGTGACAGGCTTCTTGCAAAGATGTTTGCATCATCCCGTTTCATGCCCTCAAACTCGCACGGGTACTTCTGGGACGTTGAAGAGGTCCGTCACCAGGAGCACTTACGTCGTGTTTCACATGCTCAGCATCTATACCGGCATCGCCACGACTCAGCCGAGGCGGCTAAATTATATAGAAGCTTCATGGAGGAGCAAAACGAATGGATGGATGAGCAAGAGCGGATGAAGGAGATGGAGTTGAGGCTATCGGTGAAGGCTTATCAGCGACGAGCCTCCCGATGGGAAGATGAATGGAGAAGGCTTGAGGAGGGCGGAAACGTGGAAGAAATTCTGAAGGTATGTACTTGATACAATTTTGAATTCTAGTTTCTGATGTTTCACCAATTATCCACCTCCGGTTCAAACCTTACATGTGCCAACTAAGAAAAGTCTTATTAATTTGAATTTAAAAGTCCCGTCGGAAGTCTACTACTCTGTTGGTGGCGGCTTCTTCGCAATATGGCTACTTGAGTTTTTCGAGCGAAGAAAACAGCACCCAGGGGCTATCGGATCTTGTCAGTCCATGCAGTATCAGTTCCCTTGATCTTCCCAGCCCACTTCTCTCGTTTCCTTGTTCTTCATACCTAGTTTACCCTGAGGGTATAATGCAGCAGATGGATGGGGCCCAGCATAGCAGGGAAAAGAAAGCACCAAGTACTCCTAGATTCTCTAATTCTGGCGTTTTAGATTTAACTAAAACCTCAATAAGAGATGCATACACCTTGGTACAGTCTCAAGAGATTAGAGATCAGCGCAACTCAAAACCTGGGTCGTTTAAGTCTAGAGATAGCCCCACAAAGTCACCTAATCCTTATTCTGAAACGACATATAGCCCGAAAGACACACCGGCCTCGTCACAGTCCCGAATTATGTCACCCGAGTCGAAGCCACAGCCAGCGGGGTATTGTGCGGAAGTCTCGAACTCGCGCAGCTCTGTTATGAGCCCAGGCTCGAGTAATTCTAACTGGTCCCGAGTGGTACCCCACTCTAAATTAAAACAGGAGCAAACCCATAAGGAATCACTGGCTAATGGTGAGGTCATCGGGATTATAAACCACAATTGTCGGGATAATGGAAATCTCCTTTACTTGATCTCTTGGAGGTTGCGGAATTCAAGTATAACACCAGTTCAATCTTGGGTTAGAGTCGCGGATCTTTTTGAAGGCCCTAGGAGATCGATCCTAGAAGAATATCATCGTCAGCATAACCTAGGACCAATTCGTTGGCCACGAAATCCTCGAAGACAGTTGAGGTCTTCAACAAGCTTCGGGGTCCGGGAGATAAAAGCCGCTCTCGACGAACGTAAACTAGCGCTACTTGAACGCGGTACCAGTATTCTAGACGTTACACGCGAGCTCGACGAGGAGCGGTGGAAAATGCGAGATGATTGGCAACGTGCAGGAAGGGGCTGGGGGTCTGCAATCATGGTTGTTGAAGAAAAGAAGAAGGCATGGAGAATTGCGGATTTGGAGGCCGAAGACAGCTTCGTTCGTAAAATAGGAGTCGCTCCAGTTAGAAGTCCTGGAATGGAATCTTCTGGTTATGAAGGCATGCTGAAAGCCGCTGGGATAATTGATGTTGCTGACTCCAGATCACCGGGACTAAAAACATTAGATTCGAGTTCGTTAAGCGGCATCACGGCATCTACCCTTAAGGTCCCAACTGCACCGCTTCAATTGTCATTTGGCGGCGAAGTCTCCAACCCGAAGTATCACGATGAATCTGAGCAAAAATACGACGATAAAACGAGCCGGTTTATGAGCACCAGTGAGGATGAAAGAGAATGGAGGGAACATTTCGGCTTAGAGCCAGGATGCATTGAGCCAACCGTAAGTCTATATATTCTGGGATTTCGGGCAATTAAACATTATATAATAGTGGATTTAACACCAAACCAAGAATCTATCTACCAGTACTCACAGCGCTCGAGAAATCAGAATCTCGAAAGTAAGATCTACGCTTCGCAGTTTGCCGAACACTCTGAACCTTAACCTTGTACGGGCAAAGACACTGCCAGAGATAGGTAAAGGGGCGGAAAGTCTCCAGGTTTTAGATTATGAGTGTCAAGGACCAACAAATACAAGTTGCTCTTCAAGTTCATGCCCAATACAGTCTTCGGCATCAGAATCTCAAACCTATTTGAAGGCACAACGGAAATCCCTACTTTCACGCATATTATCTCGCAGGCAGATAGAAAGAGAAAATCGTAAGCAAGTTGCTCGTCACAAACTTGATTCCCAGACACGGGGGAGAACTCATGAATCATTGGCGTTCCTTAAAACCAATACAGAGCCTTTGAGCTTCTCTAGGAGCTGTGTACAAGAAAACCGGTCCAATCATTGCGCACTACCCAGTGCGTCTTCATATTCTTCATTCGGCGTTATTACACCTAAGAAGAAGGCACAGACAAAGAAGAGCTGGAGAGACGTTGTGTGGGACAAGTTCTATTATTTTCTGGCTCCTTCGAGCCAAAATCATCCTTCCCCGGGGAAAAACACCAGAAGGACGCTGGATGATAGAAGATCACCGGAGAAACCATTGTTACCAATGAATGAGAGAAAAGGCATCAATACAGGTGATCCAGGATTTCAAGATAATCTTTCTGAGAATTCATATGGGTGTCGAGGTGTTGAAAGAAGATCTCCAAATATTGGGATGAGCTTTTCAAAATCTATGTTAGCTGAAACCATCACGAAAAGGACCGAATCTTGGGCGGCTAGCATATTGCCTCCTTTACGCAAGAGCAAATCCGAGGGGCCTGGAAGGCTGAAGTCGTCCTCTGAGGGGCTAGGGGCTACCTCCCTAAGAAACGATACAGAAGAATCTGATATTAATCAAGTTCCACCGCAGGTCCACATCGGAGAAGAAGCCGTCTCAAGTGATTCCCACCATAGTGGAATCTATAAAGAGACTGGAAAGTTCAAGGGCAAAGGGAGGCTAGAGTCTAATGAAAGTCCCAGATTTGTGCGGTCTATAAACATTACCAGAACCCTATCGCAAGAAAAATATCTAGCGAAAAGGCAGGCAGAAAGGCAACTTCAGCGCGACAAAGCACTTTTGAAAATCAAAACTAGGATGAGAATGCGGAAGGAAAAGGCCGATCAACGCGCCGATGACCTTAAAAGGCTTGATGAGCTGCGCGCGAAAAGGGCATTTCCGTTTAGCAAGTGGAAAAAGGCTAACCAATTAGAACTGGACTTGTTGACAAAAAAACTTGGTGTGGGGGTTGGTAGGAGGCCCGGGAAGGGAGTATTGAAGAATACTACAGTGGCAGATATAAAAAACTTGGGAAGGTCAATTGTACCAACAACTGCGGGCGTCAGAAACCAACCAAATGGGCGCTTCCCGATTTGATTTTTCATCCACGCAGCGCTTCTTGATAATTTTTTTGAGGACGGTCTCCATAAACAATACTCTAATTCAGGGGGAGGGTGGTCAATAGTGTAGGCATAGATTGGGGAATTCGGAAGAGTACACCATCAAGAGAATAAAAGAAAGCAGCACTTTGTAAATGATAAACCACTGTTTGTTGTTGCAAAGTATGAGTTTAAAATCAATGAAACCATTGATTAATCTGCTGTTTTGGGGGTTCTAGCGGGTGACAAGTAAGCTCATAGAGAGAAGGTAGCATAAATGCTCATATCTGCTCGTAAATCTAACAAATCACATATATCTAGTGTAGACCGAGTCGATATTACATGTACTAGTCCTCCATCTATACATGTGTGATAGCTATCATGAGGCGCAAAGCGTAGGAATCCACTCAATCCACTCTTACGGACGCCATGCGGCAGGCTAGCAGACTAGGCGTTAAAACACGTTACAACAGTTACGTAATTGTAATCAGTTGAGCAAAGCATGTTGCGCATATGTGTTAGCTTCGAGGCCTATAAGTTAAGCTGCAGCAGCCCATCTCACCTCAATCATCATTCCTCTCATCCTTTATTATCTGGGCAACAGAGCAAAAGAGCCCGAGCAATTTTCGCGGGATCGATGACCCCCACAATCTCGTTCTGTTTCAACGTTTATCAACTCCCGAATATACCGAGTGATATTCCATGCATAAAGTCGTTATCATTACCCTAGGCCAGTATCTAACCAAAAAGATTCTCTCCAAGAATTCTCAAATAATATATCTAAATCCGGCTGCTCTTACATCCTCGCCCTGCCCGACTGCCGCCCCTTCTTCATCCTCCCGCTCCTCTGCCATCTCCAACTTCACGTTCTCCCTCTTCAAACAGAATCTGACCGCGAGCGCCATCGCCGCACAAGCCAGGCAGACACCCGCCGTCGCACTCCCGCCCGCAAGATACCTCGGACTATCTGTCGAAGGGTACATATACCTACACCCACATCCATCATCAGCCATCACTCGCACCACGTGCCCGGCAGGGAAAAATCTACTCACGGTCCATAAATCGACGCAACATTCCCAAGCATATTCACCGAGGCCATACACACCGCCCTCTTCCGTGCCGGCCTTGGGAAGCTATTCGCCACCCACGCCAGAATCACCTGAAAGGCCGGCAGCGCCCCCATAGGCATCAAGAACATCGCAAAGAACCTTGCCCCCGTGTTTGTTGTCGATGTCACAATCACATTCCCCACGCACGCCACCATCATCGGGATCACAATGTGCCATGTACGCTCGTTCGTCCTCGAGGCATGGATAGTGACGGCGAGGGAGACGCAGAATGTAGCGAACCACACGGGCACCGTAAGCAGCAGTGTGGTGACGCGCGGGTATCCGAGCGTGTTGACAATGGTCGGGAAGAAGTAGGTGAATGACTGGGAGAGGAGGTTGCAGTGCTGTAGCAGGATGAACAGGTATAGGCGGTAGTCGGTGAAGCTGAGTTTGATGGCCTGCCAGATTGGGAGGCCGTCGGCGTGGTCGGCTTCGCCGGTGTCGGAGATGAGGCGCCATTGTGCGTAGTTCTGCTCATCGGGGGTGAGCCATTTGGTGGTGGCTGGGTAGTCGGGGAGGAGAAAGCTGTGGGTTTAATTATCGTCAGAATATACACCTATCGGGCTGATTGCGAGGGCGTAGAAGATGTCTGGGTTGGGTGTCTACATACATGGAGGCTATTGCGATCCCGATCGTGATGACGCCCTCTATGATGAACAACCACCGCCATCCTGAGATTCCGTGAGCACCATCTAGATTCCCTAACACCCCTGCTGCAAGGAGCCCGCCAAACATGTTTGCTAACGCGGACCCAGCATAGAAGAATGCGTACCGATGCGCCAATTCATCTCTTTTATACCAACTCGACATCAGAAACAGCGCACCGGGGAAAAAGGGTGCCTCGACAACTCCTATTCCATTCAGAATTGGTTAGATGTTTGAACGATTTGCTAGCCAACTGGCTTGAGATATAGAATTAACCTAGAAAAAAGCGGGCAACCACAAGACCAGCGTAGCTATGAGCCCCAGCTTGAGCTGCAGAAATAGCGCCCCATATTGCCATTACTGTCCCGAGATATACTGAGGGCCTGAGACGCGTGAGGAGAAGATTGGAGGGGAGTTGCATTAATATATAGCCCTATATATTTACTGGGAGTTAATTTACGGCCCGCTTCAATTACGATTTCGAAGACTACTAACGACGAACAGAACACTCGTAGCAGTGTTGAAATTAGTACCATCCATCCCCAGATCCTTCTCTAACGTCCCCAGTCTTGCCTGCGCCAGATTCCTTTATAACAATTAACAATATGTCCCCCCAATAACCCCCCCTCATAGTTCAATCTATTACTTACGTCCTATCCAGAAAGTTCAATAGATACATCAACACTAATATAGGAAGCAACCTAGTATCAACCTTTCTCAACAACTGCTTCGTCATATGATCGTGCCACTCCGCATCTCTGGACGCAAAGGACTGATATAGCTGCGCATCGTGATCATTGAGGTTATTGATTCTCGACTCGAGGTGTTGGTGCGTTGTTGGGTCTTTGGCGTCCATCTTCGGCGAATATAACTCGTTATAACATTCTTCTGAATTCCGAGAGCCAGGTCGAGAGAGATTTCAGGGTGGTTTTAAGTATCCTTCGGTATTCGGTATATGGGGGATCTACAATGCAGGCAAGGATTAAGCGGGATTAAGCGAGCCTCGCGCTCGGTTCCTATCCCACCGACATCCCGAATGTTGGGAGAGTCAGCCACATTCGATCTAATAATTAGGCGTTGGGCTTTGCGGGGTATAAATCTACTGACTATGGACCGCGTGTTAGTTGATTAGCCACAAATGCTTGTTCGACGTCACTTGACTACTACTACTACATGCCGCATGTATCGCATGTAGTTGGTAGAATAGTAGAGTAGCTACAGTAGATACCTTTACATGCATACCAATTCCCCGCTCTGCTTCAACAGTACCAACAGCACATGGCGGAGGTCACCGTTAAATTCTCATACACATCATATCAACGGTATCCATCAACGGCAGTACATAAAGTAGCCCAACTAAAGTTGGTAGCCGAACATCAAGTGACGATCCCAACCCCCCTCACACTTTAACCGGCTGGTGCGGAGACAACACCGATCATGTGGGGAGGGAGGATAGTGGGCATGCCAAATTAAACAAGAATGGAAGACTTTTGTGGGGTACAAGACAAGCTAGCTGCAGGGGTCCTAGGTACTAATCTAACACTCTAGCGGATGGAGACTTTTTTTTTACTTTAGATGGAACTTCACAGGGGGATCGGGGGTTGGTTTCCACCCATTGAGAATCATGGATTTCGCGGGAAGTTGGCACGGTGGACAATCGGTTGTTCTTGGAGCCAATCGTATCCAGAGGAGAGGGGAATGATAGGAGAGAGATGTCGAGTAGTACTGCGCGCTTCGACATGTGTACGGTACGTGTGTCTATCCGCACTACGTCATTCCCACAGTGCCACAAAACGATCTAAAACAGCGACTCTCATCGTAGAGCTTGACGATCAAGGAAGATGCTCGCGATGAGGCGGGCATACGCTAGTGATGTTCCTAGTAATGATTGGATATCACGGTTTTACACATTCGAGTGATGAGTTGTGATCTTGATTGGGCCAATGATAAACACTTCATACTTCAAAGTTAAATGTTCAATCGTTCCATTAAGTCATTAAATACATCTCAAAATCCTCATAATCCAAAAATGGCCCCCATAAACCTTAGATAGTGTACGTAAAGTCCTCATGTCCTTCAAGGGGCTTTGTCAGCGTCCCTTCTCTGTGCTGCCTGTTCTTCCTCTTGAAGTACAGCGTGAAAATGACCAAAAACAAAATCGTGGAGAGCTGGCATGCCATGGTTGCCCACAACCCGTTAAGGTACCGCGGCAGATCCTTCTCTCTGAATACCGTGCTGGCATAGATACCCCCAATGCCTCCGAACCCAATCTGGAGCGCGGATCCAACACTTCTCTTTGAGTTGGTTCTGATGTTATTGGCTTGGTACGTGAGCACGGCTGGAATGTTTGATTGAGCCCCCGCCAGACCGATAAAGATTCCGAGATAGCGGACTCCGTTGTTTTTGTGGTAGGCGGTCATGGAGAGGCCGACAACAACCAGGATGTTTCCGATAATGATGAAGGGCGCACGAAGACGGGTCTTGTCAGAGAGCCAGGCGAGCACTAGGGCAATGGCGACGGCGGAGAGGTATGGTGGGGCGGAGAGGATTTGGGCCATCCCCGCGGTGTAGCCCATTCCGATCTGGAGGATGATGGGCATGAAGAAAGGGAAAGCGTAGGCAGCAACAGTGGCATTCATGAAGAGAATAGAGCTGTTACTTGCGGTTAGAACTGAGGAATAATGGAAGAAAAGCTAGGATAGTAAAGACACATACTAGAGCCATAGTTTCCAGTCTGATAGATGCAATCCGACTTTTGCCCATGTCAGAGGATCTGCTTCCGAGTCGTCACGATCACGGTCAATTCGGGCTTTTACGAGCTCCACATCTCGGGGCGTCAAGAATGGCTTTCGGTGCTCGAGGAGCTTGTCTGGGAAATCGATGATAAAGACATAGGCGCAGGCTGCACACACGCACGTGATTATTCCCTCCTGTTATTTGGTTAGTACGACTAAACTGCGGTCACAGGGGAAATGGGGAGGGAAGTACAATGATGAAAATCCACCGCCAGCCGCCAAGGCCACCCAGTCCATTCATCTGCATCAATCCGTATGCTAAGATTGACGAGAAACCTCCGATCATCGAGGAGATGAGATAGAATGCGGCAAGTCTAATTTATTATGACATATTGTCAGTACTGTCTCAATTAATGTTTTATGCTGTGTGCGCATATGAGCGGGGTGCGCATGATTACTTACCGCTTCTGTACCTCATATCTCACATACCACGACGAAATCAAATACAC